AAATGGGTTTTCTCAAGGAGCAATAGCATCAATATGAACCTTTTTACAATACTGGCAAAGACAAAAGTTAACTGAGTTTCCCAAATTTAGGGACCAATATAAATGTACCTTAACTTGTTCATAAGACCTACTTGGCTCTGGTTGCTTAATCTAGATCTCTCACTGATATCTATATAGGTATTTAGATTATATTTCAATTTGTAAGATAGGAACTGAGATCATATTCTTGAATTTTATCAAGTAAAATATGGTTTGGGTAAAAAGCCTTGTTTGATGAACTTGAAAAAAAGATTTCATTTTTTAACTCAGTCATCTCCTTGAAGAAATTTATAAAGATTCTGATTTTCTTCAGTGTGCTAACAGATGAGATCACTGGTGAAGAAAAATATAAGCTGATATCATCTTGATTCTGGGGTCTATTTAAAAATTGGCCGGGCGCGGTGGCTCTAGCCTGTAATCCCAGCACTTTGGGAGGCCGAGGCAGGTGGATCACGAGGTCAAGAGATCGAGACCATCCTGGTCAACATGGTGAAACCCCGGCTCTACTAAAAATACAAAAAAAAAAAATTAGCTGGGCATGGTGGCACATGCCTGTAATCCCAGCTACTCAGGAGGCTGAGGCAGGAGAATTGCCTGAACCCAGGAGGCGGAGGTTGCGGTGAGCCGAGATCGCGCCATTGCACTCCAGCCTGGGTAACAAGAGCGAAACTCCGTCTCAAAAAAAAAAAAAAAAAAAAAAAAAAAAAAAATTAATTAAAACGTGTATACCTGCACGTTCTGCACATGTACCCCAGAACTTAAAAGTATAATAAACAAAATTAATTAAAACTTTAAGAATTATTCTCTCCTTAAAGAATCTCCTCCTGGAGGATTGGGTTGGAAGTCTTGAAACAATTAGATGCTAGATCTCCTGTCATACTTAGTGGAGGACCAGGAGATTACAAGGTTGAACCGAGAGGATCTAGACTCGACCAATAGGCACAACTGAGAGCAGAAATTAAGTCGTACTGAAATGGGAAAGACAAACTTAGGACTTTGTCTTACTTGGCTCCTAGAATACTGGCAATGAGTCATATATATCCTAGGCATTTTATTATTATTATTATTATTCTTGAGACAGTTTCACTCTTGTTGTCCAGGCTGGAGTGCAATGGCAAAATCTTGGCTCACTGCAACCTCTGCCTCCCAGGTTCAAGCAATTCTCCTGCCTCAGCCTACTGAGGAGCAGGGATTACAGGCGTCTGCCACCATACAAACTAATTTTTTGTATTTTTAGTAGAGACAGGGTTTCACCATGTTGGCCAGGCTGGTCTTGAACTCCTGACCTCAGGTGATTGCCTCATCCTCCCAAAGTGTTTAACAGATATAAAACATCAAGAGTTTATTACAGTTTTGACTAAATTTTCTGCTGGGTTCTACATAGTATGTTTGCTCTGCTTTATTCTTTCTCTTTCAGAGCTGAGGCTTTATTCCAAAGTTTGGTAATGCTAAAATTGATCGGAAGCTCAGCATGCAGGGACAGGGCTTATCAGTATGTCAGTGTAGGTCTATATTGATAAGCCTGGCTTTTTCAATTGGGGCCTCCTATCTTTTCTGATTAGGTTGCCTGGAAAAAGTCTTTAAATTTAATGCCCAGAGCCAGGCGCAGTGTAATCCCAACCAACATGGTGAAACCCTGTCTCTACTAAAAATACAGAATTATCCAGGTGTGGTGGCTCACACCTGTAATCCCAGCACTTTGGGAGGATGCATAAAATGGTGCAATCTTGGCTCACTACAACCTCTACCTCCTGGGTTCAAGCGATTCTCCTGCCTCAGCCTCCCAAGTATCTGGGATTACAGGTGTGAGCCACCACACCTGGATAATTCTGTATTTTTAGTAGAGACAGGGTTTCATGTTGGTTGGGTTAGTCTCAAACTCCTGACCTCAAGTGATCCACCTGCCTTTGCATCCCAAATTGCTGGGATTACAGGCTTGAGCCATTGCACCTGGCCCATGCTGCTATTAACGCAGCGATTCCTGAGACTACCACCTGGAGTTCTGTGACAGAAATAGGCTGCTTACTGGCTTCCCCCTCTGCAGGCCTGGATTCCAGCTTACCAACTATCTCACCTGTTTTTCTGTTCTGTTAATTTTATGTTTATACTTTTTAAATGGTTATTTTAGTGGTATTTAAAAAATCTTCAATTCACCATGTTTCACAGATGACATTAGAGATCTTTTAAAGCCAGCCCCTAAATTTCAAACTATAACTCAATTAACTGCCTGTGTCTCTCTACCCCTTACAATATTAAGCTGCTGTTTCCTCCATTGGAACAGTCTAATGCCCTACACGTTTCCGTGAATACATGGGAAGTTGCAATTTTATGGTCCCCTGTGACTTCAACTTCCTGCTGCTCTAAATCCTGCATCTCCATTCTGAAGATACAGCTCTTTGTTGTTTTCTTTTTCTTTTTTTTTTTGTGATACAGCTCTTTGTTTTTATCTGCGTATCTAAACGCAAAACTCAGCTCCTTCCCTCTATTTTACACACATATACCACAAAAACTATATACAAACCCACCACTGAAACCAAGGCCTCTGTATCTGTAGAAGCCTTTTTTCAAGCTGTGGAAAGGAGAGGAATGAAGGGGAGTTTACTGACATCATAGAAATATAAAAAACAGCCAGGTGCAGTGGCTCACGCCTGTAATCCAAGCACTTTGTGAGGCCAAGGTGGGCAGATCACTTGAGCTCTGGAGTTGGAGACCAGCCAGGACAATATGGTGAAACCTCCTCTCTATAAAAAATGCAAAAATTGGCCAGCCATGATGGCCTGCACCTGCAGTCACAGCTACTCAGGAGGCTGAGGTGGGAGGTTTGCTTGAGAGCAGATAGTGGAGGCTGCAGTGAACCATGATGGTACCATTGCACTCCAGCCTGGGCAGCAGAGGGAGATGGCATCTCAAAAAAAAATTATATAAAATGCATAAATTGAACATATCTAATCAATATTCCTAGGTCTTCATATTTTTCTTCAAATTTCTTTTTCAAGAAATGGGGTCTCAATGTGTTGCCCAGGCTGGAATGCAGTGGCTATTCACAGGTGAGATCACTGCTCACTGCAGCCTGGTACTTTGGGACCCAAACAATCTTCCGTGTCTCAGCCTCCCAAGTAGCCGGGATTCCAGATGTGTGTGCTTGGCTAGATTGTCTTGTTTTCTTCACATTTTCAAACACTCTTCAAGCACATCATTGTTAACTGTTAAGCTATGTTCTCTTTAACTTCTGTCTCTAGTCACCCCCCCCAAATTATTTTTATTTACAACGCACAAAAAATACTGGCTTTCCCTTCTGTTTTCTCTTTTTTCTTTTTGTTTTTGTTTTTCTTTCTTTCTTTTTTGTTTTTCCCTTCCGTTTTCTTAACTCCAGCTAACCAAAATGGAATAATGAGGTATCAAGGCTATGATAATTTCTTTCTCAACTGGATTTCCTGAACAGCTTCCAAATCGTGTGACTCCATCTCTTCTCTCCCAATCCTTCCTCCTTTATCCAATGATCTTTCAGTACAAATCTGACCAGTGCCTTAAGGGCCAACTAGCCCTTCATAATAACAGACCCAACGCTTGGCATTTTACACAGTTGTTACACTGAACTGGACCTTCTACCTGGAAAATTTAACCCCTCTTGGCTTCTTTTAAATTTATTCGATGCTCGGGTTTCAGTTTAAACATCTTTTCCCCCAAGAAAACTGTTCCTGACTCCTTCTGGACTTTTTTTTTTTTTTTTTTTTTTTTTTTTTTTTTTTTTGAGACAGCCTCACTCTGTCGCCAGGCGCCAGGCTGGAGTGCAGTGGCACAATCTTGGCTCACTGCAACCTCCTCCTCCTGGGTTCCAAGCAATTCTTCCGCCTCAGCCTCCCAAGTAGCTGGGACTACAGGCGCACGCCACCACGCCCAGCTAATTTTTTTATTTTTAGTAGAGGCGGGGTTTCACCATGTTGGCCAGGATGGTCTCGATCTCTTGACCTTGTGATCCGCCCGCCTTGGCCTCCCAAAGTGTCCTTCTGGACTTTTAATTAGATATTCCTACCATGTACTCCAGTGCACTTCCCATAATCATAGCATTTTTCTCACTATTGTCCCTTAAATATCTTCATATGCTTAGTAACTACAGTGAATGCAAAGATCTTAGTTGTCTCGCTTGACATTGTGTCCTTATTGTCTGCTTCGTTGAGTACTCTGTAGTTTTGTTTTAAGTGAATCCAAATTAAATAGTACTCTGTTCTTAATACTGCATGGATCCCATCCAGCTTGATTCATTTTCTTCCTCATTTTCTGTCTTGTCTTTTTTACATTTTAGATAACTGAAGTCAATCATTTTCTCTATTTACTGTTTTCCCAGCCTCTTCATCCCACTAGCAATCCGATCCCATCTCCATATTCAGTGCTTCTCTTAATGTCTCTTCTCCGACCTTACCCCAAACCCTGGAGATGTACAAGATCCTACCTCACTCGCCAAATGACGAAAATTTTTAAAAAAGAAACGCGAATCCATTTCCACTAACTTTTTCTTCAAAAGGTAACTGGCGAAAGCAAGGAACACCTCAGCCTCCGGAGTAGCTGGGATTACAGGCATGCGCCACCACGCCCGGTTAATACTGTATTTTTAGTAGAAACGAGGTTTCTCTGTGTTGGTCAGGCTGCTCTCAGACTCCCGACCTCAAGTGATCCGCCAGCCTCGGCCTCCCAAAGGGCTGGACTACAGGCGCGAACCACCGCGCCCAGCCTCAAAGAACATTTTTTAAAGATTGCTACAAGACAAACAGCAACCGCTCAGCAAGCTACTCCTCCGCAAACTTCCTTGTGTTCAAACAACACTTTTCCTCTCTTCCCCGGAAACGGAAAGAGGAAAGAAAAGATAAGTCCCACGACCCAGAGCCTAAGGATTCGTTTTCCTCAGGTTTTCTGATGGGCGGAGCCGAGCGCCCGGCGCCGACTGGCCGGCGGAGCCATCGCTCTTGGCCGACTCCTCTTCCTATTGGCTTTCCCGGGCGCCGCCCCCTGAACAGGGCGGGAGATTCGGTGTGCCTCACGCAGGCCTCCCATCCCCCAGCTGGCCTCTGGGGCTCCCCATCTCCGCCGTCGTTGGGCGGAATACCAGAAACTGGCCTCTCCCGTTGGGGCCGAAGATTCCTTTCCTGTGGCGGCGAATCAGTGAGGTATCAATCAGTGAGGTATCGTTCGGCCGGCGTGAGGCGGCTGGGCCGGCACCAGCCGGAAACCTGGCGGTGAGTAGCGGGGTGTCGGGGCAGCCTGCCTCCCTTTCCTGCTTAGCTCGCGGCTTGTGAGGTGCGTCCAGGTGCACCCAGCCCCACGTCGGAACTTGGCCCCCAGCGTCCCGGGTCGCGCATCTCAGGGCTTTCCCTCGGTACTCGGGGCAGGGTCTCTGCGCCTCGCTGCCCCCCGCAGGCTGCCCGCGGGCTCTAGAACCCCTTTCGGGTGGAGCGCAGCAACTGGCCCGAGGCTGGAGGCGCAGGCCAAAGTCCTTTAATATTTGGGGTGAGAGGCTCGCTCTGGGAGGACCCTTCGTTAGTCCGCCCAGCAGTTACAGACCTTTTGTGCAAGAGACGCCTGATGCTAACATACCTGGTTCCCAGCTTACCCACCCGTGGAAAGGGAGAACTGTGAAGATCTGTAACCCAAGTGTTAAAGTGCCCCGTGAGGTATGAAGAGGAAGAGGTGAAGAGATCACGTCCCAAAACCACTGTAGCTAGAACCTTTGATGTCATGCTAGCCTGGAGACACCAATGTGTCCTGCTAACTAACTGATCCGTCACCTTGGGAGTCATATTTGGTTGTAAAATGTTGATAAGCCAGACTCTTTCAGTAGAGCTTTTCGATTAAAAGGACGTTGAGGCCTTACTTTTCGTTTTACAATTGAAATCATAATAGAATCGTTACTCTTTCCCCCAGTTAAATTGGAATCTGAATAGCACAGCCCTGCACCGTTATGTAAGGGCACTGCACGTTAAACGGACATCATCACTTATTGAGCCGTTTTTCTGTTAGATGTTGAATGAGTTAGAGCTGTACGAGAGATGTACATGGTTAAGTTGAAGTTTAAAACTATCTCAGTGTGTACTGCAGTAGGGAGCTAAAAAAGAAAAAAAAAAGTAAAAATACCGATAATTGAGATCATTCAGTAGCCACTTTTATATGTCAGGTTATGATTTCATTTAATCGTCAGGACTTTGGACAAAGTCACACAGTTACAAACTATGGAGTGGAGATTGGAACTCAGTTTTCTCTGATATTAAAATTGATGCTTAACCACTAATCTATACAACCTTCTTTTAAAAGAATTAAGTTTTTTAAAATTACAGCAAATCCTTTATTTGCTTTCAAAGGAGAGTGTGTTGCTAACACTTACTTGGTGCTGCTGAATTGCCTTGAAGTTAACTCCTTGAAAGGGGTTGACCTATAAGCACCAAGGCAGTGCCTTGAATGGTCATAATGGTTACTGAATATTGCTTTTTATTGTATGATTGTTAGGTAGCTTTTGGTTTTTTCTTTTTTCCAGGAACTGTTGGAGAGGAAAGAAGGAAAAGTTTCTCATGAGGTCTTTGTAGACATTTTCTTCAATTTGGTGATCTTGTACTATTTAATAAGATGCCCCAAAATTAGAAAAGTTAATGTTTCTATAAATAGACTTGACTACAAACAAGACTGAGTTAGGCTGCCTCTGTCCAGGCAATTCTTAGGTAAAATACCACAGGGAAATTGCCTAGGACAATACTCAGTTGCCTAGAATATTTCCTTTTAAATTTGCCTAGAAATCTCATCCCCCATCCCCAAGAATTACTAAACTTTTTCCAGTGAGAATTATGTAATGACCTTTACTTGCTTTTTGTTTTGCCAGGAAACTCAAAGCCAAAAATTCATTGCATGATTTTGTTTTCTGCTTTTCTTTATATTTTTTTCTGATGCAGATTCCCTATTAGCATTTATAATTTGTCATTTCTTTTATTGCATTTGCTCATTGACACTGCTTCAAATCGTTTGTAGTACACAGTAGTGTATAATTAAGTAAAATCATGTAGATTATGCTGACTCTGGCCATGCTCTTTGAAGTATGCTTGATAGAACTAGTAATGTTTTACCTAATGAACTGGAAAGTTTGAAAAGCTATAGAATTCTTTGGACATTCTATAGTTATGAGGTATAGAATACCCTAACCCTAACTGACATATAGGGAAATAATTAGATCTATTATTAATAGTTTTCAGAAATCAAAACAAGCATTTAGTTTCTGGCACAGTGATTCACACCTGCAGTCCCAGTATTTGGGGAGGCTGAAGTGGGCAGATCGCTTGAGCTCAGGAGACCAGCCTAGGCAACATGGGGAAACCCCGTCTTTACAAAAAAATACGAGAATTAGCTGGGCTTGGCATTGCATGCCTGTTGTCCCACCTACTCAGGAGGCCAACGTGAGAGGTTGCAGTGAGCTCAGATCGCACCACTGCACTCCAGCCTGGGTAACAGAGCCAAACGACCCTGTCTCAAAACAAAACAAAACAAAAAAGCCAAAACAACAAAATAACACAAGCATTTAGGATAACATTTTTATTTGATGATAGAAGAGGTATGTGGTATAATAGAGTGGTCAAGAAGTTAGGAATCAGTCAGACCTGTATTTCAACCCCAGTAGCCTTTATAATTGTGTGTATGCCTTGGCATTAATAATTTAATGAGTTTTAATTGACTTTATAATTGTGTGTATTGGCATTAATAATTTAATGAGTTACTAATATTTAATGAGTTAACTTCAGTTTACTCATTTGTAAATTGGGTAAATAATGTATGTAAAGAGAGATGCAGAATACCTGTGTAAGAGTATCTGAGGATTTAGTGAGCTGGTGTACATAAATGTGCCTAATACAGTGCCTCACAAATGGCCCCTCAAAAACCTGTTTATTTTATGCAAATATTATGTAAATAGATTAAACTTTTTCCTCTAATATACCCAGAATCCCCATAATAGGAAGCAGTATCATGACTAGAAAAATGGCCCAGGAAGACATGTTTCACAAGCAATGATCATAAGTTATAGATGAAATATTTATTTATTTTTTATTTTAAAAATTTTTTTCTTCATATCACAGCAAAATCCAATTTTTTTTATTTTTTGTTTAAAAAAATTTTTTTGGCCTGGTGTGGTGGCTCACTCCAGTAATCCGAGCACTTTGGGAGGTAGAGGTGGGTAGATCACTTGAGCCCAGAGGTTTGAGAATAGCCTAGGCAGCATGGCAAAACCTCATTTCTACAAAAATTAACTGGGTATGGTGGCACATGCCTGCAGTCTCAGCTATGTGAGAGGTTGAGGTTGGCAGATCACCTGAGCCCAGGAGGTCGGAGCTGTGGTGAGCCAAGATTGTACCACTGTTCTAGGCAACAGACCCCAGACTTTGTCTCAAAAAAAGAAAAATAAAGTTAGAGACAGGGTTTCACTCTGTTGCCCAAGCTGGAGTGCAATGATGTGATCATAGCTCAATGTAATCTTGAACTCTGGGGAAGGAATCCTTCCACTTCAGCCCCCGAGTAGATCTAGGACTGTAGGAGCCTGCCACCATGCCCAGTTAATTTTATTTATTTATTTTTTTGGTAGAGACAGGATCTTACTATGTTGCCAGGCTGGTCTTCAACTCCTGGCCTCAAGGAATCCCCCTGCCTCAGCCTCCCAGAGCACTGGGATTATAGGTATGAGCCACTGCACCCAGCACAGTATTTATTACCTTTATACATGAAGTATGACTTTCATAGAGTTGTGCAGATTAAATGAGATTGCATATGGAGTACTCAAAACTATGTCTAGCACATTGTAAGTGCTCAAATTTTGTCCTCCTTTCTTCCCACTCCAGGTGTTTCTTAGTCTCTAGGACTTTCTGGCCAAATTTATATGGTGGTTTTGTCCTTTATACCGTTAGAACTGCTTTGGCTTTGTAAGGTCTACATTTATCTATTCATCACGCTTGTTAAAACTTGTGGACTTGTTTTTGCCCTACTGCTTTTATTTTTCTGTTAGCTGACCTTGACAGTTCTTTTTCCAATTGCAGGTGACTCTATCTGAATTTTCCAGCTGCAGAATGTGTAGACCTTAAAAGGTAAATGAAAACTGAAACAAGTCATTTAAATGTGTCGATTGTCAAAATAAAACTTGGTAACATTGAATTAGTTATCTCTTCCTGCAGATAATGAACTCGGAAGAGTGAAATGGCTGGTCATAGTGGCCCCTGCCTGTAATCCCAGCAGTTTGGGTGGCTGAGGTGGAAGGATTGCTTAATTCTAGGAGCTCAAAACCAGTCTGGGCAACCTAGTGAGACCCTGTCTCTGCAAAAAAAGAAAAGAAAACCTGCCAAGCATGGTGGCATGTGCCTATAGTTCCAGCTACTTTAGAGGCTGAGATGGGAGGATTGCTTGAGCCTGGGGGTTAAGGCCACACCAACACAGTGAGACCCTGTCTTAACAAAAAAAAAAAAAAGAAAAAAAAAAAAAAAAAGAAAGGAGAGACACAGTCAATAGTTTCTCCTGCCAAAAGAAAAGGTAAAAACAGGATTTGTAAGAAAGAGAGGAGAGAAAAAAATTCACCAAGAACGCTGAATCTTAGGTTACATTTCTTGGGTAAACTGATTAGCTGGTAGCAGTTAAATCATTAGTTATTTTCAGGCCAGTAGCATAATAAGTTCTGAAAGTACATTTTGTCAGACTAGCCAGAGTTGATCAGACTTTTGCTTGCTAAACTCTGATATTTGTTAACTAACTGTAAAGTGTTGGAAAGATTTGTGTTTACTATTTAGTTATCCAGATAACTAGAAAGCCATATTCATATTTGTAAAGTTGTTTGGTAAGTATTCCATAAAAGTAAAGGGAGGTGCTTGAGGATTTTTTTGATCCAGGCTTGGTACACCAATTAAGTGTAACAGACTCCTCAAAATTGATGGTAGTTTTCTAATGAACAGATAATAAGATCCACCAAACCATTATTCTTTGTTTGGTTACCACTTTTCTTTCTTTCTGTTCTTTCTTTTTTTTCAAACATGGAGTCTTACTCTGTCTCCTGGGCTGGAGTATAGTGGCACAGTCTTGGCTCACTACAACCTCGGCCTCCCGAGTTCAAGCAATTTTCCTGCCTTAGCCTCCTGAATAGCTGGGATTACAGGCGTCCACTGCTACATCCAGCTAAATTTTTTTTTGTATTTTTAGTAGAGACGGGGTTTCACCATGTTGGCCAGGATGGTCTCAAACTTCTGACCTTGTGATTTGTCTGTGTCAGCCTCACAAAGTACTGGGATTACAGGCATGAGCCACCATGCCCGTCCGATTGGCTACCACTTTTCTAAACACTTAGGTATTAACCACCCCATTTCTGTTAATGTGCTTGTCTAGATTGATTAGAGCTTTCCTTAAAACTTGAATTGTTTTTCTGAATATATTTCATTTTACTTTTTTCTGAGTATATTTTAGCTACCTTGATTGGATTTAGCTCTTCTCACCTCAGACATCTCTTTCCCTCCCCAGTTTTTTAGATAAAGAATTGAGTTACCTACAGTCAATATATATTAATACAGTAATGCATAATATGTTTTTCATACTTGAAAAGACTTTTGGCCAGGCATGGTACCTCTAGCCTATAATCCCAGCACTTTGGGAGGCTAAGGCGGGGAGATCACGAGATCAGGAGATCAAGACCGTCCTGGGCAACATGATGAAACCCCATCTCTACAAAAAATGCAAAAAATTAGCTAGCGTGGCAGCTTGCACCTGTAGTCCCAGCTACTTGGGAAGCTGAGGCTGAAGAATTGCTTGAACCTGGGAGGCAGAGGCTGTGGTGAGCCGAGATTGCACCATTGCATTCCAGCCTGGGCAACGGAGTGAGACTCTGTTTCAAATAAAAAAAAGGACTTTAAAAAATATTAGATAAAAGATGTGTATTCATTATGTGAATGTTTAATTTAGTGGTTGATATAATTCTTCATCACTTTTGAGTAACTTACTATTTTTGTTTAGGTTGGTAACAATGAGTAAACCAGAATTAAAGGAAGACAAGATGCTGGAGGTTCATTTTGTGGGAGATGATGATGTTCTTAACCACATTCTTGATAGAGAAGGAGGTACTAAGTGATTGTACAATTTGAAGAGATGTTTATTATAATGTTTATGGATTATTTCACTTTTAAGACTTTTAACATTTTATTTTGAAAATATAGCACAAAGTATTGATCTAGTTAGTAAAACTAAATAAAAATTGCTTTAATTTTTAGTTTAATTATTTCAAACTTTAATTGAAAATGTTAAATAAAGCCTAATCTAAAATGGAATGCTCAGTAGTCATAGTCAATGATAACTACCCATTGTAATTTAAAATATGTGGTTATTTTGACCCCTAAAAATATATACTTTCAACGTACGTACGTGTGTGTGTGTGTGTGTGTGTGTGTGTGTGTGTTTTAAACTATTTATATAAACTGTGGAAGAGTGGTCAGTTTTCATAAAAGAGAAAACTTTTTGCCCAGTTTTAATGACTATATAAATATTACTTTTTTTTTTCTTATTTAAATGTAATGTTTACAAAGAACTTATACCTGTCATCTCTAATTCTTTGGATGTTCTTATAGGAGCTAAATTAAAGAAGGAGCGAGCTCAGCTATTGGTCAACCCCAAAAAAATAATAAAGAAGCCAGAATGTGATTTGGAGGAAGATGACCAGGAGGTCTTAAAAGATCAGAACTATGTGGAAGTTATGGGAAGAGATGTTCAAGGTATTTAAGGGAATGAAATATACACTCATGTTTCTGCTAGTAGCAGAAATTGCTTTATAGGATACACAAAAGTAGTCTGATAGGTTAAACAGTGGGGTTCTATATTATAATATTTCTCATCTAAAAAGCATTTGCTTCAATTTCAGTTTTTCCACAGTTCTTTTTTATTAACAACCAGTCCTGCGAGTAGCTTTTAGTAACAGGGAATCTATAGACCAACACACTCTAAAGTTCTTTTCTTTTTTTTTTTAAATTTTTCCGGCATACATGTGCAGAATGCGTAGGTTTGTTACGTAGGTATACACATGCCATGGTGGTTTGCTGCACCTATCAATCCATCATCTAGGTTTTTTGTTTTTTTAATGACACAAATTTATTCTTTTACAGTTCTGGAGGTCAGGAGTCTAAAATCATGGTATGGCAGGGCTGATTGCTTCTGCAGGTTTCTCGGGGAGAATCCATTTCCTCCCTGTTTCTAACTTTTTTTTTCTTTTTGAGATAGAGTTTCACTCTTGTTGCCCAGGCTGGAGTGCAATGGCATGATCTTGGCTCACTGCAGCCTCTACCTCTTGGGTTCAAGTGATTCTCCTGCCTCAGCCTCCCAAGTAGCTGGGATTACAGGCACCCATGCCTAGATAATTTTTTGTTTTTTTTAGTTTTTTGAGACGGAGTTTCGCTCTTGTTACCCAGGCTGGAGTGCAATGGCGCGATCTCGGCTCACCGCAACCTCCGCCTCCTGGGTTCAGGCAATTCTCCTGCCTCAGCCTCCTGAGTAGCTGGGATTACAGGCACACGCCACCATGCCCAGCTGATTTTTTGTATTTTTAGTAGAGACGGGGTTTCACCATGTCGACCAGGATGGTCTCGAACTCTCGACCTCGTGATCCACCCACCTCGGCCTCCCAAAGTGCTGGGATTACAGGCTTGAGCCACCGCGCCCGGCCTAGATAATTTTTTAAATATTTTTAATAGAGATGGGGTTTTACCATGTTGGCAAGTCTGCTCTCAAACTCCTGACCTCAGGTGATCCACCCACCTTGGCCTCCCAAAGTGCTGGAATTACAGGCATGAGCCACCACATCCAGCAGTCATCTAGGTTTTAAGCCCCACATGCATTAGCTATCTGTCCTGAAGCTCTCCCACCCTCCACTACCCCCGCCCCCACAGGCTGTAGCATGTGTTGTTCTCCTCCCTGTGTCCATGTGATCTCCTTTTTCAACTCTCACTTATTAGTGAGAACATATGGTGTTTGGTTTTCTGTTCCTGTGTTAGTTTGCTGAGGATATTGGTTCCAGCTTCATCCATGTCCCTGCAAAGGACATGATCTCATTCCTTTTGATGTCTGCCTAGTATTTCTAGTTACTTTCAAGATATTATTTATTTATTTTAGAGACAGGGTCTTGCTCTGTCACCCATACTGGGGTACCATGGCACAATCGTAACTCACTGTAGCCTCCAACTTCTGGGTTCAAGAGATCCTCCCACCTCAGCCTCCTGAGTAGCTAGTAGTATCTTTTTAAAATAATTTTTTTAAGACAGAGTCTCCCTCTGTTACCCAGGCTGGAGTACAGTGGTGTGGTCTCATCTCACTGTAGCCTCTGCCTCCTGGGTTCAAGCGATTCTTCTACCTTAGCCTCCTGAGTAGTTGGGACTACAGGTGCACACCACCATGTCTGGCTAATTTTTGCTTTTTTTTTTGAAATGGAGTCTCACTCTGTCTCCCAGGTTGGAGTGCAGTAGTGCAATCTCAGCTCACTGCAGCTTCCACCTCCCAGGTTCAAGCGATTCTGCCGTCTCAGCCTCTTGAGTAGCTGGGATTAGAGGCGTCTGCCACCACACCCGGCTAATTTTTGTATTTTTAGTAGAGACAGAGTTTCACCACGTTGGTCAGGCTGGTCTCAAACTCCTGACCTTGTGATCCACGCGCCCTCGGCCTCCCAAAGTGCTGGCATTATAGGCATGAGCCACTGCACCTGGCCATTTTTGTATTTTTAGTAGTGACGGGGTTTCACCATCTTGGCCAAGCTGGTCTTGAACTCCTGACCTTGTGACCCACCCACCTCGGCCTCCCACAAGTTCTGGGATTACAGGCATGAGCCACCACGCCTGGCTCTGCTAGTACTATTTTTTTTTTTTTTTTTTTTTGAGACGGAGTTTTGCTCGTTACCCAGGCTGGAGTGCAGTGGCGTGATCTCGGCTCACTGCAACCTCCGCCTCCTGGGTTCAAGCAATTCTCCTGCCTCAGCCTCCTGAGTAGCTGGGATTACAGGCACGCACCACCATGCCCAGCTAATTGTTTGTATTTTTAGTAGAGACGGGGTTTCACCATGTTGACCAGGTTGTTCTCAATCTCTCGACCTTGTGATCCATCCACCTCGGCCTCCCAAAATGCTGGGATTACAGGCTTGAGCCACCGCGCCCGGCATAATTAAGGCTTTTTTTTTTTTTTTTTTGAGACGGAGTTTCGCTCTTGTTACCCAGGCTGGAGTGCAATGGCACGATCTCGGCTCACGGCAACCTCCGCCTCCCAGGTTCAGGCAATTCTCCTGCCTCAGCCTCCCGAGTAGCTGGGATTACAGGCACGTGCCACCATGCCCAGCTAATTTTTTGTATATTTAGTTGCTAGTACTATTTTTAAGATACGTATTTATTTATGGCCAGGCATGGTGGCTCACACCTGTAATTCCAGCACTTTGGGAGACTGAGGCAGGAGGATTGCTTGAGCCTGGGCAACATAGTAAAATCCCGTTTCTACAAAAAAAAAAAAAGTTTTTAATTAACTGGAAGCTGGATGTGGTGGTTCATGCGTGTAATCTCAGCACATTGGGAGAGCGAAGCAGATTGATCCCTTGAGTCCTGGAGTTTGGGATTAGCCTGATGTGGTGGCACACCCCTGTGGTCCCAGCCACCAGGGAGGCTGAGGTGGGAGGATCACTTAAGCCCGAGGCTGAGCATGAGGCTGAGGCAGCAGTGAACCATGATCATACCACTGCATACCAGCATGAGCCACAGAGTGAGACCCAGTCTCAAAAAATAAAATTAGCTGAGCATGGTGGCTTGTGCCTATAGTCCCAGTTACTTGGGAGGCTAAGGCAAAGGATTGTTTGAGCCCAGGAGGTTGAGGCTACAGTGAGCTGTGATTGAACCATTATACTCTAGCCTGGGTGACAAAGGAAGACCCTAGCTCAAAAAAAAAAAAAAAACAAAAAAAAAAACCAGATATTTATATTTTTAACTTATTTAAAATAGCTTTCTAAAGCAGGTTACTTTATTTTTGCCTTGATCTTTACAGAACTGGGAGGAGCATTTCAAGAAGTAGTGTTCTAGCTCAGGGATGCTGGTATTGTGTGTGTGATTTTAATTTTTACTTCTAAGCCAGATTCCTGCAAGATTGTTCTTAACTAAAACATTTTTTAGGCTTGAATTATATTTTAGTTAGGTTTTTCCTGTATACAAGTAACATAGATCTCCTCAACCTAGCTTAAAACAATGAAGACAAAGGAAATAAGTCAATATTGTTGGGCACTAGGAGAGTTGGAACTGGGACAATGTTAAAAACTGCGGAACTGTACTTTCATGAGTCTCTAGATCTCCCTGTGTCATCTCTGTGCATCTGTTCGGATTTCTCTATGCCACTTATTTTTTCATGTACAGATGTTTTATTCTCTCATACTTACAAATGTCCATCAAGTTCCCAGTGTTAAATGATTTGTTTTTCAGTTCTCCCATTCTAGATTCTCAAGAGTCGATTTCGCTCAATTCATTTTTTAAAGCTGGACATAGAAATAACATATAATTGGAATATCCACAGATAAACCACAGTTGAGCTATATGTGCCTATTACTTAATTCATTAACTATGTGGGTAGAGTCATATACTCCATGTATAGGGTTATACAGAAAATGACCACTGCTCCTTTAGTAGGTTTAGTGGGCTAGGTAGGGTCTCCTATGTGTCCACAGCTAGACAGTTGACATTTTTTGAGCATATTCTGAATAAAATTCGATTTTTTTGACTCCATATTATGCCAGGCCAAAGAAGAGAATCAAAACAGTATTCCAAAAAAAAAAAAAAAAAAAAACTTTTATTGTCAAAATTGTTTCTTAAAAAAGTGGTATGTTTGTTGTAGAAATTCAGTGCTTCCAACCTTTCTCACATAACATCACTCACAGCAAATGATATTTAGAGGCACAATGGAATAAATAGAGGAGAATGCTGCAGACCAAGGACAAATACCCCAGGGCCCTAACCCTACCCCTACTACTGGCCTTGATTGTCATCCTCAAAGACCTGAGAGAATCAGTACTTAGCACAGATGAAACCCATACCTTTAATTAATTTATTTATTTATTCATTCGTTCATTCATTCCTCACACTGGTTGGGGAGCTTTGCCTTATTTTTTGGCATCATGCCTTATGTATTTTGACCTTTTAAAAATTATTGTCTCTTAAGTAGCCTTTTTAGACATTTTCTCTTTTTAGACATTTTCTCCTAATCGCTTTTTTCCACCCATAAAATTTCAATACTACATATATGCTGTATATCTCTTTATGTACTGTGACCCTTTGGCGGCCTCCTGAGTAGCTGCGACTACAGGTGCGCACCACAATGCCCACTAGTTTTTGTATATTTTTTAGAGGTGGGGTCTCACCATGTTGACCAGGCTGGTCTCAAACTTCTGGGCTCAAGTGACATGTCAGCCTTGGCCTACCAAACTGCTGAGATTACAGGTGTGAGCCACCATGCCCACCCTGCCTTTTTTTTTTTTAAGATAGCATATCCATAATGCATCAACTGGAATTTTCCAGTTTCATTTTCCAATTTCATTATCAGTAGACTGATAATGATACTGTTGATGCTATCTGAGTGTAGTAGGCTTTCATGTTTCTCAATTTTCTTTTAAATCTTTTGCAATGTCTCATTTATACCTTATTTAAAACCAATTGTTTTAGTTAATAACTTTTTCAAGTTTATATTTTGTATTTGGCATACAGACAAAATATAAATTATATAAATATATAGTTATATATTCTATATTCTAATTATATATTCTAGTTACAGTTCTGTGATTGAAGTAACAAGTTCTCCATAAACAGAATTCTGCATATATGAAAACTAGATATACTATAAAAAATAGCATTGCAGATCATTGGGCTAATGATGAACTGGTCAGTAAATGGTGATGGGACAATTCTATATTTCCATTAAAAAGGGGGGCTCTCTACTTCCCATTATAAACACATTGTAAATGCTTTTAGAAGAAAATATAAGAGAATATGGTTTTGGTCTTGATTATAGAAAGTTTTCTTACAAAATATGTAATCGAAAGAAAAATTGACAAATTCAACGAATTAAAACTCATGTTTCTCAAGAAAATTAGAAGACTACAGACTGGAAGAAAATGTTGCAAAAGACATGTCTGATAAAGGACTTTTAATCCAAAATATACAGAGAGCTCTTAAAATTCAGCAGTAAGAAAACAATTCAATTAAAAAATAGGCAAATAGGTATTTGAACAGATACCATATGCTTATTTGCCATCTGTTTTTATTCTTTATTACCAAGGAAAATAAATAGATGGCCAATAAGCATATGAAAATATGCTCAATATCGTATCATTAAGGAATTGCAAATTAAAGCAACAATGAGATACCACTGTGCACCTATTAGAATAGCAGAAATCCAAAACACCACCTCCACCAAATGCTGGTGAGGATGTAGAGCAACAATAACTCATTTATTTCTAGATAATGTAAAATGGTACAGCTCTGTGAAAGACAGTTGTGCTGCTCCTTACAAAACTCAGCATACTCTAACCGTATAATCCAGCAATTATGCTCCTTAGTACTTACCCAGAGGAGTTCAAAACTTATGTTCATACAAAAACTTGCAGGTGGACCTTTATAGCAATTTCATTCATAATGGCCAAAACTTGGAAGCAACAAAGAGGTCATTCAGTAAATGAATGGATCCACAAACTGGCATATCCTGACCATGGAGTATTATTCAGCACTTAAATACAAAAGAGCTATCAAGACATGAAAAAGACATGAAAGGACTTTAAAAGTATGTTACTAAGTGAAAGAAGCCAATCTGAAAAGGCTACATACTGTATTATTCCAACTATATGACATTCTGGAAAATGCAAAACTATGGAGACAATAAAAGACTAGTGCAAAGTCTATTTTATAAGAAACTAACACTTCTGTTCAAGTGACACCATAAAAAGAGTATAAAGACAAGCCACAGTGTAGAGAAGATACTTTTTCTGAGAAGAAACCTGTGAAAAAAGTTCAACATCATTAATGATTAAGGAAATACAAATTAAAACACCTCTCTTTTTTTTTTTTTTTTTTTGAGACGAAGTTTCGCTCTTGTTACCCAGGCTGGAGTGCAATGGCGCGATCTCGGCTCACCGCAACCTCCGCCTCCTGGGCTCAGGCAATTCTCCTGCCTCAGCCTCCTAAGTAGCTGGGATTACAGGCATGCGCCACCATGCCCAGCTAGTTTTTTTTTGTATTTTTAGTAGAGACAGGGTTTCACCATGTTGACCAGGATGGTCTCGATCTCTCGACCTCGTGATCCACCCGCCTCGGCCTCCCAAAGTGCTGGGATTACAGGCTTGAGCCACCGCGCCCGGCCTAAAACACCTCTCTTAATGAGATTCAGTTTGTGCTCATTGACAAAGATTAAGGAGTTTAGATAAGGCAAATGTTAGTACAAATACAGATCACTCGGAAAGCTTAAACAGTAAGGAGGATGAGCACAAGTTTAGCACTATTTTGTAATAAATTCATTAAATGTTGACGTAAATTACATATATTTAAATGAAAAACAACTGTTTCAAAAAATGAGGAGGGCATTGTTTTATATTTTTAATGTCTGGCTTCATAGAAGGCAACTGTATTATCTGCTTCACAGATTCCATTAGTCAATATGATAATGTATTATCATGTCATGTTGTCTCTGGAATACCTCATTATATACTCTTGATTGAGAGTCTAAAGATAATGTCTTAGTGTTATTGTGAAGTAATTTTGACCTTAGGGACCCTAGCAATCCTCAGGCCACATGTTGGAAATTGCTGTGCTAGGGAGTAGGATACTAGAAATGAGTATTCAGTAAGTTGTAGGTAGCAGTTGATATTTAAAGAGGAGATTGAAGAATGTCAGTTAAGTCAGGATCAGTTAAGAAAGCTTCTACCGTAAAACAGCTGTTTAAATCTCAACCTCAACAATTCTACTTCTCATGTTTTCTTCAGGAAATGAACTAATAAAGTTGCTTTAGTCTTCCCTCCCCAAGGGCAACTATTGTTATGCATTGAATGCATGTCCCTCTAATCTGGGGTTTTGCTATGTTTTTTGATTTTTACATATATGCCTGTATATCTTTGAATAGCATGTTAAAATTACATAAACAGGCCGAGCGCGGTGGCTCACGCCTGTAAGGCTGAGGCAGGCAGATCAGGTCAAGAGATCAAGACCATCCTGACCAACATGGTGAAACCCAGTCTCTACTAAAATACAAAATTAGCTAGGCATGGTGGTGCACACCTGTAATCCCAGCTACTGGGGAGGCTGAGGCAGTAGAATTGCTTGACCCCAGGAGGTGGAGGTTGCAGTGAGCTGAAATTGCACCACTGCCCTCCAACCTGGAGACAGAGCGAGACTCTGTCTCAAAAATAAATAAATAAATAAATAAAATTTACATAAATGAGGGATACAAATCTTAACTTTATTGTTAAAAGTTTTTCTTTTTTATGTTAATTTTGTTCTTTTTTCCTAAATGTATGTTACATTTTTTCTTTCAGAATCATTGAAAAATGGCTCTGCTACAGGTGGTGGAAATAAAGTTTATTCTTTTCAGAATAGAAAACACTCTGAAAAAATGGCCAAATTAGGTATGTTGCTTTTCTGATTTCTATAATTATTTTTCATCTTTCCTAAGGTAGATTTAACCACATTCCCCATGATTATCATCTCGCTGCATTTCCTGAAAGAATAAGAGAGATTCCCTATAGTTTACATAATAATGAGACATTTCCTAAAAGAAGGATGCTATATTAAGCACAATTAAGTTCATTTGGTTTTTTTTCATGCTCAGATGTCTTCTGTTTTCAGCTAGATTATAAGCTTCTTGTAGTATGAACAAGTCTTTGTTTTTCTTTAGTTCTCTCCAAAATATGTAGCTTTTTCTTTTCTTTTTTTTTTTTTTTAAGATGGAGTCTTGCTCTGTCACCCAGGCTGGAGTGCAGTGGCACGATCTCAGCTCACTGCAACTTCCGCCTCCCATGTACAAGTGATTCTCCTGCCTCAACCTCCCGAGTAGCTGGGACTACAGGTGTGTGCCACCACACCTGGCTAATTTTTTGTATTTTTAGTAGAGAGGGTGTTTCACCATGTTAGCCAGGTTGGGTCTTGATCTCCCAATCAAGTGATCTACCTGCCTCAGCCTCCCAATGTGCCGGGATTACAGGCATGAGCCACCATGCCCAGACGTAGCTTAGTTTCTTCACAAAGTTTTTTGAAGTAGTAAGTGCATTGAGAGTCACACAGAGATATTCTGAATTGATTAAATAAGAGTTTTGCTGGGCATAGTTGCTCATGCCTGTAATTCCCAGCATGGGAGGCTGGGGCTGGTACATCACTTGAGGTCAAGAGTTTGAGACCAGCCTGGCCAACATGGTAAGACCCCGTATCTACTAAAAATACAAAAAAATTAGCTGGGTATGGTGGTACACCTGTAGTCCCAGCTACTCAGGAGGCTGAGGCAAGAGAATTGCTTGGACCTGGGAGGCAGAGGTTACAGTGAGCTGAGATTGACCGCTGCACTCAGCTGGGTGACAGAGCAAGACTCCATCTCAAAAAAAAAAAAAAAAAAAAACAAGAGTTTTACACTGTATATGGAAAAATGTGGTTTATATTATAGAAAAATGCTTACATAAAATTATTAGGAATAGTCTTCTAACGTTTTTCTTACTTGAGTTACCACTATACCAATTATACTTCAATTGCTGATTTTCAGAGAACTAAGCTGTAGTAAATTACATATAACCTTAAAATTAAACTCAGTTATTTTTCAAAATTCAGGCCAGGCATGATAGCTCACACCTGTAATCCCAGCACTTTGGGTGGCCAAGACAGGAGTATCTCTTGAGGCCAGTAGTTCAATACCAGCCTGGGCAACATAGTGAAACCCTATCTCTATAGAAAATTTAAAACTTAGCCAGGCATGGTGGTACATACCTATAGTCCCAGCTACTTGGGAGGCTAAAGCAGGAGGATTGCTTGAGCCCAGGGGTTCAGTGTTGCAGTAAGCAATGATCACACCACTACACTCCAGCCTGGGTGACAGAGTAAAACCCTATCTCAAAATTAAAAAACAAAAACTCAGATGGCATTGTATTTTCATCTTATGGTATGAGGGGTGTCATCATTTTTGAAAGCCTTAAGGAAGGGAAATAATAAATGTGAAAGCACTTTGAGAATTTAAAAGATAATGTAAATAGAACGTTTGGAAATACTAAAAAGTCTGGAACAATAGAGTAATAATTATCTACCTGGTAAATGTAATAGTTGAAAAAGAGGACTTAATGTATAATTATAAAACATGTATGTATATTTCTTCAGTGGTTTGTTTTTATTCAATCACTGTAGCCAATGACACATGTAAACATTCAAGCTCAAGTAAAAATGAAACATGTTAAATGTTGATACTGATGAGGAATATATGAGAAGTAATTATAAAACCAGTATTTCTGAATATAAGTTAGTTAATCACTTGCTACAATCACCTTAGTTTTTCTTTTTTTGTGTGTGTGATGGAGTTTTGCTTTTGTTGCCCAGGCTGGAGTGCGATAGCACAATCTCAGCTCACAGCAACCTCTGTGATACTTATTTTCTTTTACCTCATACCCCTCCCAGGTTCAAGCAATTCTCTTGCCTCAGCCTCCCGAGTGGCTGGGATTACAGGTGCCCGCCACTATGCCCACCTAATTTTTTTTATTTTTAGTAGTAACTGAGTTTCACTATGTTGGCCAGGCTGGTCTCAAACTCCTGACCTCAAGTGATCACCCACCTTAGTCTCCCAAAGTGCTGGGATTACAGGCATGAGCCACCATGCCAGGCCTCAGTTTAGTTTTTTTTAAAAGGTATAACATTAAATACATTACTAATTTTGAACATAACATGGTACATACAATAATTTGCATGAATTGATACGTTTCTTAGTATTTATTATTTATATCAAGAAATTAAATTCTTTTTTGGTTGGGTGTGGTAGTTCACGCTTATAATCCCAGAACTTTGGGAAGCCGAGGTGGGCAATCACTTGAGGTCAGGAGTTCAAGATGAGCTTGGCCAACATGGTGAAACCCTATCTCTACTAAAAATACAAAAATTAGCTGGGTGTGGTGGCGCATGCATACCTGTATTCTGGCTACTGGGAGGCTGAGGCAGGAGAATTACTTGAACTCAGAAGGTGGAGGTTGCAGTGAGCCAAGATTGTACCACTGCACTGCTGCCTGGGAGACAAATTCCATCTGAAAAAGCAAGAAATTAAGTTTTAAATCTACAAAAATGGCTGAATCCTGTATAGGAGCACTGAGAAACCAGAGAAGAAATGCTGATGTAATTATTAGAAGAAAGATAAAATAGACATCAAGACCAAAATGAAACCCTATAACAGTGGTGCAGGATAAAGAAATACCACTGGAGAAAGAGGGGAGCTATTACTATGACGTGAAATAGAACTGACAGGAGTAATCAAGTAGTAGTTCTCCATTTGGAGAATCAGCATGCACATAACTTAAAGATGATAATGTGTTGTATTTGTAAGCGCTGGATAAAACTAATATTATCATTCTGTGCATTTCTGTCATCTCATCTGAAAGAAATACATGTTTTAAAGTCAAGAGAAAACAGTTTTATAGATACTTAGTCTTTGTTATTATGACCGTGAAATTTCAGGAGCACAATTTGACAGACTGATCAGACTTTCTAAAATCTTTTAGTTATGACCCATGTTTAATTACAGTGCTCTTTAATGAATTTCATTGACTCATTAAGTATTGTGCTAATTGTTTTTACATCTAAATATATCAGTAAAATGGAATGCCTTAATATGCAATAAATAACATGATCTTCCAGAAAATAATGTTATTCTGAGTATAAATGATGATTTTGGCCAGGGATGGTGGCTCACACCTATAGTCCCAACACTTTGAGAGGACAAGGCAGGAGGATCACTTAAGCCTAGGAGTTTTGAGACCAGCCTGGGCAACATAGTGAGACCTTGTCTCTATAAAAAAAAATAAAGATAAAAAAATGATTTTCATATAATCGGGCTAACCAAGATATAGGGCTAGAAATAGACTATAGTTTAGACAGGAAGGCTTTGTAAAATATTGCGAATGTATGTAGGGTAAGAAAAGAAATGTAAACAAAAGAGCAAAAGCAGAAGTACCAGGTAGAGAAGAAAGTGAGGAGTTCATTCAGGTTGGAGAAATAAATGGGTAAATTAAAAATAGATTGAAATCCAGCAATCCCACTATTGAATATATACCCAAAGGTTATGAAATCAGTATGTCAAAGAGATATCTGTACTCCCATGTTCATTGCAGTATTATTTCACAACAGTCAGGATATGGAATCAACCTAAATGTTTGTCAACAGATGAGCAGATAAATATAAATGAGGTAAAAGAAAATAAGTATCTTTTTTAAAAAAAGAAAATAGATTGGTTTGATAGGATCAGATAATAGACTTATCTAAAGCTATCATTTGGCAAGACCAGCTTATTGTATAAAATACAATATAGATGAATTATTAGAATAATGAAAATAAAGACAAAAATTTATAGCTTTTTTTTTTTTTTTTTTTTTTAACAAGACCACAAGTAACATCATAACTAATTTTTTTTTTTTTTTTTAGGGACTCACTGTGTTGCCCAGGCTGGAATGTGTGGTGTAATCTCAGCTCACTGCAACCTCCACATCCTGGGCTCAAGCAATCCTCCTACCTCAGCTTCCCAAGTAGCTCGGAAAGTCACATGCCTGGCTAATTTTTCTATTCTTTTGTAGAGACAGGGCTTCCTTATGTTGCCCAATCTGGTCTTGGACTCTTAGACTCAAGCAATCCACCCACCTTGGTCTCCCAAAGTGCTGGTATTATAGGCTTGGGCCACCATGTCCAGGAATAATTTTGTATTAGTAGAGTCAACAGCCTTGCCATTACATTTCATTTAACATCATCAAAAACAAATATGACATAGGAGCAAGAAAAGAATGACAAAAACTGTACACATGCCTTGAAAGTATGCATGTAGATGATTTTTTTGTAATAGCTATTTATTAGCTTTTTAATAAAGCAACACTGTATAGTGAAAGTAATAAACTAGAAATAGCTTATATATATACATATTTTTGTTGATTTATTTTTGAGACAGTGTCTCGCTTTGTCACCCACGCTGGAGTGCAGTGGCACAATCTTGGCTCACTGCAGCTTCCACCTCCTGGGTTCAAGCAATTCTCCCACCTCAGCCTCCCATGTAGCTGGGATTACAGGCATGCACCACTATGCCTGGCTAGCATGTAGATGATTAATACAGAGTAAAGGTCAGCCAGCTTTTTCTGTAAAGGGCCAGACAGTAAATATTTCCAGCTCTGTGGGCTAGACAGTCTCTGTTGTGACTACTGAACTTGACTGTCTAGCTGAAAAGCAGCTACAAACAATGTGTATGGACGGTGCGGCTATGTTCCAATAAAACTGCTTAAAACACGTGGAAGGCTGGGTTCGGCCCATAGACTTATAGCATGCTGTCTCCTGATGTAAAGAATCACTATTTGTAACTTTTTGCCATTCACAGTCATAACTACACAAAAAGTTATGTGTTACATAGTGATTCACCACTGGGCATGGTGACTCTTGCCTGTAATCCTCGCAATTTGAGAGGCCAAGGTGGGAGAAGCACTTGAGACCAGGAGTTTGAGACCAGCCTGAGCAACATAGGAAGACCCAGTCTCTACAAAAATTTAAAAATTACCTAGGCATGGTGGCACATGCCTGTAGTCCCAGCTACTTTTGAGTTTGAGGTGGGAGGATGACTTGGGCCCAGGAGGTCAAGGCTACAGTGAGCCATGATCACACCATTGGATGCCTGGGCGACAGTTGTACTGGGCATTGTGCCTGGTGCTTGTTAGACATGCTGAGTCATCCAAGAAATGTTGGAATGTCTGCCTATCTCTGCGTGCTCACAGAAGTGACTATCTTGTTCTTATTCCTCTTCAACTCTTTCTTCTTCTTTTCTCCCTGGTTCCTTTGTAGTTTAATCATTATTTAAAATCAGGTGGAGCATTTTTATGTTTCAGGATAAAACCAGAATGATCTCAGCTAAGTTGCTTTGTGCTTATGTTGCTTTTTTTATATGAAGTTTTTTTCTCTATCTTGTAAATTAGCATTTAATCCAAAAATGACGTAAAGAGAAGAGCAAGGACTGAGCCTTAAGTATGCTTAGAATGTTGAGGAGGCTGAGCACAGTGAAGAAGAGATGGAATAAACACCACTGGTAGCTTGGGAAGCAGGATAATGTCATAAGACTCAAATGGAGGAATAATATCAAGGGAAGATTAAAAACAAACAAACAACAACAAAAATACCTAGTGAATCATATAGAAGACCAAAGAGATTAAGTAAAAAGAAGCAGCCAATTCATTTGTAAACATTGTTATGAGTATCTTAGGTCAGTTTCAAAATTGGAGGATAAAAATGGGGGCAGGTTGGGAGGCCAAAGCGGGTGGATCACGAGGTCAAGAGATCGAGCCCATCCTGGTCAACATGGTGAAACACCATCTCTACTAAAAATACAAAAAATTAGCTAGGCATGGTGGCGCGTGCCTGTAATCTCAGCTACTCAGGAGGCTGAGGCAGGAGAATTGCCTGAACCCAGGAGGCGGAGGTTGCAGTGAGCCGAGATCGTGCCATTGCACTCCAGCCTGGGTAACAAGAGCAAAACTCCGTCTCAAAAAAAAAAAAAAAAAAAAAAATGGGGGCAGGTTAGAAAGGTTTAGGAGCCAGTAAAATGGCTTTCACTTGTGCTAATTTAACGATACTTTCTCCATTTAGAAAAAGAAGAAAAAAAGGAGTTAATTTGGTTTGTACCTTTTTTCTCAGTCAACAGTGTGCCAGTGTGAGTGTTGACTTGGGAAATGTAAATCTATTTCTTCATTTGGGTTCATTTCCCACATGCCTCTCATGATGTGACTGTGAGAGCATCGTTAAAGATAATTATATTTTTTAATTTAAAATGGCCCCTGTTATAAGTGATTTGGTCTTTGGTCTTTAGTTAAAAAAAAAAAACAGAGAAAGAAAGATTTAAAAGTAAAAATAAAATGGCCCCTAAACAAAAAACCACTATTTCATTTATGCTCAGTCGAAGAAATGGCCATCTGTTCAACACTATTTTATGCATTATTCATATGTATTATAGACTTTTTGGCACAAAATAAACTCTTCCACACTTTATGGAAGATTTAAAAGATTTTAAGGTATAATTTTAACTATGCACAGTTTTCACTTGATTTTAGATCTCATTTTCTGATCTTTCTTTCTCACCATGCCCCCCAACCCCAATCAAAGATGTACCTCAACTATATATGGTAAGAAATGAAAGGAAAATAAGTTGTTGATGGAGAGGAGAGTGTGGTAATTAGAGAAAGCAGCAAGGTCAAAGTAGTTATTTGTATTTTTTTGAAGAAATCTGGATAATATGAAGGAAAATTTGAAGATGCTGGGAAGACACCTAATAAAGGTAAAAGCAGTATTGCTCCTAATATGGGTAGGTTTTTGTTTCTGATAAAAGTAACAGGTATTTTTAAGAATTTTTGTAAGTGAAATAAGGCTATTTCCCTCTTTGTCTACTGTTGTCCTTTAAAAGTTTTTATATATTTCTTTGTTTACAGCTTCAGAACTAGCAAAAACACCAAAAAAAAGTGTTTCATTCAGTTTGAAGAATGATCCTGAGATAACAATGAATGTTCCTCAAAGTAGCAAGGGTAAGACATTACATTAGTTATTTGAAAAGAGTTTTCATAGTTGCTTCAAGATAGAGCATGCTACTTTTTCTCTTGTTTGTGAATTTTCATATATTTTTCTTCTCTTCAATTCTAAAAATTCAGTTAACAAAATGCAATTAATACTTCAACTTATGTACCTTAGTGTATCCACAGTTAGCAGTCAGTAAGAGGAAAAAATATCTGTGCTAACTGAAGTTGTGCAAATCAACAGGGCCAACCAGAAATAGTCTTTAAGTCCTATTGTCATTTGCTTGAGTTAGCCAATTATTTATAGAAGATTTGGCTTTGGCAAATGCTATATGAAATAAGGCATTTGGAGTTTGGAAGTCATCTTACAGATTGTGGAGCAGCTGTTTTTGAATGATCCATTCCAACTATATGAAAAAGTGTACACTTTATTTCTCTTTATTTGAACTATATACGGTAAGAAATGAAAGGAACACTGTTGTCACTTGCCAATATTTCTGTTATTTCATTTTTTAGAGACAGGATCTCACTATGTTGCCCAGGCTGAAGTGCATTGGCTATTCACAGGCACAGTTACTGCATGCTATTAAAGCCTTGAACTCCTGGGCTCAAGTGATCCTCTAGCCTCAGCCTCTCATGTAACAGGGACTATAAACATGCACCATTGTGTCTGGCTCCATTGTACTTTTGTTTGTTTGTTTGTTTGTTTGTTTTGTTTTTTGAGGCGGAGTCTCGCTCTGCCACCCAGGCTGGTTTGCAGTGGTGTGATCTTAGCTCAGTGCAATCTCCACCTCCCTGATTTAAGTGATTCTCCTGCCTCAGACTCCCAAGTAGCTGAGAGTACAGGCACCCACTATGACTCCTGGCTAATTTTTACATTTTTACTAAAAATGGGGTTTCACCATGTTGGTTGGGCTGTTTTGGAACTCCTGACTTCAAGTGATCCTCCCACCTCAGCCTCCCAAAGTACAGGAATTATAGACGTGAGCCAGCGCACCTGGCCAATTGTATCTTGCAATAATCAAAATTTAAAAGGGCTCCATTTTTCTTTTAGAATGTTACAGAAATGCAGGAAGTAGCTGATAATAATGTGAGTAATTATGAAGTTAATAGTGATAATCCTCTAGTGGAGATGGAATTAATTTAAAATTCAGTAGTAATGTGGTGGTTTCTATGTAGAAGCTGCAATTTTGCTTTTTTTTTTTTTAATTTTTAATTTTTTGAATAGAGATAGGGTCACGCTATGTTATCCAGGTTGGTCTTGAACTCTTGACCTCAAGCAATCCTCCTGCCTCGCCTCCCAAAGAGCTGGGATTACAGGTGTGAGCCACCATGCCTGGCCAACTTTACTTTTAATGAAACTAGACCATGATGAAAAGTGAAGTGTCTATAGTAAGTCATGGCTTTTTGTTTCATTCTTTAGGACATTCTGCTTCAGACAAGGTTCAGCTGAAGGTAAGCAATTGATTAAAAAGAAGCAAAAGCCTTAGTATTACAAAGTAAGACATGATGAAAAATCACCAGAAATTCAATGAAAAAAAATTAATCTCTTAATTTATATAGCGCTTTGTAATTTACAGATACTTGGTGGTTAAATACCTAACTTAGAGATGGAGAATATGAGGTTCAGAGAGGTGAAGTGACTTTTGTGAGTTCACCTGACTAGGAAGGAGAACAGCTAGAAAATGGAGCCAGGCCCCTGCTTTTTTTGCTGTGTGTAGCTGACCTGAAAATTTTTGGGGTTATGCTTTTATCTATCATGTTCTGTTTCACTTTTTGGGGGGCAGAGGGTGGTGGTGTGCAGTTTGATCCCAAGATGCACTAAATTCATTACTCTATCCTTTTATAATTTACATATGAAAACTTAGGCTGGCTTACACAAATACATTCCAGAATAATTAAAAGGAATTGACGATTTTTATCTCCTCCTTTGAGGGTTTTGTTTGTTTGTTTGTTTGTTTTTTAAGATGGAATCTCACTCTGTAGCCCAGCCTAGAGTACAGTGGCAGGATTTCAGCTCACTGCAACTTCTAACTTTCAGGTTCAGTGACTCTTGTGTCTCAGCCTCCTGAGTAGCTGGGATTACAGGTGTACACCACGTCACCAGGCTAATTTTTGTATTTTTAGTAGAGGCAAGGTTTTACCTCGGCCAGGTTGGTCTTTAACTCTTGACCTCAAGCGATCCACCTGCCTGGGCCTCCTACAGTACTGGTATTATAGGTGTGAACCACCACGCCTGACTTCCTTTGTGTTTTTGTGGTATAATTTTCTCATGATGGCTTGTCAAGTGGCCCTGCCTGGATGTAGGCAAGCTCAGATAGGAATGGACAAATTCAGAGCATTGAGTATGTGATAGTGACTGTGTCCAGGACTGGGCAGCTGTAGATTTACCTGGTCTTATATATGGTTTAGGTTAAGGGAACTCCTTATGTAAGAATGTGGGTGTTCAATGAAAGGGCCATATATGCAAAGCATCCTCCACATGCCAAAGGAGCCAAGAAACTAAAGGACAAGGCAGAAAAGTTTAGTTTGTTGGTAAAAGGTATTTTATTGGAGACAGAAGCATGGTCTTGGCAGCCACTAGATTGGTAGCTCTCTGCATTGTTTCTCTCCAGACCCAGGGCTTATAGCTTATATACTGTAAGGAAAGGGTATACATGTTCCAGCAAGATAATTAAAGGCAACCCTCTTTAATTGTCAAGAGGGCAAGAATGCTATATGCATTGTAGCCAGTAATTTGTGTGATAGTATCAAGGTTCACGTGTTCTTTCACAGAAGGCAGTAAATAAAGTAGGAATCAGGAGGCATTCATGAAACTGGGGCTAATCAGAAGTTAACATGGTGGATTAGCGTCTAAGATGGAGTCACTTTTGTCTCCACAGTCAGTATAGACATTGAAGGCCATGGTTATGGCCTGTAGAGGAATGTCCTATTTAGACAAGTCTGGGTATGAGATCAGACAAGCAAGAATTTCATTTGTCTTTAATAATGCTTTTTCCCTATATTGTATCTGGTGTGTTGTGTCACTATAAAAGGAGAAAAACTCATTGCCTTAATCCAATCAAGAATTTAGATTATTCTTTCTCAAGTTATGGGTTATAACCCATTAGTAGATCTTGTTAACTCTCCCAAAAGACCAGAAAACCAGAAACAAAACTACCTATCACAATAAGAGACAATATCGTTGTGACAGAATCTTAGTGTACTGTCTTAGAAGAGCAAGTTCAAGAGAAAATATGTATAGGGCTTAGGGATCCTGGGCTCAAGTGGCTTAAGGCAGGTTTTTCAAGATGGTAAACTGGTTGGTATTGGACAAAGTTGGGGACATGATAATTTAGGATTGGCAGACACAATGAAGAGAGTGTCTTAAAGTGTATCTTGATAACTGTTAATAGGATAATCTTTTTGCCCTGGGCGTAATCTGTTGTCCTGATAGGAGAACAATTTGCCCAAATGAGCAAACTGTCAGGATAGATTCATTTGCAGAAATTTTCTATAACAATTTGAGAAATTATTTATTAGTCTTGTCTTTTTGAGCAGGAATTTTCTGCAACAGTTACTTTGACACAGATGTTATGAATTCTCAGACTTAAGCTGTGTAGATCTATATAAGTTATCTCAATCTTGAAATCAGTTTAATAGGACATAACCTGCATTTTTAACAAATGAAGTAGAACAGAATTTTAAATTTCTGTTTAATATTTTTTTTCAGTTGTATATACACATATGTACTAGGTCAAGATGACAAAATGTAAAAATTTTTGAGGATCTTAATCAAAAAAGTTTGAGATGTACTGTAAATCCATTGGTAAAGGATTAGCTCAGTTATTAGAATACTATTCTTAATATCCCAAATCAGATTTTAATGATGTTTATAACTATCACCAACAATCTATTACAAGACAATAAACTTAAAATTTTTTTGTCATATTTTCATGTTGACAAAATCACAGGATACTTTAACTTTTTTATTAATATTGTCAGAAATTAACATGTATATAACAGTGGATGTTTTCATATGCTAAAAACTTATGGTGTTAAAGTATTCTATAAGAAAACATACTTTGTACTTCTGTAAAAAGTTACAATCTTTTAAATACAGAAAGTAAGAAAGTATAAATCTCTGTTTCTCTCCTCACTGAATGTAATACTTTTTAACACCAGTAAATTTCTAGAACATTAAAAGGCCCATTGCCATATACATAGTGGTGCCCTCAATGCTACATAATATTATCTTTTAAAAAAAATATGCTACTGGGCTGGGTGCAGTGGCTCACACCTGTAATCCCAGCACTTTGGGAGGCTCAGGTGGGTAGTTCACTTCAGGTCAGGAGTTTGAGACCAGCCTGGCCAATATGGTAAAACCCCATCTCTACTAGAAATACAAAAATTAGCTAGGCATGGTGGCATGTGCCTGTAATAGCAGGAGTATTGCTTGAACCTGGGAGGCGGAGATTGCAGTGAACCAAGATGATGCCACTGCACTCCAGCCTGGGTGACACAGCAAGAGACTCTGTCTGGAAAAAAAAGAAAAAAAAACAAAACTATATATATATATATATATATATATATATATCAAATCTGATAGGTGAAAGTAGTTCAAAAAGCTGATATACTCATTTGTTTGGTACATAATAATAAAAGTATATACATATTTTACAGATATGTAGAATTCAATTTCTAGAATCATTCTAGTTATCCTTTGGAATTTATATTTCTTTTGTTATTTTGTTATTTTGGAACCCTTTTTTGTTTCAGATAATTCATTTGTCATTATTTTCTAGTTTTAGGAACTAGGCTTTTCTAGTTCTAGTGCAATCTATTGAAAGCAAAATATTTTTCTTCTTTTCTAGCCTCTTTTACTCAGACCAGTCATTAACTTCCATGTTATTATTTAACTATAATGCTTTTTCTGTTTTTAAACAGAGCAATGACAAAAGTGAATTTCTGTCAACAGCACCTCGTAGTCTAAGAAAAAGATTAATAGGTACGTATTTCTTTTTACATAACGTTTTTATAAAAAGTAACATCTAAACAAGAGACAATAATAGTTAAGTATATACATTCTAGATTTAGAATGCTTGGGTTTTTAAATCATTGGCTTTTAGCTGTAACACTTAGCACCATGTCTTTCACATTATAGTCAGTGTATATTGAAGTCAGCTAAAAGGGTCTTTCCAATGAAATAACATGCCTTTTATTTGTTTTAAGATAGTTTGGAAATGATTCTATTGATTTCTTTGGAAATTTTATAATGAAATAATATTAAACAATCATAGTTGTAGTGAGTATTAAACAAAATCAAGTAGACAGACATGGCTTCTGCTTCCTACGAAATTAAAAATGGCTTCAGATTTTTGAACATTTAACTTTGGGGCTAATGACTAGACCTTTATATATCAGAAAGATGTCAACTTCTTTCATACTGTTGACCCTTGACAGTAATAGTATTAACCAACATTGTTAAATTCAGCTGAACATCAGGGCTTCATACTTTATAGCCCTTTCTTTTCAAGGTATTAGTTTCATAGAGTTGTTAAAACTGTATTTTTGGGCCGGGCGCAGTGGCTCATGCCTATAATCCCAGCACTTTGGGAGGCCGAGGCGGGTGGATCAAGAGATCGAGACCATCCTGGTCAACAAGGGGAAACCCCGTCTCTACTAAAAACACAAAAATTAGCTAGGCATGGTGGCGAGCACCTGTAATCCCAGCTACTTGAGAGGCTGAGGCAGGAGAATTGCTTGAACCCAGGAGGCGGAGGTTGCAGTGAGCCAAGATCGTGCCAGTACACTCCAGCCTGGGTAGTAAGAGCAAAAAAAAACCAAAAAAAAAAAACTGCATTTTTAATCATTATAAAAATGGTAATGCTAAATAATTTGATATATTAAAGCAGTAAAAGATCTGTATTGTTGTGAATGTTATTTCATATCAACTATATCCTGTGTCTTATGATTTCTCCTTATCCCAAAGACGAGTTGTTTTTTAGACAGAAGGTAAACTTCCCTCTTCCTTCTTAATCACCACAAAACATATATACCTACATGGAGGAAGCATATGTGTAAATAAGGTAGAGACATTTTCTGGTACCTGCTGCCACTTCTAAGCTGTGCATATATCATGAGCAGCAGTCAATGTGCATCTGAATCTGCTAAGCTGTATATGTCCACAAAATCAAGCCTGTTTTTTTCTTTTTTAAATATCTGTATTGGTTATATGTTGACTTGGGATAATCCTCTGCAGTATTTCTATTGTTCAAAATAAATACACTGATTTATTTGAAGTTTTTTTACTCATATTTTGGGAGTTCACTTTTAAAAATAGTTTTATGCCTGTTGAGTATGAAACTGGCTTTATTCTTATTTGGTAAGTGTAAAACTAGCTGTATTATTTCTGGGGAGTTGTGGAGGTGAGGTTGTGATTTGTTGAAAAAGATAATTCTTGAATCAACTCTGGGATGGTGTATGTGTATGTATTACTAGTAATAATTATAATCATAACTACCATTTATTGAGTGCTATATTAGGATGATGTTTTCGGTAGGCAGCAACAGAGAAATCTATAATGGTAGTTTAAGCCATAGACATTTAATTACCTCACATCAAAACAAGTATAGAGTTGCAAGTTCCATGGTTGATGTGATTCAACAGTATCATTAAGGACCCAGATTCTTCCTATCTTTTTACTTTGCCACTAGCATTTTTCATCTTTAGGTTTGATACTTCATGTTGCAAAATGGTTTTCATAGCTTTAAACAATGGGTATAAATAGCGGCTTTTCTTCTGTGAACAAAATCTTTCCTAGAAGCTGCCAGCAATTTTCCTTCAATTCATTGGTCAAGGGGTCTTATATAGTTAACCATGGTTGGAGCGGAGGCTGGGAAAGCAGGTATCTAGTAGAGGGAAAAGGCTGTTACCGTGATTCATACCCTAGGGTGGGGCATATTGCCATATCTTGCAAAATTGGAGTTCTGTTAGCAAGGAAGAGGGAAGGAGAACAGTGTTAGGTATGATTAACCATTTTTATCACAGTTCCTGTGTATCAGGCATCATTAGTTGCTTTATATACATTTCAGTGTAATCTTTACAATGATTTATTAAAATCTGTACTATTAATTTGATAAATAAATGAACAGGTGCTGAGAAAATTTATTAATTAGCTCTGGTGAAATCATGAGCCAATAATGACAAAACCAGGATTCAGACTCTTACTTCAGAGCCCACACTCTTTCCTTTACTCCACAGTGCCTCTCTTGTCAAACCATGAAATTGTCCGAATTGCTATTTTTCCCCCCACAGTTCCAAGGTCTCCTTCTGACAGTGAAAGCGAATATTCTGCTTCCAACTCAGAGGATGATGAAGGGGTTGCACAGGAATATGAAGAGGACACTAATGCAGTCATATTCAGCCAAAAGATTCAAGCTCAGAATAGAGTAGTTTCAGCTCCTGTTTGCAAAGAAACACCTTCTAAAAGAATGAAAAGAGATAAAACAGTAAGTGAAGAGAGACTTTAACCTTAAAGAAAAATTGTATAGTATCTCAAAGATAGGCTACCCTAAGAGATCCATATCTCTCAGAATAATATGTTTTCTTCACTTTTCTCTCTTTTCTCAGCCTTCCACATAAATTCCCATATATATTTGTTTCTACTTCTGGGCTTTCTATTCTGGCCTGTCTAATATTCATTAATTAATACCATAGTATAGGTAAATAGTATATGCTAAAAGTGATATCTCAAGTCTGTTGTATAAAAATGAACTTTTTAGGCCAGGCACGGTGGCTGACGCCTGTAATCCCAGCACTTTGGGAGGCCGAGGTGGGTGGATCACCTGAGGTTAGGAGTTTGAGACTAGCCTGGCCAACATGGTGAAACCCTGTCCCCACTAAAAACACAAAAATTAGCCAGGTATGGTGTTATGTGGCTGTAATCCCAGCTACCCAGGAGGCTGAGGCAGGAGAATCAGTGGAACTCAGGAGGTGGAGGCTACAGTGAGCCAAGATCACGCCATCGCACTCCAGCCTGGGCAATAAGAGGGAAACTTTGTCTCAAAATAAATAAATAAATAAAATTTTAAATATACTATGGGATTAGAATTTTAAAAATGACAAAAAGAAAAAAATGAACTTTTTTTTTTTTTTTGAGACGGAGTTTCGCTCTTGTTACCCAGGCTGGAGTGCAATGGCGCGATCTCGGCTCCCCGCAACCTCCGCCTCCTGGGTTCGGGCAATTCTCCTGCCTCAGCCTCCTGAGTAGCTGGGATTACAGGCACGCACCACCATGCCCAGCTATTTTTTTTGTATTTTTAGTAGAGACGGGGTTTCACCCTGTTGACCAAGATGGTCTCGATCTCTTTACCTTGTGATCCACCCGCCTCGGCCTCCCAACGTGCTGGGATTACAGGCTTGAGCCACCGCGCCCGGCCTAAAAAATGAACTTTTAAGTAAATATTGATTGGACAATTGGAGGCATGAATTCTCAGTGTATATTGTTTTTGTAATACTGTCAATGTGTTCGAGACAGTGTAATGAATGATGTCTTGAGAGACAAGTCGTTTGGAAGAACACTGCAGGCACCTCACTTTAGAAAATTATCCTGGTCCTCTGTCTAAAGATTCAGAGCAATTGAGGAGCCTACTGCTTAAATAGCTTTCTGTCCCTTTTTGCCCTAGAGTTTAGTCCTGCCCAAAATCAGAAGAACATATAGTGTGGGAAGAAAATTCCACTTTAATGGAATAGTAGGCCAGTTTTTTGGTTTGTTTGTGGGATTTTTTTTTCTTTTGTTACCTTGCAATTGATTTCCTCCTCAGCCACACTAATATTAAAGGATTTGCTAAGACTATTTGAGGCCAGGCATGGTGGCTCATGCCTGTTATCCCAGCACTTTGGGAGGGCAGTGTGGAAGGATTGCTTGAGGCCAGGAGTTTGAAACCAGCCTGGATAATATAAGACCCTGTCTCTGCAAAAAAAAAAAAAAAAAAAATTTAAAAATTAGCCAGGTGTAGTAGTGCATGCCTGTAGTCCCAGCTACTTGGAAGGCTGAGGTGGGAGGATCCCTTATGCCCAGGAAGTTGGGGCTACAGTGAGCCATGTTTGCACCACTGTACTCCAGCCTGGATGACAGAGTGAGACCCTGCATCAAAAAAGAAAAAAGACTATCAGGAAAAGCAAAGATCCTGATATGTAAAACCATCTCTCTTTTTTTAGTATAAATGGAAATTACGTATTGTAACTCAGGAATCAGTTTTAAAAACAGACTACTACTTCACCTAGTCATTTCTTTAACTTATATGATCCTAGTAATTACTCAGTTTTATTACTGAAATTAAGTATGTTTGGTCTTTAACTGGTACTGTTGCTTTAAAAATAAAATACTACCTAATAATTTCACATGTCCTATTTTACATTAATATTACTGTCTAATTTTGATATAAGACAGATATCTGAAGCTACTAAGGACTGACTATTCTGTTCACTTTCAGAGTGACTTAGTAGAAGAATATTTTGAAGCTCACAGCAGTTCAAAAGTTTTAACCTCTGATAGAACACTGCAGAAGCTAAAGAGAGCCAAACTGGATCAGGTATGTTGCAAGGAATGTTACTTCTAAATTTTTCTTTTCTTTTTTTTTTTTTTTTTTTTTTTTGAGATGGAGTTTTACTTTTGTTACCCAGGCTGGAGTGCAATGGCACGATCTCGGCTCACCGCAACCTTCGCCTCCCGGGTTCAGGCAATTCTCCTGCCTCAGCCTCCTGAGTAGCTGGGATTACAGGCACGCACCACCACGCCCAGCTAATTTTTTGTATTTTTAGTAGAGACGGGGTTTTACCGTGTTGACCAGGATGGTCTCGATCTCTTGACCTTGTAATCCACCCGCCTCGGCCTCCCAAAGTGCTGGGATTACAGGCTTGAGCCACCGAGCCCGGCTTCCTAAATTTTTCTTACTCTGTCCTGAAAATTATGCTACATAAGCAACAGATTTGAAAAGTATATACAAGTAGAATTATTGTTCTGATCAAATGAAATACAAGTTAATGTGATTATTACTTCTTTTATTATATAAATAGTAAATAGGCTGGGCACAGGTGGCTCACACCTGTAATGTCAGCACCTTGGGAGGCCAAGACAGGAGGATTGCATGAACCCAGGAGTTCGAGACCAGTCTGGGCAACATAGGGAGACCTTGTTGTTAGCAAAATTTAAATAAATAAATACATAATTCCCTGATTCAACAGACTCTAATTAGGCATTTTTTCCCTCTTACTGATTTATCATTTCTTCAGGATCTATGATAATCATCAGGGTCATAGTTCCTTGATATCCATGTACCATTAATCTCTGTTATTCATTTAACCTAAGTATTCACTAAACCTCACACTGGTGATAAAACAGTGATTGCAATCTGACTTTCTCTCAGTTAGAAACTTCACAAAAAGTAGAGGCTATTCTACTTGAGGATATTATGGAAAACTTGCCCAGTGTGGTAAGGTAACAAGGTTACTATGTACTATGGTTCCACTAGCTCATTTTACAAAAAAGTACCATATAGTTATACTTGCCTGGAGCTTTATTTCTCTAAGAGAGGAGACAAAACCATGTGAATGAGAAAATCTTTGTCAGTAGTAATTGCAGTTGATAATCTAGGTCTTGGCTCATAGGTAGTGAGACTCAGATCAGAGAATATAAGCAACATGGACAAATGACTCTAGACTCACAATAGGACTTCATCAGACTTAGAGGCAAAAAGATCTCTAGAAGGATAAAAGAAACACACCTGTCAGTAAGGGAGAGGAAAGCCTTTCATTGATCATAAACATAGCATAGCTAACCAATATAATCTTCCATAGTATGTGACAATAAGCATTTATTTTTCAGGTCTGTGTGTCAGTCAGAGGTTGGTTGATTTAGGATTTGCTCCATGTTTCTCTTCCTCATTGTACCAGCAGGCTAGCTGAGGCTTGTTTTTCTCATGACTGTAGCAGAGACATAAGAGAAAAAATGGGAAAACACACCATCTCTTAAAGCCTAGGCTCAAAGCTAAATTGCCAGTTTTGCCACATTCTAGTACAGCAAATCACATGGCTGAAAACTAAGTGAAAGGGCAGAGAACTATGTATGCTCCACCCATTTAGTGGGAGGAACTGCTAAATCACATGACAAAGGATATGGATACAAGTGGGGGAGGATACAAGTGGTGGCCCAGGCCTGTAATCCCAGCACTTTGGGAGGGCAAGGCAGGCGGATCACCTGAGGTCAGGAGTTCGAGATCAGTCCGACCAACATGGAGAAACCCGATCTCTACTTAAAATACAAAATTAACCAGGCATGGTTATGCATGCCTATAATCTCAGCTACTCAGTAGGCTGAGGCAGGAAAATCGCTTGAACCCAGGGGGTAGAGGTTGCGGTGAGCCAAGATCATGCCATTGCACTCCAGTCTGAGCAACAAGAGCAAAACTCCCTCTCAAAAAAAGAAAAAGAAAAAACAAGTGGGGGACATTAGAGTTGAAAGTGCAATTCTCCATGAATATTAAAGTTTGAAATGAGGCTGGGTGTGGTGGCTGACACCTGTAATCCAAGCACTTTGGGAGGCTGAGGTGGGTGGATCACAAGGTCAGGAGTTTGAGACTGTCCTGACCAACATGGTGAAACCCTGTCTCTACTAAAAATACAAAAATTAGCTGGGCGTGGTGGTGCACACCTGTAATCCCAGCTACTCAGGAGACTGAGGCAGGAGGATCGGTGAACCCAGGAGACGGAGGTTGCAGTGAGCTGGAGGTTGCAGTGAGCGAAGATGGGCCACTGCACCCTAGCCTGGGTGACAGAGTGAGACTCTGTCTCAAAAAAAAAAAAAAAAAAAAAAAGTTTGAAATGAAAGTACATATATGAGATAACATTCTAGAATTCACTCAAGTGTGAATATGCTCAGATAATCCTGTGTAAATGACTACCGGAAAAGATACTGGTCCTTTCTCTGCTTTTTCAGGGCTTTGAACTTCAGAAGGGATAAGAGAGATTTTTTTTAACTACCTACTTAACAATTTTATTTAAAGGTAGTCCTGTTTTGCTTTATGTGGCTAAATAAACACTATACAAGCCAGAGTACTTGGAATATTTATTGCAAACCTAATCTTCAGTATTTAAAGAATATTTTACTTGAAAGGTGGTAGAATCATGAAAACATGGGAGTGCCAGAGTGAAGATGCATGTTTATCTTTTTGCAGGAGTTTTCATTTCAAAAAATGATCTCCATTTGATTCATCAGCATGAATTTCCAAGTTTGGGGTACAGGGCAATGCACTTACCTTGGTTTATTTATATTATTGTTTTTTAAAATTTTCAATACTTATCAAAGATAAAGGATCTGTTAGAAACAGCTTTTGGAAAAGGAGCAGTGATAACATGTTTATTTTACTAATGATAATGGTAAGTAAATTATAAAGAACCTTTAATGTTTTCTGAAAAAATGAAAGCCTTATTCTTGAAGTTTATAATAATTTAAATGGTTCTGGACAAAACTTACCAAATTCTTTACTGTTATTACTAGAAAGAATGTTAACAATTTTAAGAAAAGAAGCAAATCATTTTTGAAGAATTTTGTTTATCAGTTGATACACCCAGTGCCAAACCTGATTAAAGTAATATTTCAATTGGCTTCTTGTAAGCTCAGCTTCTAAGGAAATTGTTTGTTTGGATTGATTTGCTGTATGTGGTTTGAGAATGACTTCCCCCCCACTCCTTTTTTTTAAAGCAAACTTTGCGTAGCTTATTGAGCAAGGTTTCTCCTTCCTTTTCTGCCGAACTTAAACAACTAAATCAACAGTATGAAAAGTTATTTCATAAATGGATGCTGCAATTACAGTAAGTATTATTACAAACCCTTGTAAAATAATCATATATAATTTTACACGAATCTTTATGTTAAATCAAAGTAAGTTAACATCTTTTTACAGTGAGTTTGATATATTCATATATAAAAATAAATGGAAAAATAGACATTCTCCCAATTTTATGACTGAGATATAGAAGTATCACTTTATTGTATGACTGTTCCCAGAAATTCTAGTTTTTAAGAAATTCATGTGGTTTATCAGACTTTACAGTCATTGATAAGATAAATAGAATTATGTTAATGGTTTAAAAAACTTGAATATTTAATTTGCCAAGATTAATAAATATACCAATTAGTTCTGTAAAAGTTTCTTTAGAAGAAAAATTTAAAAAGAAAAAATTACATATATATATATACACCAATTAGATTTTAATCCAGTTTTCCACAGCATAGTTTCTTAAATGAAAGGATAATATTTACTATAATCTTATATATGTGTAACTATACTTTCAGAATTTTATGAGCAGATTTGTCCTATAAATATTTTACTATTTTAACACTATTTCCTAGAATATTTTTTCACTTTTATTATTTTCACATACCTCAGATTAAATTTTAATTTTTCATTAAAATGCCTAGAAGAGTGATTGAAATCAAAACACAGTATTTTATTTTATGATAATTACTTTTATCCTTGCATTTTAAAAGACTTGAACATAAGGAAGTACTTAAAATCTGCACTAATGTGAATATATATGCACACTCACAGTTACATTGTCACTGAGGTAAGTAAGAAGGACCAGGTACTGTGACCCACACCCATCACTGCAGTGCTTTGGAAGGCCAAGGCAGGAGGATTGCTTGAGCCCAGGGGTTTGAGGTTACAGTGAGCTATGATTGTACCACTGTCCTCCAGGTTGGGCAACAAAGCTGTCTCTCAAAAAAAAAAAAGAAAAGAAAAAAGAAAAAGGTCTACCAAGCCCTTTAGAACATAGAAATTGTCCACAGTTTCCCCCAGCACAGTTGACCCCGGACCCTGGTTTTCTTTTGCCAATAATATGTCCAAGAGTTATGCTAGGAAGGGGCTGGGCGCAGTGGCTTACACCTGTAATCCCAGCACTTTGGGAGGCCGAGGCGGTTGGATTACCTGACATCAGGAGTTCAAGACCAGCCTAGCCAACATGGTGAAACCTCATCTCTACTACAAATACAAAAATTAGCTGGGCATGGTGGCGTATGCCTGTAATCCCGCCTACCCAGGAGGCTGAGGCAGGAGAATCACTTGAACCCAGGAGGAGGAGGTTGCAGTGAGCTGCGGTTGCACCATTGCATTCCAGCCTGGGCAACACTCTGTTTCAAAAAAAAAAAAAAAGTTATGCTAGGACGAGAATGCTAAACTTGCCTGCAAGAACCTCAGCTTCTCTCAATAACTATTTATGGATCTATGCATTATAAATTTGTAAAGTTACTCTTCACTCTAATCCCATCCCCAGCCCATCATTTTTTTTTCTCCCAGTATGTCAACTCAGATAACTGAATTTGCTTTGCTTCTCAGACCAGTTCTGAGCATCAGCAAGATCATTGGAATTGCTAGCTCCCGGGTCCTTGCCTCTTTATTTCTGCTACTTCTACCTTGGTAATCTCTACCTTTGGAGGTTACTTCTTTTCTGTTCTTCCATTTCTAGGTTATCCTGCATTGCCAGAGAGCATCACATACTATTTCTGCTTGACCTTTGTAAACAATCACGGAGTTGGACTTTAGCTTCACCTCTAGCGCTTGGTGTTCTGGGTGGTCTCATTCACTCTCCTGGCTTCAGTTGGTTTCTGTATATGAATGACTCATGTAACTGTTACCTCCAACCCATACCTTACTCTCTTAGTAGCAGACCAGGATATCTGAATGTATATTAAAAGTTTCTACTTGGGGCTGGGCATGGTGGCTCACACCTGTAATCCCAGCACTTTGGGAGGCTGAGGCGAGTAAATTATGAGGTCAGAAGTTCGAGACCAGCCTGGCCAACATGGTAAAACCCCGTCTCTACTAAAAATACAGAAAATTAGCCGGGCGGGGTGGTGGGCACCTATAATTCCAGCTACTCAGGAGGCTGAGGCAAGAGAATCATTTGAACCCAGGAAGCGGAGGTTGCAGTGAGCTGAAATCGCACCACTGCATTCTAGCCTGGGCAAAAGAGCAAGACTCCATACAAAAAAAAAAGAAGTTTCTACTTGGATGTCCTGTAAATAATTCAACATGCATAAAATTAAACTCCTCGTAGGTCCATTGTTCCCACCTTCCCCTGTTATCTAGCAGAGTGAATGAGAGTGAATGTTAGTCATTCCATTTGTGTAGTTGCCTATCTGGCAAAAAAATGAGTCTTTTTTTTTTTTTTTTTTTTTTTTTTTTAAAGAGACAGAGTCTTACTCTGGCGCCCAGAAGGGTGTGAACACAGATCAAGGTAGCCTCGACCTTCTGGTCTCAAGGATCTACCTCAGCCTCTCAAGTGGCTGGGTCTGTATATGTATGCTGCCATGTCTGGGCTTTTTTTTTGTATGTGTGTAGTGATGAGGTCTCAACATCTTGCCTAGGCTAGTCTCAAACTCCTGGGCACAAGCAGTTCTCTTGCCTTGGCTTCCCAAACTGCTGGGATTATAGGCGTGAGCTACTGTGCCCAGCCCTTTTGTTGTAAAATATTTTTTTACAAAAAATATTTTTGTTGTAAAATATTTTAATTGCAGCATTTTTTGTAATAGCAAAATGGGAACCAATCCATATGTCCATCAGGGAGCTGCCCCGAGCCATTCTTAAGTATTCTTTTCCTCAGTCTCCACATCTAATCAGTTTCCAAATTTTACTTGTTTGACTTCTTATAAAGTTCTTGACATGTTACATTTTTCCCTATGACAACTAAGTTCATCTTCCACAGTTTTGTTCCTTCCTATTCATTTTCCAAACATAGCCAATATGATCTTTCTGAAAAGAAGATATTACTTTCCTACTTAAAACCTTTCAGTTAATCCCTCATTAGTTACTTTTAAATGTTCATTTTTGGCCAGGCATGGTGGCTCACACCTGTAATTCCAGCACTTTGGGAAGCCAAGGTGGGTGGATCACCTGAGGTTAAGAGTTTGAGACCAACAGAGTGAAATCCCATCTCTACTAAAAATACAAAATTAGTTGGGCTTGGTGATGCATGCCCGTAATCCCAGCTACTTAGGAGGCTGAGGCAGGAAAATTGCTTGAAACTGGAAGGTGGAGGTGACAGAGTAGGGACGCCTGGGTAACAGAGCAAGATTCTGCCTCAAAATAAATAAGCACTTTGGGAGGTAGAGGCAGGCAGATCGCTTGAGGCCAGGAGTTTCAGAACAGCCTGGCCAACATGGTGAAACCCTGTCTCTACTAAAAATATAAAAAATTAGCTGGATGTGGTGACGGGCACCTGTAATCCCAGCTACTTAGGAGGCTGAGGCAGGAGAATCACTTGAACCTGGGAGGCAGAGTTTGTAGTGAGCTATGATGGTGCCACTGCACTCCAGCCTGGGAGGTAACACAAAACTCCATCTTGAAAAAATATATATTATTAATTAATTTTTTTAACAGACACTGTCTTGCTCTGTTGCCCAGGCTGGAGTGCAGTGGCACCCTAATAGCTCACTGCAGCCTCAAAATCCTTGGCTTAAGTGATCCTCCCAGCTCAGCCTCCTGAGTAGCTGGAATTATAGGCACCCGCCACCACACCCAGATAATTTTTAAATTATTATTTTTTTAATAAAAGTATTTTTGGCTAGACGTGGTGGCTCACACCTGTAGTCCCAGCAATTTGGGAGGCCAAGGTGGGTGGATTGCTTGAGCCCAGGAGTTTAAGGCCAGCCTGGGCAACATGGCAAAAGAGCCCATCTCTACTAAAAATATAAAAATTAGCCAGGTGTGGTGGCACATATCTGTAGCCCCAGCTTCTTGGGAGACTGAGGCAGGAGAATTGCTTGAACCTGGGAGGCTGAGATTGCAGTGAGCTAAGAGAGCCACTGGACTCCAGTCTGGGTGACAGAGTGACACTCTATCTCAAAAAAAAAAAAAAAAAAAATATATATATATATATATATATATATATATATATATATATACACACACACACACACAAACTTTTTTGCCTTTGCCTTCCCAAAATGCTGGGATTACAGGCTTGAGCCAGTGCGCCTACCCCTTTCCTGTACTTTTTATAAACTTAATTTAAGGAAACTGGTTGATAATAAACTTGGCAGTAAGAATTACTGAACTTTAATTTCATGAATACTATCTTTCCTAACAGCCTTGGGTTCAACATTGTGCTTTATGGTTTGGGTTCTAAGAGAGATTTACTAGAAAGGTTTCGAACCACTATGCTGCAAGATTCCATTCACGTTGTCATCAATGGCTTCTTTCCTGGAATCAGTGTGAAATCAGTAAGTTTCAAAATTGTTAAAGGAAAAAACATTATATACTCTGCCACTTCATGCCCCCACATAAATGAGGATGCTATATCTCATTCTGGAGTAAAGAATTTTTGTTGGCCGGGTGCGGCGGTTCACACCTGTAATCCCAGCACTTTGGGAGGTGGAGGTGGGTGGATCACGAGGTCAAGAGATCGAGACCATCCTGGTCAACATGGTGAAACCCCGTTTCTACTAAAAATACAAAAAATTAGCTGGGCATGGTGGTGCGTGCCTGTAATCCCAGCTACTCAGGAGGCTGAGGCAGGAGAATTGCCTGAACCCAGGAGGCGGAGGTTGCGGTGAGCGGAGATCGCGCCATTGCACTCCAGCCTGGGTAATGAGCGAAACTCCGTCTCAAAAAAAAAAAAATTTGTTTTAGACTTCATAGTGGTAGGATTGTATAGTGCTTAATACTATGTGTTTGGACGCAAAAGAATCTAGCTTTGAAACCATCTTTGAACGTCCTGCCTTGTAACTGACATGTATTAAAACTTAGGAAACTGTTAGCTTTGTTTACTACACTGAGTATCAGTGGTACTTCTGAAGGAGGGAATTGTGGGGTCTTCAGTTTTGTTATAAAATATGAAAATGCTTTATTAGGCAAAAACTACATACTATGAAAATGCTTCAAAATACAACAGGATGGGATGTGAAGGCTGTAGTTTTATAATACTTTTATCATAGATCATTTTTATTTCAAATGCTTAGTATCTCTTCATCATTTGAACATTAAAGCTGTTGGTGCTGGATACCAAGCCATGTAGTATTCCTTTTTTAGTGTCTGTAGTGTTTGTGTCCTGTATCATTTGATAGAACTGTATTTTTCTAATGTTTCTTATGTTCTTGGGAGCTTTTTCATTTGTTTTTGCCACCCTCTTATATTACCTATTACCTTTACATCTTTGCTGTTCTTGTTCTGTTTTCTTTTAGCTACAACTTAGGCCAAAAACAATGAACTAGATATACTCAAGTACCAGTAGAATTTTTAGAAGTCATTTTTTAAACTTTTGGAAAATCCAAATTCATTTTTAATTTATTAAAAACGGGTTTGATTTTCTAGTTGTATTTGTCCTATATGACAATAAACTGTAATTAATGTGGTACCTCTTGCACATTCATGATATAGGTCCTGAATTCTATAACAGAAGAAATCCTCGATCATATGGGTACTTTCCGCAGTATACTGGATCAGCTAGACTGGATAGTAAACAAATTTAAAGAAGGTAACATGAAATAGATGCTCTGTAGTTTTAGGCTAAAGTTAAGCATATACTTCTACTTATTCATGTATTTATATACATAGAATATTATTTTATTTTTTGTGGTTTTTTTGGCGGGGGGCGGTTGAGACAATCTGTCTATTGCCCAGGAGTGCAGTGATGCGATCATGGCTCACTGCAGCCTTGACCTCCCAGGCTCAAGCAATTCTCCCACCTCAGCCTCCCAGGTAGCTGTGATCACAGGTGTGTGCTACCATGCCCAGTTGATTTTTTATTATTTGTAGAGATGCAGTCTTGCTATGTTGCCCAGGGTGGTCTCAAACTTCTGGGCTCAAGCAATTCTCCTGCCTTGGCCTCCCAAAGGGCTGAGATTATAGGTGTGAGCCACCACACTCAGCCCAAAAAGATTACTTTAATGATGGCACTTAACTCAGTGCTCTGAAATAATTTATCCTTTCGCTATGAACTTTTTCTGTGAATGTAACTAATAGGAAAGAAAAAAGTTTAGTCTCACTTTCTTAAATTTATATATCCAAAAGCCCCTTATTTAAGAATAATTTTCAGCCGGGCGCGGTGGGTCATGTCTGTAAACCCAGCACTTTGGGAGGCTGAGGTGGGCCGATCACCTGAGGTAAGGAGTTCGAAATCAGCCTGACCAATATGGTGAAACCCCATCTTAAAAAAAAAAAAAAAAAAGAATAATTTTCTAAGTTATGTTTTGCTTGTGTAAAAGTGCCTCCATTTGAGTGGCACTACATCTTTGTCTGATATTGTTATATTGCTTAATGTTTTTATAAAACATTATTTCTTGGCCGGGCACAATCCTGGCACTTTGGGAGGCCAAGGTGGGTAGATCTACTGAGGTAAGGAGTTTGAGACCAGCCTGGCCAATATGGTGAAACCCCATCACTACCAAAATGCAAAAGAGTTAGTCAGGCTTGGTGTGCATACCTGTAGTCCCAGCTACTTGGGAGGCTGAGGCAGGAGAATCACTCGAGCCCGGGAAGCAGGGGTTGCAGTAAGCCAAGATTGTACCACTGCACTCCAGCCTGGGCAATAGAGTGAGACTCCATTTAAAAATAAATAAATAAATAAAACATTTCTTTATTCTGTTTACATATCACTACATTAGGATAATTTTATACATACTAAGATCTCTGGTTCTTTTGCTGTGAATGTTTTAGTCACATGAGTATGTCAGAAAATTGGAAATAGTATTATATAGTCTCTGACAGTTAATTGCCATTTTATAATGACTGAATTAAGAATTAAGAGAAGTAATTGAGCCGGGCGCGGTGGCTCAAGCCTGTAATCCCAGCACTTTGGGAGGCCGAGGTGGGTGGATCACGAGGTCAAGAGATTGAGACCATCCCGGTCAACATGGTGAAACCCCATCTCTACTCAAAATACAAAAAATTAGCTGGGCATGGTGGCATGTGCCTGTAATCCCAGCTACTCGGGAGGCTGAGGCAGGAGAATTGCTTGAACCCAGGAGGCGGAGGTTGCGGTGAGCTGAGATCGCGCCATTGCACTCCAGCCTGGGTGACAAGAGCGAAACTCCGTCTCAAAAAAAAAAAAAGAGAAGTAATTGAGAATGCCTAACTGCTTTGATGGATAATTTTATTGATAATGACAATAATCCTAGCTCTATTTCCATAGTACTTTTATCTTGTCAATATTCTAGCGCATTCTTTAGTTTTCTCTTCATTTTAACCTGAAACACTTTCTGTCCCAAATTTCCCTTCACACTTCTATACCCATTTTATCTACAGTCCTCTATAGAAATGGACAGTATACTTTTTTGGGTTTTTTTTGAGATTTGCTCTGTCACTTGGCTAGAATCCAGTGGCACAAACATGGCCCACTACATCCTTAACCTTCTGGGCCCAAGTGATCCTTCCAACTCAGCCTCTCCATTAGCTGGGACTACAGGCACACACCACCTACCTGGCTATTGTTAAAATCTTTTGTAGAGATGGAGTCTCACTATGTTGCCCAGGCTGGTCTCAAACTCTTGGGCCTTAAGGGATCCTTCTGCCTGGGCCTTCTAAAGTGCTGGGATTACAAGCATGAGCCCAACCTGACAATATACATTTTAATTCCAACTCTACACATTTGAAAACTTGATTCTTATTATTCACAAATTCTCTAATAGCAAATTTACCTGCTTGCTAACATTTATTTTAATCCCAAAATCAATATTCTTGGCACGTTTGCAAAGTGAGGCATGCACAGAGTGGCAAAAACTTCACATTGCCCAATGTACACATTCTAAGCAGAGGTCAAACAAGGTAATGCTCTGCCTTGTTTCAACTCTCATACTATAAACAAGTGTCCTTTTCACAGTCTGTTCAGTGCTACATTTTTCACATTTTTCTGCTTTTATGTTAGTGATTTGGCTGTTTAAAATGGCCCATAAGCATAGTGTTAAAATACTGTCCAGTGTTCCCAAGCACAAGAAGGCTGTGATGTGCCTTGGGAGAAAAACATATAGACTTCCTTCGGTTATGAGTTAGTGTTCTTGACTGTGAGTTCTGTGCTAATGGATCAACAGTGTGTATTAAAAATAAAGTTGCCTTTAGGCTGGGTGCCGTGGCTCACACCTGTAATACCATCACTTTGGGAGGCCAAGGCGGGCACATCACTTGAGGCTAGGAGTTCAAGACCAGCCTGGGCAACATGGTGAAACCCCGTCTCTACTAAAAATACAAAAAATTAGCCGGTCCTGGTGGTGCACATCTGTAATCCCAGCTAGTCGGGAGGCTGAGGCAGGAGAATCGCTTGAACTTGGGAGTTGGAGGTTGCAGTGAGCCAATATCACACCACTGCAACAGAGCGAGACTCTGTCTCCAAAATAAATAAATAAATAAAAATAAAATTGCTTTTAAACAGAAGCACACATAAAACAAAATTATATATTGAACCTAACCCTGTATTTCCTCTGGGAACAAGTGGTTCAGTATTCAATAATTCAGGATTTGCAGCAGTATTATAGAACTTAATATAATGAGAGTCAAGTATATATATTTCTCAGAACCCTAAAACTACTGCATATGTGAACATTTCTCATCACAATCATTGATTATGTAGGCATATAGTGAATTACTAGCAGGTTATCATCATAAGATAAACCTGTTTAGTTTTCAGTTCTTTCAGCCTTATTATTTAATTAAAAATCAGTTGCTGCAATGTTTTACTCCTATAATTTTAGCTTTTTCTGTATTGTCTTTAGTTTGCAACATAAGTTCTCCTACTTAAAGAATACCAGAAGCATTGCTTTTTATTCCTTTACCACAGATCCTTGTAAGACAGCCCAATATTGTTCGTATGCTCATTAAACTAGATGCCTAAGTCACTTATTTTGTGTGCATCTATGTGTATACATATGTGTGCTTTGGGGTGTTTTTGTTTTTGATACTGTTGACTATGGTGACTTCTAGATTTCAGGGAACCTGGGATTTTCACAACTTATCATCTCAGAATCTTTGTCACTATATTGTCTCTCTTACCCATCTACCCCCGAGTAGAAGAGAAATTTATTTGCTCTTTGACTTATACTCTATCATGTATGCCAGGTCTTTAGAGAGACTTACCAATACCCGTGGGTTTTAAATATATGTTAAAAATAAAATTTACCTGATTCAGCTGCCCCTTCACACTATTTTATTTTTCTATTTTCATATGGGTATTTTTGAAGACATGTCCTGCCTTCTTTTTTATTTCCTTTGTGCTATCAGAACTGTATGCTTGATCACCTGTAATTTTCTTCTTACCAAGCCCATTGACCTTAGCTCATCCTTATATTGAGCTCTGCTATATTTAGTAATGTCAACAGTTCCGTCCTCAAAATTCTTCCTTCACTGACTTTTATAATTTATCTGAACTTTGATGCCTTGAGCAATATCTCAACCACCCGCAACCCCATTTTTGGTCTCCTCCTTTGGCTTTTGTGATAATCCGAGTTTGCTGGTGTGTGTGTGTGTGAGTGAGAGAGAGATGGGGTCTCACTGTTGCCTGGGCTGGAGTGCAGTGGCACGATCTCGGCTCACTGCAACCTTTGCCCCTCAGGTTCAAGCGATACTCCTGTCTCAGCCTCCCAAGTAGCTGGGTTTACAGACACTCACCACCACAATGGCTGATTTTTTGTATTTTTAGTAGAGAAAGGGTTTCACCATGTTGGCCAGGTTGGTCTCAAATTCCTGACCACGTGAGCCACGTGCCTGGCCTCCCAAGTTTTCTATAATCTCTGAAAGCATTATATATAATGCTTTCTGAGCACTCTTTTTGTTTTTGTTTTTGTTTTTTTTTGGTATCTTTCCACTCCCACATTGTAATAAAACATGTACAAATTAACCTTCAAGCAATTGCATACATCTTATCTATAGTCCATGCCTTATTAAAGCTGCTTTCTTTAGGCTAAGCACAGTGGCTCACACATGTAATCCCAGCACTTTGGGAGGCCAAGGAGGGCAGATCACTTGAGCTCAAAAGTTTCAGACCAGCCTGGGCAACATGGTAAAACCCCATCTCAAGAAAAAATACAAAACTTAGCCAGGCATGGTGGTACATGCCTATAGTCCCAGCTACTTGGGAGGATGGCTTGAGCCCAGGATGTGGAAGTTGCAATTAGCTGAGATCATGCCACTGCACTCTAGCCTGGATGACAGAACCAGAACTTGTCTCAAAAAAAAAAAAAAAAAAAAAAACTGCTTTCTTTAGGGCCTTACTTAAGTGCTAATCATGCCTTGCCTATTTTATGAGTAAATGACATATCTTCTCAAATAAATTACATATCCCTAAGCAATTGTTACTTTATCCTATACTACTTTGATGTATTTTTTAATAACCTAGGCATTGTGTGTGGTAGAGAAAATAATCACTGCAATATCACTAAAAATAATTATTGGATTCTGGCTGGACATGGTGGTTCACATCTGTGATCCTAGCACTTTGGGAGGCCAAGTTGAGCCCAGGAGTTCAAGGCCAACCTGGGCAACTTAGTAAGACCCCATGTCTACCAAAAAAACAGTTAGCCAAGTGTGGTAGCATGCGCCTGTAGTCCTAGAGACTTGGGAAGCTGAGGTGGGAGGATTGCTTGAGCCCAGGAGTTGGAGGCTGCAAGTAAGCTATGATTGTACCACTGCACTCCAGTGTAGGCAACAGAGTAAGGCCCTCTAAAAATAATAATAATAATTGCATTTCCTTTCTTTTTAGATTCTTCTTTAGAACTCTTCCTTCTCATCCACAATTTGGATAGCCAGATGTTGAGAGGAGAGAAGAGCCAGCAAATCATTGGTCAGTTGTCATCTTTGCATAACATTTACCTTATAGCATCCATTGACCACCTCAACGCTCCTCTCAGTAAGTTAAATGTTACTATTTTTCCTTCTAGAGATAATCAGTCGTACAAAACCAATGTAAATCTCAGAATTTTACTGTTTTTAGTATGCTTTATCCCCTTTTACACATTTAAAAACACAAGTTGCCAAAAAGGTGTACTGAATCTAATTTAGAACATAATTTTTGGAAATAAAAATTCAGATACTAAATGAGGATATTTTCGTTTAAAGTTAAATGGAGGGAAGAGCCCCAACTGCTATTTTGGTCTCTTACTCTTTTTGTAATATTACAACATTTATATTATGTACTGAATTCACAGACTTTCTGATAATCCTGTAGAAGAAAATGTTAAAACATTATTAATTTTTTGAAGAGAATGCATTGGTAGTGCTAAGATTTTAATTTATGCTTAATGTAAAAATAAAGGTTCAGATGTTGATTGAAAATGAAATTAGATTGTGAGTTACTGATTTAGATATGGAAGTGGCAAAAATGAAAAACCTGAGGATTTATTTTTATTGAATTCTTTCTCATTCTTTTGTAAAGTAGAATCTAGTAACATGACAATATGAAAATAATTTGTAATTCTTTCTTTCTTTGATCATGTGCTAGTGTGGGATCATGCAAAGCAGAGTCTTTTTAACTGGCTCTGGTATGAAACTACTACATACAGTCCTTATACTGAAGAAACCTCCTATGAGAACTCTCTTCTGGTGAAACAGTCTGGATCCCTGCCACTTAGCTCCCTGACTCATGTCTTACGAAGCCTTACCCCTAATGCAAGGTAAGGATGAAAACCATATTTCTTTTTAAAAACTATACATTTTAAGATATGCACTACTAGGTTTTAATGGTGATACTGAAGTCTCTAGTTAATTTGAAGGATTAAGAGAAATTATAGTAATAATAGTTACCAGTACTGGATATATATAATAGGCAGACAAGTCAACAGTAGTCCATCAAATTGCCCAGTAATAAAGCAAGAGTACCAACTTTTTATTTCTTAATATATTTTGATATTTCTGAATATGAGCAGCTGAGTGGTCATAATGGAGAAAAACCAGACTTTTCATGGCTTTTACTTAAATTTTATGGTTAAATTTTTCATTGCATATTGAACATTCTGATCCAAACACTGAGCACTTTATATGCAATACCTCATTTGATCCTCATCACTAAGGTGGATAGTCAGTGACACAAAGACTTTGATCCAGATATGCCCAGCTCCAAAAATCATGCTCTTAAACATTACTGTATAGTATCTCCAGTCAATTCCTTACGGCAGCCTAACCGAGAGGCATATGTGAATTAATAAATGCAAGCTGGTTAGAGCATAAGCTAGCAAAAAATAAATTGCATAGTTAGCTAAACACAGTGGCTTGCTCCTGTAATACCAGCACTTTCGGAGGCTGAGGCAGGCAGGTCACTTGATGTCAGGAGTTTGAGACCAGCGTGGCCAACATGGTGAAACTGCATCTCTACTAAAAATACAAAGTTAAAATCATATTTTGGATCATCTCAATGAATACTTTTTTTTTTTTTTAGTAGAGATACAGTTAACAGTTATTTTATTTTATTTTATTTTATTTTATTTTTTTGAGACGGAGTTTCGCTCTTGTTACCCAGGCTGGAGTGCAATGGCGCAATCTCAGCTCACCACAACCTCCACCTCCTGGGCTCAGGCAATTCTCCTGCCTCAGCCTCCTGAGTAGCTGGGATTACAGGCACGCGCCACCACGCCCAGCTAGTTTTTTTTGTATTTTTAGTAGAGATGGGGTTTCACCATGTTGACCAGGATGGTCTCGATCTCTCAACCTCGTGATCCACCCACCTCGGCCTCCCAAAGTGCTGGGATTACAGGCTTGAGCCACCACGCCCGGCCTAACAGTTATTTTTAACCTAAAATTAGAAATAATGTAAACATCCAAACCAATAGGGAAGTGTAAGTTTCTGGTACATGGTAGATAAGCAGCTGTTAAGACTTCTTTAGTTCTTCTTATATGTGGCAAAAAAAAAAGAAAAGAAAAACAGCCAGGTGTGGTGGCATGCATCTGTAGTCCCAGCTACTACTCAAGAGGCTGAGGCCAGAGAATTGCTTGAACCCAGGAGGCAGAGGTTGCAGTGAGCTGATATTGTACCACTACACTCCAGCCTGGGTGACAGAGTGAGACTCTGTCTCAAAAAAAAATAATAAAGAAATTGCATAATTACCCTGTTGAAAGAAGCTTTTAGTAACAAACCTTACCCCCTGCCAAAAACATAAAATTATAGAATTATATTTAACAAGATGAAGTGTTGAAAAATAGCAAACTTTGCTGAGAATTGATCATTAAGAAAAACCTGGCCGGGCGCGGTGGCTCAAGCCTGTAATCCTAGCACTTTGGGAGGCCGAGGTGGGTGGATCACAAGGTCGAGAGATCGAGACCATCCTGGTCAACATGGTGAAACCCCGTCTCTACTAAAAAATACAAAAACATTAGCTGGGCACGGTGGTGCGTGCCTGTAATCCCAGCTACTCAGGAGGCTGAGGCAGGAGAATTGCCTGAACCCAGGAGGTGGAGGTTGCGGTGAGCCAAGATCGCGCCATTGCACTCCAGCCTGGGTAACAAGAGCAAAACTCCGTCTCAAAAAAAAAAAAAAAAAAAAAAAAAGAAAAACCTTACAGTGATTGTTTTCTGGACTTGCATAAAAATGAAAATGCATAAGTTTTTGGCATACCCAAGGATTGATAGGAGTCTTAGTTTGTGTTACACTGCTTCCAACCCCGTAATTTTACTTGGTTCACTCTCCTATGGAAATAATTCAAAATATGAAGAACTAAGTGGTTTTATTTAGTGCAGAATTTTTTCTGCATCCAATCATCCATTAAGAGTTATTTTTAATCTAAAGTTATAAATAATGTAAACATCGAAACCAATAGGGAAATAATAAGTTTATGGTACATGATAGATAAGCAACTGTTAAAACTTCCTTAGTTCTTCTTACATGTAGCAAAAAAAAAAAAAAGAAAAGAAAAGAAAAGAAAACCTTGTTTAGAAGTTTTTTAAAGACATGGGAAAAATCAAAAAGTGAAGAAGCAAGGCATAAAGGAGTACATACAGTATATAAATATATGAATTCATGTTATCTCCACCTGCCTCATTCCATGAAGATTTGAGATAGCAGCATACCCAGTATGATCTCAACACCAAGTGCTAATGGCTGTTATCTTAGGGATATGAGATTGATATTTTTATCTTCAGATGTTATTCTGTATTCCAAGTTTTCCACCAAGACTAACCTAAAAAGAAAAAAATACTTTCATATTTTATTTTTATTTTTGAGACAGGGTGTTGCTCAGATACAGCCTCAAGCTCCCAGGCTCAAGTGATCTTTGCACCTCAGCCTCCCGAATAGCTGAGACCATGGTGTGTACCACTATGCCTGGCTAATTTTTTTATTTTTTGTAAAGACAGAGTCTCACTGTGTTGTCCAGGGCGGTCTCAAACTCCTGGCTCAAGCAGTCCTCCCACTTCAGTCTTCCAGAGTGCTGGGATTATAGGCATGAGCCACCACATTCAGCCTATATTTTTCTTTAGAAGAAATAAAAAAACTTTCTGTTTAAGTAGGCAAGGATATGATATTCCTTGGACGAACAGAAGATAATGCAGATAGGCTAAATATTTGACATTTTCTTTGTACATTTTACTATTAGTTGTTGCCTTTTGATGTTAACATTTTGGATTTAAATTCCTGTTTTTGTTTTTTGCCTTTTTAGGGGAATTTTCAGGCTGCTAATAAAGTACCAGCTGGACAACCAGGATAACCCTTCTTACATTGGTACCCAATATTTATGACATTCAATTGCATAATTTTTGTTTTACTCCCATACCCCATACATTTCCTTTCTCTGGAATTTAATGACATCAGTGCAGTTTTTCGTAACAGTGAATAAGTGGTCATTCATGTTGAGTATGTCTGCCACATAGCAAATTTTCAAGCAGCTCCACAGATCCACTGCTGAGTGAGGTGTTTGCCAACATAAATTGGAAGACAAACCCAGCTTACCTTTAAAATTTTCTATGCTAACTATGGATCTGTATCTGCCAATTACCTATTTTTCATATTCTAGGCATCTTAGGAGATTAACAAACATTTTAATAATTGTTCTGCTCTTACGACTTCCTTGTTGCATCTTTAAAAGTCCTGTCAATACTTGTTGACTGCTCTGGGATAACAAGCAAACAGCACTTTTATTCTGAGTTCTTTCATACAGGTGTTTGTATATCAGGTCATATCTTAAGTGCTGACTTATGTTCATCTCCTTTTGAACTTGCCAGGCCTTTCTTTTCAAGATTTTTACCAGCAGTGTCGGGAGGCATTCCTCGTCAATAGTGATCTGACACTCCGGGCCCAGTTAACAGAATTTAGGGACCACAAGCTTATAAGAACAAAGAAGGTAAGCCTCTGCTATTGTAGTATTTATGCCAGAAATAGTCCATATTATTTACTCAAGGACAAGTATACCTTTGACTCAGACCTGATTTTGAAACTTAAGTTCCATGTTGGGTCACAGAGATTCATTTAGGCAAGTGCCGTTTGAGTTTGGAGAAAGAGCCATGGTAGAAATACCCTGCTTCAGAGCAAAGCAGAAAACTCCTTATGTGAAAAATTGGGCATACTTGAATGCATTAAATTTACAGGGAAAGATCTTGTTGAAAGGGGCAAGAAAGAACAGAGACATCAATAGTGTTAGATTCAGGACAGGGCAGGAAGGTGAAGAACGATCTAAAGCACAATGAAAAAAATAAATATCCACCTGTCCACCGTCTAGTTAGTTGTCTTTCCCGCTATAAAGCTGTTTAACTCAGTATATTTAAATATATATGACTGTGTGCCCTTTTGCCTTAATTTTTATACTCATGTTTAAAATATTACATCAAAGAAATAAATTCATTTTTTCTTTAGCCTCTACAATAGAAGAGTTCATATACCTCTTATAAATGACTAACATACAGGTATTCTTACATCTTTCAGGGAACTGATGGAGTAGAGTATTTATTAATTCCTGTTGATAATGGAACATTGACTGATTTCTTGGAAAAGGAAGAAGAGGAGGCATGAAGCTTTCCTTTATTCCTGAACCTCCCATGAAGGGTCATACCCTAGCTGCCACTCCTCTAGTTGAAAGTGTTGTGTTTACATCTGACATTAAATTATTTTTCCAGCATACAAGACAAATTTGGGAAGGGGGGGATGTCCTCAATTAGAACTTCTGATCAGCCTGGCTGGTACCGTTTAGTACTATGCAGCAGTCCTCAAGCTGGAGAAAATGTGCCTTTCATTCATTACCTCTCTGGAGACTTCTTGCTGGAATGAAACAGTGTGCTCAGGGACTATTTGGAACTGGATGTTTTTGAATTATTTTATACTTAAAGAGATATTATTCTGAATTTTTTGAGGGCCTTTTAACACTCCCCGAGCTGATTGTTTGCAAGTGTGTTTGTTCCAGAGTGTGGAAGTATAAAGACATGGGCATCACATAAATTGGCTTTGTTTGCTATTCTGTGTGTCAGAACCAACGAGTGTAATGGAGAGGGCAGGTCATCTCTTACTGATTCTAAAACAACATAAAAGATATAGATTGGGAAGAGGTGGGTGATCCAGCTTTCTCCGTTTGGATTGAGGCTATGTACTTGGTGAGGGCAGGGGAGGGAATGTATCATAATACTAATGAGTTAGGATAGCGGGAAAAACAGAGTATATAGGGTATCTACCCAGCTTAGAAAGCACAGGAACAGTATATCATACATTTGGAACAGTTAATGTCTGTGCCATGACCTTCATGATACCAGTGAGAAGCCAGGCTAGAGAAATAAAATCCTGAATTACATTTTAGTAATTGTTTTCAAGACAAAAAATAAAACATTTCATTATTCTTGTATATTGACATATTTTTCTTTTCTTGAATAACATGCAGGTGAGTAGCATAATGGCTGGCTGTAAATTAATCCTGATTCCTCTGTCAAGTAGACCTAAAACTCACTGTAAGATATTTCAGTTTTTTCCATAAAGTGATGATCTCAAGTCTCCTAAATATTTGCACGAGACTTTTTTTCTTAGGAAAGAAAAAAAAGGCTAACCTTGGCTACTGTCGTCAGCTTACAGTCGTCACATACCCCCTGAAATATCTGACACTTGGAAATGGAGTTCTTCCTGAAAATATCATTGCAATAAAATACGTACTGCATCAGCATTTCTCACTCATTTCTTATCCTGTAAACCTCTTTCATGAAAATATTTCCAAAAATGCTTGAAAATTTTAAATAATTTTCTTGTGGTATATAATTAAGTAATTTTGTTCAGGCACAATGGCTTATGCCTAATCCCAATACTTTGGGAGGCCAAGGCAGGAAGATCTCTGGAGCCCAGGAATTTAAGAACAGCCTGAAGCCAGGCACGGTGGCTTATGCCTGTAATCCCAGCACTTTGGGAGGCCGAGGCGGGTGGATCACGAGGTCAAGAGATTGAGACCATCCTGGTCAACATAGTGAAACCCCGTCTCTACTAAAAATACAAAAAGTTAGCTGGGCATGGTGGCACGTGCCTGTAATCCCAGCTACTCAGGAGGCTGAGGCAGGAGAATTGCCTGAACCCAGGAGGCCGAGGTTGTGGTGAGCCGAGATCACGCCATTGCACTCCAGCCTGGGTAACAAGAGCGAAACTCCGTCTCAAAAAAAAAAAAAAAAAAAAAGAACAGCCTGGGCAACACAGTGAGACCCTGTCTCTATAAAAAATTTAAAAAAATCATCCCGGCATGGTGGCCCATGCCATGCCTATAGTCCTAGCTGCTGTGGAGGCTGAGGCATGAGGATTGCTTGAGCCTAGGAGTTAAAGATTACAGTGAGCTATGATTGTGCCACTGCACTATAGTCTGGATGCAGAGCAAAACCTTGTCTCATTAAAAAAAAAAAAAGACCTTAAAAAAATAATAATTTTATGTTAAGTCCATGAGCTTAGTCTTCTTTCTTTTCTTTTTTTTTTTTTTTTTTTTTTTTTTGAGACAGAATCTGTCACCCAGACTGGAGTGCAGTGGCGTGATCTAAGCTCACTGCAACCTCCGCCTCTCAGGTTCAAATGACTCTCATGCCTCAGCCTCCTGAGCTGGGACTACAGGCACACACCACCATGCCTGGCTTATTTTCCTATTTTTAGTAGAGGAGGGGGTTTCGCCATGTTGGTCACGCTGGTCTCAAATTCCTGACCTCAAGTGATCCACCCACTCCAGCCTCCCAAAGTGCTGGGATTACAGGCGTGAGCTACCACACCCAGCCAAGGGCTTAGTCTTAAATATAGCCTCCAGTCAAAATGTTCAAATTTGTACATGAATGTGATTTAAAAATTTTTTTTAAACTACCAAAGGATATTCAGTGAAAGTGAGTTTCCTGCCTATTTAACCCAGTTCTTTAGGCAACCACTGATCACATTTTCGTAATTATTCTGCCTGAGATAATCTATGCATATGTAAAAGTATCTGTCTCTCTCCTTTTAAAAACACAATTGGTTTAAGCCAAGACTGTTGGTAAAAAGAAAACAAAACAAAAACCACACAATTGGTAATATACTTACTAGTTTGCACTTTGCTTTTTTTGCTTAATACATCTAGCTTATAATGACCTAATGTGCAAATTTTTGCTTCTGCCCTAAATATCTACTGGTTTATTTTTATAATTTTTGTGTCTATACTATTTGCAAGCAGTATGTGTCAGTAGAGTTTATTATTAATAAATAAAAAGCCAATTTGGATAGAATCACTTTGTAAATTTGTAGTGCTGGTTTTTTACTAAAAATATTTTTAAGTTCTTCAAAAAATACTTTATGAGTGCATCTCACAGATCTGGTGAAGATCTTGGCGTATTACTGTACGCTGTTTGCTGACTTGTATCAGCATCAGTTTCTCTGAGGCTCTAGCAGTTATGTCTTGACTGCTAAGGCTCTAATTTCTTCTACTGTGTTAACTTGCTTCTGGCAAGATTGAACAGACCTACGGAAACCTTGAAAGATTTTCTGGGTACACTTAATAAAATGGTTTAAAAAAAAAAAGGCACAGGAGATATCAAACATTTACTGTTTATAAATTTGCCACAGTATTGAATTTATTGTGTAAGGATTGCTAAATTAGTTAAATTAGTCCTAAAAAAAGAAAGAAGCCAAGGCTACAGTTAGCTGTGATCATGCTACTGCACTCCAGCCTGGTGAGTGAGAGACTTAAGACCCTGCCTCAAAATAAAGGTCAGTCAGTTTGGGGGCTGATTAATAGATTTTGCCTAACTTTTAAACAAAATGACTTAACTTCAGAAATTTACTCTTTTTGTTCCAGCTAATTCAAATGTGGAGCCAGTGGCATTGTTCAGAATGTACTTTTTACATTGAATGAGGTGAAATGACTCTTCCAGCATAATCCTGAATAGTCTAGTGTTGAACACTTAATACACAAAAGGTAGTATAGTTCTGAGAATATGAAGGTGAAATGTGAAATACCTATGAGTTTTTATTTTTCAGACAGGGTGTCTGTCACCCAGGCTAGAGTGCAGTGGCGCCATCTCAGCTCCCTGCAGTCTTGACCTGCTGGGCTCAAGTGATCCACCCATCTTATCCTCCTGAGTGGCTGGTACTACAGGAAGGAAGTGTACACCACCACACCTGGCTTTTTTTTTTTTTTTTTTTTGTAGAGACGGTGTTTCACCGTGTTGCCTAGGGTGGTCTTGAACTCCTGGGCTCAAGGGATCCACCCACTTGGGTGTCCCAAGTGCTGAGATTAACAGGTGTAAGCCACCTCGCCCAGCCTATGAGGTTTTAATAGCATAAGTTATAACATCCTTTATGTGTTCAATAAAGCAAATTTTTCACTCTTACTGCCCAGTCTGGAGGGCAGTGGCGTGATCTCGGCTCACAGCATCCTCCAACTCCTGGGTTCAAGTGATTCTCCTGCGTCAGCCTCCCTAGTAGCTGGGATTACAAGCATATGCCACCACACCCAGCTAATTTTTTTATTTTTAGTAGAGGCGGAGTTTCACCATGTTGGTCAGGCTGGTCTCAAACTCCTGACTTCAGGTGATCCACCTGCCTCAGACTTCCAAAGTGCTGGGATTACAGGCATGAGCCACCACAACCGGCCTTTTGAATATATATATTTTTTTGAGATGGAGTCTTGCTCTGTCACCCAGGCTGAAGTACAATGGCACAATCTCAGCTCACTGAAACTTGTGCCTCCTGGGTTTAAGCCATTTTCCTGCCTCCACCTCCCGAGTTGCATTATAGGCGCATGCCACCACGCCCGGCTAATTTTTGTATTTTTTAGTAGATAAGTAGATGAAGACCATGTTGGCCAGGCTGGTCTTGATCTGACTTCAAGTGATCTGCCTGCCTCAGCCTCCCAAAGTGCTAGAATTACAGGCATGAGCCACCACACCAGGCCTGTATATATATTTTAACACTACACATATTAAAAATCCAGATTACCTGTGCCCCCCTGAAAGATGGGGAAGACTTGGCCACACTGACCTTCATTCTGCCCAGCAGCAGTTGCCTCAGGCTGAACTGTTGCTGCCACCTCCTGGCTAGCTTCACTCCTTTCCTGCTCTAGTGTCTGTCTGATTTGGATCCTGATCTAGATTGGTATGGAGCACCCTCCAATACATGTGCACAAGATACTATCCATGGTGTCATGGATGCACAACAACAAAGGTGGTGACACTATTCCCTATGATCTGCGACCTTCCACCTGGAATATACTGTCCATTTGGACATCCAAGGCAGCCTTGTAAGTCCTACAAGGACTTACAAGTTTTCATGTGAAGTTTTTCGGGGAAGTTTTCCTGTGAAGCCTGTGAGGAAATGTGCATGTCCTTCCTCAGCCTTCAGCTTTCAGGAGTAGACAAGGGATTACTAAACCACTATTTCATGTCAGTACCTGGCTTTATTTATTAAATCAGCAAAACAACACAAAATATTGTCATTAGACACTAAGCTTAAAAATGGCATTTCAGGCCAGGTGCAATGGCTCACGCCTGTTATCCCAGCACTTTGGGAGGCTGAGTGGGTAGATCACTTGAGCCCAGGAGTTCAAGACTAGCCTGGCCAACATGGTGAAACCCTGTCTCTACTGAAAATACAAAAATTAGCTGGGAATGGTGTTGTGTACCTATAATCCCAGCTGAGGGATGTTGATGTTGAGGCAGGAGAATTGCTTGAACTTGGGGGGGGCAGATGTTGCCGGGAGCTGTGATCTCACCACTGCACTCCAACCTGGGCAACAGAGTGAGACTCAAAAAAAAAAAGACATTCCTTTTGAGCACTGTTCTTTTATATTTTAATAATCCTGCAAAATATTTAAGTTATAATGTATGTGACGTAAAATTTCCTTTAAAGATAGGTTAAGAAGATAAAATATATAAGAGGAAATAAGGGAGTCAAAATACTAGGAAAAAAATCAAACATAAAAGACAGCAGTAATGGAGAAAACATAAGTGAAAGGTGCCAGACACAAAGGACGTTTATGATTCCACTTTTATAAAATATCCAGAATAGATAAATCCTTAGAAATAGTATCCAGGGGATGGGAGGAGGGAGTTATTACTTAACAGGGCTTCCCTTTGTGGTGATGAAAAATGTTTTAGAACTAGTGGTAACTACCACAACACTGTAAATGTACTAAAAGCTACGGAATTGTATACTTTAAAATGGTGAATTTGGGGAGGAAAATAAAATGGTGAATTTTGTGTATTTACTATAATAAAAAATAAGAGAAAAAGTTGCTTTACACAAAACCATGAAGTAAATATTATTATGTGGGATGGTAAAAGAGTGCAAATCATAAAGGCAATCAAAGAATTTCTAAAATAGGGGGAATATTGCTTTAGCCAGATTACCTGAAAATGGCAGTCCATGGGTGGAGAAAGGTATCTGCCCTGCCCAACCAGCAGCAGGCAGGCAGGGGCCTCGAAGCCCAGTGCAGGTGCTGTTTAAAACAGGGCATCCACGTGGATAAAGGGCCCAGACTAAATGGAGCAGGATGGTATTTCAAGATATCTGACTTTGTTCTTTCTGCTCCGGAATTTTACTCCCTGGCCCTGCCCTCTGCCTACAGCCAAGTTGATTGCCCCAGGAAAGTGACAGAGCAGAAATCTGTAACAAAGGACTATGGAAGAAAAAAAAATTACAGGTGAGTCATCTAAAAAGCAATAAAGTAATAGTAATATGAATAATGATTGTGCATAGTTTTAAAACGACATCCTGATAAATCAATCTCATTCTGATTCTGAAGTTTAGGTGAGAGACTGGAATGTAGGTGGAACAAGGAACAGAACAAATAGACCTTATCACAGCAAAGAGGCTACTACCTAGAAAGAAGTGTTGATACCCAAAACATAAAGTAACGAAGGGCAGAGAAACCCAAATTGATCCATCCCATCTACAATTAAACTAAGGAGAGAATTACTTGAGCTCTTTCTAAAGAATGTTAAGTAAACAGATTTTATTCAATCTTTCCTAGAGTTTATAATGAATACTTGTTATTTAATATGGTAGTTACATTACAGTTTTTATCTCATGAGTGATAGAACATTTGGTGAATCAGATTAACAAACAAAAAATGATGATACTGTCTAAGACACTCTTCTGGAGGCACACCAGTCCCACTGACTCATGTTACAAATTCAAGTTGGCATCCAACTGATTTGTAGAATGTGTTATCCTGATGTTTTTGCATTTATACCACCTGAAGAGGGTCCCTGTCAGTCTCTGAGAGGATAATATTTATCTTATTCTCCAAGTGAGAGCCCAGCATATCTCGAAGGTCAGAAAGAAAGCCTCGTTCAGTGTTGCTATGTTCACAGAGGATGACATTTATTCCTTGGGAAGCAGCATCCAAAATATCATGATGGGACATCTCACCTACCAAAAAGGAAAGAACAAATTCTTAAATGCTAGATATGGAATCTGTGGAATGAAGAACCACAAAAGCAGAAATACCAAGTTTGTATTCTATATGAGGTGAATGTACAGTTTTCTTTTATGCCCTCCAACTTAAAAAGAGAGAAAAATCTGGGTGCAGTGGCTCACGCCTATAATCCCAGCACTTTGGGAGACCTAGGCAGGTGGATCACCTGAGCTAAGGAGTTCCAGATCAGCTTGGCCAACATGGTGAAACTCCATCTTAAAAACACAAAAATTAGCCGGGCGTGGTGGCGCATGACTGTAATCCTAGCTACTCAGGAGGCTGAGGCAGGAGAATCGCTTCAGTCCAGGTACTGGAGGTTGCAGTAAGCCAAGATCACATCACTGCACTTCAGCCTGGGTGACAGAGCAAGACTGTATCTCGAAAAAATAAATCAAATAAAAATAAAAGCCATCCCATTGAGAATTCCAACTTCTTTTTCCTTGGCAAACCCCAAGGCAATTATCCAATACAACATATCCAGCCAAAACCAGATCTGCAAACACCTATTCAAAGTGTTTCCACAATAAAATGAATGATCACTGCTAAGTAAAATGAGGCCTTCAGAAAATTTGCCTCTTATGTAAGTAATAAGTACCTCTGAAGGAAATTCTATGTATACTGCCCAGCAGACTCTTATGCTTTGTAAGCACCAATATTTCTATCATCAACTTAGTCCAATATATAAGGATGAAATGAATTTATGATTATTTCCAGATTAAAAACAAAGTATTTTTCTTTGACTAAGCAAAGTCCCTAGAAGCTCTGGAGGGAATCTCATCTGTTGTGAAAAATTTGGTGAAAATGCAAATATTCTGAATTTTTAATTTATTTATTTAGACAAAGTTTTGCTCTGTCGCCCAGGCTGGAGTGCAGCAGCACAATCTCGGCTCACTGCAACCTCTGCCTCCTGGGTTCAAGTGATTCTTCTGCCTCAACTTCTCGAGTAGGTAGGATTATAGGCACCCACCTAACTTTTGTATTTTTAGTAGAGTCAGGGTTTTGCCATGTTGGCCAGGCTGGTCTCGAACTCCTGGCCTCAAGTGATATGTCTGCCTTGGCCTCTCGAAGTGCTGGTATTACAGGTGTGAGCCACCACGCCCAGCCTAATATTCTGAATTTTTAAAAATGCAGTTTGTGAATGTAATGACTTCTAATTTAATAGCAAAACTGCACTGTGTACAATTTGGTTTGTTCTTTAAAAAGTCTAATTTTGAAGTATATTTAGAGACAGAAAGGCATAAAAACTTTAAAAAGTGTTCTTAGAAAAAAATGTTTTTTCTTTTAATTTTCCCACAAGAAAACATCTAAATAAACAATGAGTTTTCTGAATTCCAGAATTTTTCAGTTCCCCACACTCTTCTAATATGTGTCATTTCACTTTAAGGAATAGTTTTCATTCAAGCACCTTTTAAAACATCTTAATCTATAATAGTAAAAGGCCGGGCGCCATGGCTCACACCTGTAATCCCAGCACTTTGGGAGGCCAAGGCGGGCGGGCGAATCATGAGTTCAAGAGATCAAGACCATCCTGGCCATAATGGTGAAACCACATCTCTACTAAAAACATACAAAAATTAGCTGAGCATGCTGGCATGCGCCTGTAGTCCCAGCTACTTGGGAAACTGAGGCAGAAGAATTGCTTGAACCTGGGAGGCAGAGGCTGTGGTGAGCCGAGATCGTGCCACCACACTCCAGCCTGGCACCTGATGACAAGGCAAGACTGTCTCAAAAAAAAAAAAAGCAAAAGTAAAAAGCAAGAAAAAGACACTAAGATGGCTCAGTTGGAAGCCTTGTTTTAGGAAAGATAAATCTGGCTCTCTGTACTGTACAAACTCACTGGCTGGATAAGGCATAAAAGGGGGGAAATCAGTGAAGACCCTGAAATAGTAGCTGAAGCCAAAGGAAAGAAAAGCTTGGCCCAGGATGGCAGCTTGGGAAAGAAGCAAATGGAGAATGAAAAGACAAAAGAGAATTTACATTTGCAAGGAGCAGGATCCCCATCTGCTGGTCTAGCAGGGTATTACCATTAACAACCTAAATACAATGGGAACACTGCCTCAGGCTCAGAGGAAGGGTGATGAAGTTTAGCAGAAGTCCTCTAGGTAGGGCTGCACATCCCTGAAGTTATACTCAAAAGTGATGCCTCACAGACCAGAGACAGCTAATGCTAGCCAGATAATATATTTTCTGTTTCTCCCCACAGCCAGATAGGAAAGACATTTTAACATCTTGGAACTGTTTGAATTTATCTCATGCACATATCATTATACTTTATCATTTTTTTAAAAACTAATTTTTAAAACAGTATTTATGAGAAAATAATCAGACACCCCAAACTGAGAGAGAAGCACAAAACAAATAGCCTATACTCTTTTTTTTTTTTTTTTTTTGAGACAGAGTCTCACTCTGTTGCCCAGGCTGGAGTGCAGTAGTGTAATCCTGGCTCACTACAACCTCCACCTTCTGGGTTCAAGCAATTATCCTGCCTCTGCCTCCCAGGTAGCCAGAATTACAGGTGTGCACCACCACACCCAGCTAATTTTTGTATTTTCAGTAGAGATGGGGTTTCACCACATTGGCCAGGCTGATGTCGAACTCCTGACCTCAGGTGATCCGCCCACCTTGGCCTCCCAATGTGCTGGGATTACAGGCGTGAGCCACTGTGCTCAGCCTAAATAGCCTGTACTCTTTAAAAATGTCAATGCTATTGAAGACAAAGGTGAGGAACTATTCCAGATTGAAAGTGACTAAAGAGAGATAACAACTAAATGCAATGAGAGATCATGGACTGGATATGGATCAGAAAAAGAAATGCTATAAATTTTTATCAATTGGGAAAATGTGAATATGTACTGTATATCAACTGTTTTAATAGTATTAAATTCCCACATTTGATAACTGTTCAATGGTCTTAGAATGTCTTTGTTCGTTTTCTCTCTCTCTTTTTTTTTTTTTTTAGATAGAGTCTCAATCTGTCACCCAGGCTGGAGTGCTGTGGCGTGATCACGGCTCACTGCAACCTCCACCTCCCGGGTTCAAGCGATTTCCCTGCCTCAGCCTCCCAAGTAGCTGGGACTACAGGTGTGTGCCACCACCTCCGGCTAAGTTTTTTGTTTTTTTTTTTTAGTAGAGACGGAGTTTCACTGTGTTAGCCAGAATGGCTTGATCTCCTGACCTTATGATCCATCCACCTCGGCCTCCCAAAGTGCTGGGATTACAGGTGTGAGCCACCACGCCTGGCCCAGAATATCTTTGTTTTTAGAAGATAATACACACTGAAATATTGAGAGGTAAAGAAACTGTCATGTCTGCAATTGATTCCAAAATTGTCCTGGGGGAAACACATCAATATATATTAAACATTTTAACTTGTATATTATGTATTATGTATTTATACATGCACACACAAATGTATATATACACACACATATAACATGTATACAGAGAATGTACAAATATGGCAGAATATAACCATTAGTAACCAAGGTGAAAAGCATACAGTTCATTGTACTATTCTTGTAACTTTTGCCTATGTCTGAACTTCCTTCTAAGTAAAATACTAAAATGAATTTTAAAATAGCCAGACACAATACTGTAAGATGTTCATATTGAAATTTGATTTTAATCTGGTAGAAATTTAAGGGCTTATAAAAATCTTTTATCTTCAGAAGGATAGAAAATAGCTAATAGTCACATACATGTTTTTCTTTTTTTTAATCAATTTATTGGTTTAGAGCAATTCCATCAGACTTGCTCAGATGCTGCTCCTTGGTACTTCCGGATGTGACAATGCTTTGAGTACAGCAGCCTTTGTAAGAGAGTGTGCTATGTAATAAGGCACCGGTATGGGAGGCAAGGAAGGCATGGAAGTAGCCAAGGGAATAGACAGAGGGCTAAGAGTCGAGAGCCTGGTCCTCAAAGTGCAAAAAGTAATTCTTTAACTCATACTTTACTTTTTTTTTTTTTTTTTCTTTTAAAGACGGGGTTTTACCATGTTGGTCAGGCTGGTCTTGAACTCCCGATCTCAAGCAATCCACTTGCCTCAGCCTCCCAAAGTGCTGGGATTACAGGCATGAGCCACTACACCCGGCCTAACTCATTCTTTCCTAACCCTAAGAAGGAGCAGGTAAACAAAGTGGCAACCCCTTAAAATGCCTCCAAATCCTTTGGAGGAGTAATGGGCCATGTTTGCCCATATTCCTGAGTAGTAACTACATGAAGTAATTCTTTGAATAAAAATCAGTCAGGACCTATTAGGTAGTATCTTCAAGGATAGAGTGTAAAGCCCAGCAGCCAGACAAATAATAACTTTCCAACAGAAGCACACGTTGGAGGTCAAGGACAAAGTAATAAGGACCCACGAGAGGCAGAAGCAGGACAGTGTCAGGGAAGGCTTCTCAGAGGAGGTGTTCACTTATCTCTAGGAGTACAAGGAAAGGGGCAAGGAAAAGGCATTCTAGCCAGAGAAAACAGCATAAGCAAAGGCTACAGGAAAGAGGATGCAATGTTCAGGCTCCACCAGACAGATGAAGGAAATCACAGAAGTCTTTTTAATCAACAACATCAAATTTACACTTTCAAAAGTTAATTTTAGGAGAGATATGGAAGATAAGAGTAGAGGCTTGATGCATACTTCAAGTAGGAGATGTTGCCTGTATAGAGAGATAAGGGGGAAGATTCTAGAAAGATTTGGGAGCTTGAATCATAGGAACTGATGATTGGCTTTAGGCTGAGTAAGAGGAACCATTTCCTAGCTAAGGTAACAGGGTAGAAAGTATCCCACTGACTTGAAATCTGAAAGGTTTGGGACACTTTAGGAAGAATGTAGGTAAAATAAATGCTGACCGTTAATTTTTTAGCTAATTTAATAAATTGTTCAATGATTTCATCCCTCTACAAATAATGCAATACATTCCCAATTCTGTTGTAGTTCCTGTTTAGTTCAGGTTCAAAAAACATTAATTAGGTATCATCTATGTGCCAGGTACTGTTCTAAAATCTGCCATTTTTGATTTTGCAAAAAATAAACGAAGAGAGAGCGAAAGGCTGTCCTACCTGTGAAGTAAAGGTCAGCCTCTACACCCTGCAGAACGCTGCTCCCAGAACCAGCACACAGGGCCACAACTTTGACCTGGGACTCTTTAAAACAAAGGAAATGAGACCAATGCTTTACAATTCTCTTTCATTTTACTACTATAATTTGTACCAAGAATCCTAAACATAATTATTTCACTCCTGGTCTCATCACCAGTATATGAACTGTTCTTACTGCATTTTGAAACAACATGTTTTAATATAAACAAACAGATCATTCTTTGATATTGCATAGCTAATCCAAGGCATGGTTATTATTCCTTTGTTCTTTTTTTTTTTTTCTAACAGTCTTTGTGAATTGAGCAAAATATGGAACAATGCACAAATTTGCATGTAATCTTTGTATAGGCAACATGCTAATCTATATCATCCAATTTTTAGTATATGTGCCGCTGAAGGGAGCACCATTATTCCTTCAGACATGGCTGCACAAACCAATGAATAGTACTAATGGTGAAACTCTAGGCTATACTGCCACGTTGCTAGGTAAAGTAACCTCACCTGGGTCTTCAGACAAGAGTAAGAGGTAGGTAAGTATTATCTCTATTCTCAGGTGAGGAAGCTGAGGAACTAAAAGGACTAGTGAGAGGAATGCTACGAATGGATTTGGCACATATAGTATTTTAAAATATACTCCTTATTCTCAAAAAGCATCCTCTGAGAAGTGAAATAATGGCAATTTTCAAGCCAAAATCCAAGTATTTAGCACTCACACTCAGGTGTCTAAAATGGACACTTCTTTAGTGGTCACTCCAATTCAGCAGCATGGCATCTCAAAGAGAGGGCTTTGGAGTTATATTGGAAGTCAGATCTCACCTCTGCTATCCATTTTCTTTGGACACTGACTCCCTTGAGTTGTTTGATCTAACTGTGGACTTTTGGATAAGTTAATGATATGGTTTGGCTGTGTGTACCCATCCAAATCTCACCTTGAATTGTAGTCCCTATAATCCCCACGGGTCAAGGGCAGGACCAGGTGGAGGTAACTGGATCATAGGGGACGATCCCCCATGCTGTTCTCGTGATAATGAGTCTCACAAGATCTGATGGTTTTACAAGCGTCTGGCATTTCCCTTGCTTGCACTCATTCTCTCTCCTGCTACCCTGAGAAAAGGTGCCTTCCACCATGACTGTAAGTTTCCTGTGGCCTCCCCAGCCATGCAGAACTGAGTCAATTAAACCTCTTTTCTTTATAAATTACCCAGGCTCAGGGATTTCTTCACAGCAGTGTGAGAATGGACTAATACAGTTACTTATCTCTCTGAACTGCAATTTTTCACCTTTAAAATGTGAGAAATAATACTATCCACATAGCTAGCAACAGTTAACACTTTAACTGTCCTTAATATGAGCCAGTCACTGTGCCATGTCACATGGATTACTACGACCCTCTGAGTTAGGTTTTATTATTAATGCAGCTTTTACAGATGAGGCTACTGGGACACAGAGGGCATAAACAACCTGTCAAAGTCATGCAGCAAACAGACAGGACAGACAAATCTGAAGCCAGGTTGTCTGAGCTCAAAATCCACACCTGTAACTGCTGTGCCCCACTCCTTTTGCTGGTGGGAGCTCACATACTTAGGACAGACAATCAGTACCATGCTAGGCTCACTGCAGGTGTTGAACAAATGTCTGTTCCCTCTTTTTGTTCTCAAAAGAACTAGGAAAAGCCAGAAGAAAAAAACCACAATACTTAGAAACTGCAGTGGATCAGATCACTCAGTAGCACCTCACTAGAAAATATTACGTCTTATAAAGCGCAAAATTTATGTTGTAATTATAGCGATCGTGATTCTAGCTCTCTTCTTGACACACGGTAACACTGCACTTTATGCCTCGGTTGGTTGTATTGAGCAACATGACTAATTCTGGAAAATGAGTTGAGCAGAAGTAACATGTATCATTTCCTGGAATTTTAAACTGATGGTTTAAGACCCTCCAAAACTCTCTCCCTCTGCAACAGCAACCACAATGGCCATACTTCCTACAATGACCAACTTAATGAACAAATAGCATGAGAGAGAAATAGTCTCATTGATTAAGTCAATGAGATGTATTCCACAGCAGAACCTAGCCCACCCTGATCGATAAAGTAAACCAGTTATCTCCCATGAGCTGCTAACACATTCTCTGTTACATACTAACACAATCAAGAGTTTCAACTAATACAATCAAGAGTTTGTCCAATGTTAACAGTAGGCATACTGGATAAATGAAGATGTATTTACCTAAAGTTCTCCCCACCCCAAGGGCTAAGCGAACATAAGATAGTTTTAGGTGTCTTTTGATTCGATCAATCATGGTTGCCAGGGAGACAGATTCATCCAGTGTGCATAACCGTCCCATTCCGGTATGTTGAAGCAAAGGCTGAGGAGAAACGGAAGTTAGAAATGTTGTCCATTGTCACTCCTAAGACAACAAATGCTAAAATCAATCAACATGCACATTGTGACGTTACTATAGCAAGCTCCAGGCTAAATGTGGGGATACAAACCTGACAAAAACATTCTTTCTTCTAGGAGCTCACACTTTCCTGGGAAAGCAGATGTTTAAATCAATAATCAGGCCAGGTGCGATGGCTCATGCCTGTAATCCTAGCACTCTGGGAGGCTGAGGCGGGTGGATTACTTGAGCTCAGGAGTTTGAGACCAACCTGGGCAACATAGTGAGACCTCATCTCCACAAAAAAAAATCCAAAATTTAGTCAGGCACGGTGGCATGCACCTACAGTCCCAGCTACTTGGGAGGCTGAATGGAAGGTGGGCTTGAGCTACCCAGGAGGCAGAGGTTGTGGTGAGCTGAGATTGCACCACTGCACTCCAGCCTGGGCAACAGAGCCAGACCCTGTCTCAAAAATAAATAAATAAAATAAACAAAATAATAAAACTGTTTAAATAGGTGCTAAAATCTACCACCTGCATCGAAGTAGGTGCTACTGTTGCAGCTGCACAAGGAATGTCAAACTAAATGAGCTGTGACTTGGGAGAGCTGGGAGTACTTGGAGGAAGGACTCAGGTCTTAGAGAAAGCCCTAAAAAGAGTTTTAAAAGGGGAAATAAAAAAGAGTTTAAAAGGAGGTGATGTCAAGTGCAGTGTGGCAGGACAGAGGTATAATGAGATGGAGGAAGGCATTCTAAACAGAAAGAACATGGACAAAGGTGCCAAAGGCTTGAGAGAACACACTGGGCAGGCAGATCCAAAAGACAACACTCTGGCTACTGTGCAGAGCATGTGCTGTGGAAGGAGAGGAGGCTAGAGGCCCGGGCTGCAGCAGATCATTAAGGGCTTCCGACACTGTGCTAAAGAGCCTGGACTGCCTCCTAGCTGCTCAGTGACACCACTCTCATTGCAGAAAATGAGAGTTTCAATTACTGTGATGGCAGAGCCAATACAGAGGAGAAACACTATATAGATATGAGGCCAAAATCAGCAGGGCTTGGAGTCAAGGAGGAATGTGAAAACTTGGAAACTAAAGTAAATAATGATACTGAAATATGAAATAGGAAAAAAAAAAGATACAAAGGGGTGGTGCAGGGATAAATATTTGTATATATTGAATTTGAAAAACTTGTGGGCTTTGTAAGTAGAAAACATCTAGAAAGTAGTTGAAAATATGGGTTTTTGTTATTTTTTTCCTTAAGAAAGCATTCTAAGCCAAAAAGATAGGAATCATCATCATATGAATGGCTATAAAGTGAATGACATGGTCCAGGCAGAGGGAGTAACATAAGGAGAGAGCAAACTTGTAACCAAATCTGTAACCCTGAAGTACCAACATTTTGATTCCTGAAATGTCTCCCTTCTCAATTACTTCCCAGAGAATATTATGCTCTCATTGCCATTTTGTACTTTAGGTAACAGTGAATGGCCTGTTGATCTAATAATTTACAAATGGATTCCCTGCAGAAAAATGCAAAGTAATGACACTCACCAAACTGTACATACCAAATATGTATGATTCTTATATTGGTTATACCTCAATAAAGTTGTTAGAAAATGCACAGTATTTTAAGATCAAATACAAAATATTTTTATTACCTTCTCTAGTGACAGAATTTCTGTCTTCTGATAAAGTTGTTTGTTCTGGGAAAGAAAATCTACCACCTGCATCAAAGCCTTCTGAGTACAATTCAAACTAATCCGTGTTTGTTCCTCATCATCAATCCTGGGGGTGGGGGGGAATCATTCCATTTAGGATAAATATAGCCAAAATGTATTTTAGATAATCCACAGTTTACAAACCTACTATAATAGGAGATTACATTTACATGGAGCTAAGGATTTAACGAATATAACTCATTTAATATAAACTAATCGGTTTTCTAGAATAGCATTTCTCTAACTCAAGTATGCATCAAAATCACCTGGAGGACTTATTAAAACACAGAGTGCTGGGCCCCACCCCTGGGGTTTCTGATTCATATATCTAGGTGGGACTCTGAGAATATACCTTTCTAGCAAGTTCCAGGTGATGCTGATGTTGCTGGTCCAGGGACCTCACTTTAAAACCACCGTTCAAGAACTGTTCTCAATCCTGATCCTGCATCAGAAATTTCCTGGCACAGTGGCTCACACCTGTAATCTCAGTATTTTGGGAGGCCAAGGTGGACAGATCGCTTGAGCCCAGGAGTCGAGACCAGCCTGGGCAACATGGAGAAACCTCATCTCTCCCAAAAACACCAAAAAAATTAGCCAGGCATGGTGGTGGGCACTTGTAGTCCCAGCTACTAGGGAGGCTGAGGCAGGAGAATCACTTGAACTTGGGAGGTGGAGGTTACAGTAAGTGGAGATCACAACACTGCACTACAGCTTGGGCGACAGAGCAAGACTCTGTTTCAAAACAAACAAAAAAATTCCTTCTAGCTTCTTAAAATAACAGCTGCTGGATCCTTCCACAAAACCAGTGAAACAGAACATTTATGAATGGGGCTGGGGCAAACTGAATTTTTTCAAAGCCTTAGAGATGATAATTTTAAAACAACACTGAATCCAAGAATGTCCTGGACAGATTCTCAGGCAAACTCCATTTTACTTAGAAAGATCTGAGATGAATACAAAAATCTGCATTTTAAATAATCATCTCATTAACAATCATGTAGGGGGTCCTTGGATCACCCTCTGGGGCCGCTCCAAAATTATTGGCATCAAGAAAGCTTTACATTTAACCATAAACTCTAAATATGATCACAAAATTCTAGAACTAAAAAGACACCTTTAAAAATAATCTAGAAGCATTAATTATAAACACTGCAATCATCTGGATTTTTTTTAAAAAAGAAAGAAAACCAATGCCTTGGTCCCTATCTAATGGTAAAACCCAGATATTATCTACAATATGGAAAAACTGGAACCAAACTAATAGGTCCATGAGTAGGAAGAGGAATGCTTAAACTACCCTTCATCCATGATAACAAACAAAACAAACAAACAAAAAACCTGTAAGCAATTAAAAATAATGAGAGCTTAGGCTGGGGGCAGTGGCTCAATTCTAGTACTTTGGGAGGTCAAAGGGGGCACATGGCTTGAGTCCAGGAGTTGGAGACCAGCCTGGGCAACAAGTCAAAACTCTGTCTCTACAAAAAATACAAAAATTAGCTGGGCATGGGTGGCAAGCACCTACAGTCCCAGCTGTTAGGGAGGCTAAGGTGGGAGGATGGCTTGAGCATGTGAGGTCAAGGCTGCAGTAGGCTGTGATCATGCCACTGCACTGCAGCCTGGGTGACAAAGACCCTGTTTCTCAAAAAGAAAAAACGAAAAGAAAAACGTCCTTTCTCTGCCCTAAATAACTAAATGATTGACCTTTTAAAGAGGCGCTTAATGTATTTTTCCTTTGACACCTGTAGTCCTAGCTCCTTAAGAGGCTGAGGTGGGGCTGGGTGTGGTGGCTCACGCCTGTAATCCCAGCACTTTGGGAGGCCGAGACAGGCGGATCACTTGGAAGTCAGGAGTTCAAAACCAGCCTGGCCAACATGGTGGAATCTTGTCTCTACTAAAAATATAAAAAAGTAGCTGCATGATGGTGGAAGCCTGTAATCCCAGTTACTTGGGAGGCTGAGACAGGAGAATCACTTGAACCCAGGAGGCAGAGGATCCAGTAAGCCAAGATCACGCTATTGCACTCCAGCCTGGGCGACAAAGCAAGACTCTGTCTCAAATAAATAAATTAAATAAATAAATAAATAAATAAAATGCAGAGTATCGTCCCCCAACATAGAAAATACTCAATTAAGTGTTACTTATCGTTTTTATTGTTTTGAAAAAAAGTCAATAGTTCTCCAGGACCCACATACAAATGAGTATGCTGCTTTGTAAACCAACTCCAGAGAAAATGATTTGTTTCAAGCCTAAATACCAGGGTTATAGACTTTGTAAGGAAGAAGCTTACAAATAAATACACACAAAAAAAGACAAAAATAAATTGTACCTAGCAGAAAAAGAAGTGACAGAAACATCTTCAATTCCTTTCACTGCAGACATGACTTTGTCCAGGTCTTGGCTGTGATTAATGCTAAATTCTACTCGGTGGTTTCCCTCTGTAGGGTAGTTGGGAGCTTTGGAAGGATGTATGGGCCTGGAGGTACAATCTCCTAGAGAAAATAATTGTGGGAAAATGGGAGTTTTGGGCGATGAGAGGTTAAGATTTAAAAGATAAACTATTGTAGGCAAAATTTCTAAGAAATGACTTTTTTAAAAGATTCATTCTCATGCTTATCTAATACATAAACACACACACAAACATATCCCTTAGATATACATCACCAGTCCCCATAATCTAGGCCTTTGGTATGGACATACAAAGTCAAATTATTTTCAGAATTATTTTCCAAAAGATTCTTAAATCTCTAAAAAACTTGGACAAAAAAGATTGATTCATACATTTTTAGATAATACACAGAATTGTCTACTGCTTGGTAAATCTACCCACATAAACCATTATTCAGGTTGCAAATGCTCGTACTCTATTTGACCATAGTAATACAGATATCATTATAAAAGCTTTAGCCCAAAACAAGTAAACTAAAGACTTATTAAAATAAAGCTAAAATGCATGTATCATTCCCTCATTGGGCTAGGCATAGGTAAACATTGACTAAAAACATTCATTAAAACCCTCACATCTATCTACCTGACATATCAAGTGTATTCTGGAGAGACCTGAGCTTTCAATTTAACAAGCATTTTTCAAGTGCCTAGGTGACAGGCATTAGGCCACAAAAATGAGGAATCACGAAGCTCAGTCCAGTAAGGAAGACTTCTGCTCTTCTTATTCCATAAAGATAAAAAAAGTTTCCTTTTTCAAATGCAATTTAACTGCCAAATTGCAGCAACATTATTTTAAAATTATATACAAATGGAATGATACCCTCCCCACCCCGAAAGCAGTCAAAACTTTACTGGAAAGACATTCTAAAGTTTCTTTTTTTTTTTTTTTGAGACGGAGTTTCGCTCTTGTCACCCAGGCTGGAGTGCAATGGCCCGATCTCGGCTCACCGCAACCTCCACCTCCCGGGTTCAGGCAATTCTCCTGCCTCAGCCTCCTGAGTAGCTGGGATTACAGGCACGCGCCACCATGCCCAGCTAATTTTTTGTATTTTTAGTAGAGACGGGGTTTCACCGTGTTGACCAGGATGGTCTCGATCTCTCTACCTCGTGATCCGCCCGCCTCGGCCTCCCAAAGTGCTGGGATTACAGGCTTGAGCCACCGCGCCCGGCGACATTCTAAAGTTTCAAAGTATTTGTAGGTAAAATAACAAATATGAAAGCGGCTTCTCACCAAGCCCTTTAGCCAACCAGTTGTTGACTCCCTGGGGTGCGGCATCATAGGCTGTGTGAGGAGAGTAGATAGCCACTCTGTTCTCCAGAGCTCGGATCACCAGGCGCTCCTTCCAGGTGTTCCAGGTTATGCGTTTCATGGGTCGGAAGATAGGCGGATGGTAGGAGAGAATGAGGTCTGCCTTCTTCTGCAGCACCTCCTCCATCACTTCCTCAGTCAGGTCATTCGTCAGGAAGAGGGTATTTACAGTATGTGGTGGGCTTGGTTCTACCAGTAATCCAACATTGTCCCAACTCTCAGCAAAGGAGAGGGAGGCAAAGTCATTCAAGGAAGAAAGGAGAGCCTTCAAATCCATGAAGGAACGGGAAGAATTGCAGATAAGGGAATCTATAAACCGGACTGCTGTGGGGACCCGGCGTACACAAGATGACAACATACAGGAATCAGGTAAAATTCGTTTCTGAAGTCAAAACAAAGAAAATGGTACACATGTACACTTTAGGCCTGAATCTTTGAGGCATCAAATCATATGGACAAAAGAGTTGTCATCATAGAGATCTGGGTTCAAATAGTGGCTCTGCCACTTACCAGCACACTATAGCTTAGGTAAGCCATTTAACCTCTCCAGTCTTGTTTTCTCACCTAGGAAATGGAGATACTATAACCCACCTCACAGGCCATCCAGAGGAGCAAATGAATTATGTAACCTAGCAGAGCCTAGTATATAATACACGAATGCCGTCTCCTGCCTCACACGCCCTCGTTCTTTCTTCCCACTCTTGCTTCAACCAACCTTCTCCCTAATCCATTTCTCTAAATATTACCTTCCCTTTTCCCAGGTCCCCTTCAACTTCTTGAATGAAACTTTTCTTGACAAATCTTCCTTTTCAGCATCTTTCCCAAGGTTCCCCACCTCTCAGTGTTCTAAGAATTCCGGGTGTGCTCCATTACGCTGAAGCTACTAGGGAATAGGAACAATCTTTAATAAATCTCGGTATAGCCAATATAAGCCAGCACTAAATAATAACCGCATAGAATGACCTTGCCTACATCCCGATTACAACAGAATTTGGAGTTGGGTGATATATACTGGCATTACAACGCGTTTTATCAAAAACCAGAATAATATTTAAAATTTCAAGTGCTTTATCAGCATTAAGAATCAAGGCATACATAGGGAGGTCACTCTACAAATGGGCAGGGTCAAGGCAGAAGGGAGAAGCCACTGCCCCTTAAGCAACATTCGCTAAACGAAGACCAGGCTCAAGAGGTGGGAAGGGGTAAGGTACAGAGCACTTTCCCCACACAGCCTGTAAGCCTTCTAAATACCTACAGCAAACAAGGAACTGAAAAGGCTGGCAACAAAGGGAAGGTAGGAGGGCAACAGAGAGAAAAAAATTGCTGACTCCAAAATATGCACAATTAGTAAATGTTTAATCAAATAACTACAAAAGATAATGCTGTCAAACCCCATTCTTAAACTTACTACCTATAAACACTTTTTGGAGAAAAGCATAGTCAATTGCAAATTTGATTAAGTATCCATAAGCCAATTATTCCACAAGCAATTTTTCAACACTTCTATTTAATCAGATGGGGATGCTTATTTAATGCATTATTTGAAGTAATACAGGGTCTCCAAAAACCACTCGAGGTCTTGGAAATTTTTGTTTTTTTCTTTTTGAGGCAGGGTTTCACTCGTCGCCTAGGCAGGAGTGCAGCGGTGCTGTATCAGCTCATCGGAGCCTTGACCTCCTGGCCTCAAGCAGATCCTCCCACCTCAGCCTCCTGAGTAGCTAGGACTATAGGCACGGAACACCACGCCTGGCTAATTTTTGCATTTTTAGTAGAGATGGGATCTTGCCATGTTGCCCAAGGCTGGTCTCAAACTCCTGCACTCAGGCGACCCACCTTGCCTCGGCCTCCCAGAGTGCTGGGATTACAGGCATGTGTCACTGCATCCAGCCTTGGAAGATATTCTAATGGTCCTCACAGTACTCCGTTCTCCAGCCTCTTCTACATCTGGCAAGCTCGCAAGTGAAAACCTAGTGGGCCACCATGCAGGTTTTGACTTATTTACTGTTACAGATGAGGAAACTGAGAGGCTACATGGCCACAGTCAACGACGACAAGAAGCAGCAGCACAGTATGGTGGGAGGGACTCTGAAGTCAGAGTCACAGCTGTGCAACAACAGACAAATGAGTTATCATCTGCAGTTTCCTCTGGGGCAGGAAATAGTGCCACGGCCACAATATCGCGAGATTCACACGTAAAGCTGGAAACAGCCCTCGTACTAAGGTAAGCACTGTGTTTGCTATTAAGTAGCATCAGCAGGGCCCCTTTGCAGCCTGCAAACCGCTCCCTCTACCTTACTAATCTTTGCCTCATTTCATGTCTTTTCCAGGACAGTGAAAACCCACGTGACACAGCCAGTAAGTATGAGTCAGGACCCCTGTCCCGCTAGTACGCAGTGCTGTCTCGCGGCAGGGTACTTTTCTGACCCAATCTCTTCTCCTTGCCTCTGCAGCACCAACATAACAATCACAGCCTGCCCTAACCCGAACCCACCGCGAAGGTCACAACTACACTCGCGGGTTTTTAAATCGCCCACGACTCACCAGTCCCGGAAACGTCCACGTCACTTCCGGTCCTGCGTCGGCGCTCGTGGCGCTGTGGTAATGGGTTCCCCCTAGCTGGGCGGAAGTGGTCCTTTCAGTTCGGCAACCGAGTGTAAACCATTGAAGTTACCCAGATAGTTTTGCCTTACGCCTCTTGTCCCAGTGGAATTATTCGTAGAGCTCCCTTTCACTGTCAAATTTCCGGTGGGGGATAAATTACAGTGTCGTTTTGGTTTGAGAGAGGAAGGAGTGGGGAGGAGGGAGATGAGGCGGTAAGGGGCGTTCTCTCTCTTGGGTCCCGCGCCCAACTTCCGCTGGCCCATAGAAACTGTAATTTTGGACAAACAGAACTCTGCTGTCCTGTGCGATTGCATTTTTCCTGTTTTAACAACGGCTGTGCTAAACGAAGTGGTGAAGCCCAAGTATGGAGCAGCATCATTAATTCTTTCATTCGCTTATTCGAATACTTGCTGAGCTCTGTGTTGCTTCTGGTTTGGTTCTTGGGATACTGCGAGTGAACGTGGGCAGCGAGGCTGTTGTTGCAACGTGAAAATAAGAGAAGGGCCGGGCGCGGTGGCTCACGCTAGTAATCCCAGCACTTTGGAAGGCGGAGCCGGGTGGAACCCCTGTGGCGCGTGCCTGTAATAGCACCTACTCGGGAGGCTGAGGCAAGACAATCACTTGAACCCCGGAGGCGGAGGTTGCAGTGATCCGGGATCGTGCCACTACACTCCAGCCTGGCGACGGAGCGAGGCTCTGTCTCAAAAAAAAAAAAAAAAAAAAAAAAAGAAGAAAAAGAAGAAGTTAATAGTATATTAGTGATAAGTGCTGTGGGAGAAGGAAATAGTAATGTTCTAGGTCTCAAGCAGTTTTATGTAGGGTTTCAGGTCAGTTAAACTTGACATTTAAGCAGAAATTTGGAGGTGAGGAAATTAGCTGTAGAGATGTCTGAGTGTAATAAGCATTCCTGGCAAAAGGGACACCGAGTGCCTAGACCCTAAGGGAAGGTATCTGGCTTACTGGGGGACTTGAAAGGAGGCTCTTGAAGAAGAGCAAGCAGGGCAAGTTGGAGATTGGGAGGCTTGAATTGGGTAGGGTCTCTCAACATTACTCTATAGCTGGGTTTTTATTACATAGGGGATGCCATTAGAGGATTTTTTTTTTTTTTTTTTTTTTTTGAGACGGAGTCTGTCTCTGTCACCCAGGTTGGCAGTGTCGGGATCTCGCCTTACTGCAACCTCCGCCTCCGGGGTTCAGGCAATTCTCCTGCCTCAGCCTCCGGAGTAGCTGAGACTATAGGGGAGTGCCACCACATTCGGCTAATTTTTGTGTTTTTAGTAGAGACAGGGTTTCGCCATGTTGGCCAGGCTGGTCTTGAACTCCTGACCTCAGGCGATCCACCCGCCTTGGCCTCCCAAAGTGCTTGGATTACAGGCGTGAGCCACCATTCTGGGCGAGGATTTTTATTTAAAATGTGCAGTAAAGGTGAGCGTGTGTGAATTTGGAAGATAGAAAGATGAGCCTAATTCTTTTTTTCTTTTGGGACTAGAGACTTATTTTTGACCTCGCTGTAAGACTCAGAAATTACGTAGTCTTTCCTGAAACCACTAAGAGGAAAAATGGTAAGTTTTGAACAATTCTTTTGAAATGTCTTTCATTATAAGTAATTTTTAGAAATTCAGTCAAGGGCAATAAAAATGCATGGGAATTGCAGTGACAAGATGGAGAAATTGTACACTATAGAAACATTTAATATGGAATACTTCTTTTAAAAATACACAAAGTTACTTTAAAATTCTTTAGCATTGTCACTTAAAACGCACAGAATTTACCTTTTATGGAGAAAGGTTGATTACAAGGTAGATAGAAATGAAAAGGAAGGGTTGAAGGAGCAGAAGAGAATAGATAGGTCTGACAATTTTAACTGGGTTATTTTGCTCTGGATCTAAAGTAGGCAACTAGGCTGGGTGCAGTGGCTCATGCCTGTGATCCCAGCACTTTGGGAGGCTCAGGTTACAGGATCGATTGATCCCAGGAGTTCAACACCAGCTTGGCAACATAGTGAGACCCCCATCTCTACTTTTAAAAAAACAAAGTAGGCAACTAGAACTAGAAATAGAAAAAAGCAATGAAACTAGTGCCCTGCTTCTCCCACACACACTTTTAACCTGGTCATACTCTCTAATAACTGAAGTTACTATTTAAGAAGAAGGCCAGGCACGGTGGCTCATGCCTGTAGTAATCCCAGCACTTTGGGAGGCCAAGGCAGGCCGATAACTTTAGGTCAGGAGTTCGAGACCAGCCTGGCCAACATGGCAAAACCCCATCTCTACTATAAACACAAAAATTAGCCAGTTGTGTCATCCCAGCTACTTGGGAGGCTGAGGCAGGAGAATTGCTTGAACCCAGGAGGCAAAGGTTGTAGTGAGCTGAGATCGCACCACTGCATTCCAGCTGCGCAACAAAGCAAGACTCCATCTCAAAAAAAAAGAAAGAAATGAAAAAGGAATCCTCCAGATTGTTTTCTCCCTTTCTGGAATAGAGTATCGTATCAAGGGGTATACAGTTTACAGAAAAACAGGTACAAGAAAAATAGCAAGCAAGAAAAAGCACTGTGGTTATCTGCACATTTAGGATTTAGAAACACTGACACTTATTATGTTTTTGTTAGTTGAGAAAGGAAATATTTTTAACCCTATTTCTCAGAATTAAATTACCTAAGGAAAATGGTGGCAATTATGTTTTGAAAAATCATTTTCTCATCATTTTTCTATAAATAAGGATGTTGGTGAATTGCCATATAAATCAATAATACATAACAATTGTTTTATTTTTCTTGATGAAAAAATTCAAGGTTAAAATAATTATTTCCATCAAAATGTTTGCTTCCAAATTTTTATCATGGATACTACTTAACCCTAATATTTATATTCTGGAGTTTCTTCTTGACTGTTGATTGTTATGTATTATTTATATATATGCAATTCACCAACATCCTTTGTAGATGGGTCATCTCTGAAGCAGTATTTCTGTCTGTTTTTATTCAGATTGTCATCTTGAATATCCATTTAGGGAAATAATACAGTGCATAAAGTCACCTGAAGAAATTTCATTTGTTCTCACATTTTCTCTCCTCTTCAGTCTGTGACATTGCATACAGATGTAGGTGATATTAAAATTGAAGTCTTTTGTGAGAGGACACCCAAAGCATGTGAGGTAAGTACCATTATTTACATAGTAAACATCAGTTAATACAACAAGGTAACCATTTTGGAATTGAATAACCTAAACAACAACAACAAAACTTTCTATAAAACCATTGTTAGGAAAAACTAACCATCATAACTTCTGATCTGATTTCCACTTATTTGTCCAATCCCACAGGTGAAACAAAGAGAAGGCAGTTAATTTTTCTGTAATGGTAGAGTAGCCAGTATCATTTTCTTTGGACTCATTTTCCTCAGGAAACATAATCATTAGGATTATATTATTATTATATATGTGTGTGTGTGTGTGTGTGTGTGTATGTATGTATTTTATTTTCTGGAGACAGAGTCTTGCTCTGTCGCCCAGGCTAGAGTGCAGTGGTGCTATCTCAGCTCATTGCAACCTCTACCTCCCAGGTTCAAGTGATTCTCCTGCCTCAGCCTCCTGAGTAGGTGGAATTACAGGTGCACGCCATCATGCCTGGCTAATTTTTGTACTTTTAGTAGAGATGCAGTTTCACCACGTTGGCCAGGCTGGTCTCAGACTCCTGAGCTCAGGTGATCCACTCACCTCAGCCTCCCAAAGTGCTGGGATTACAGGTGTGAGCCCCCATGCCCAGCCTTTCCCCCACCCGTGGAGTCTTGCTCCTTCATCCAGACTGGAGTGCAGTGGCCTGATCTTGGCTCACTGCAACCTCTGCCTCTCGAATTCAAACAATTTTGCTGCCTCATCCTCCCAAGTAGCTGGGACTACAGGCACCCGCCACCACACCTGCCAAATTTTTGTATTTTTTTAGTAGAGACAGGGTTTCATCATGTTGACCAGGCTGGTCTTGAACTCCTGACCTCAGGTAATCCACCTGCCTTGGCCTCCCAAAGTGCTGGAATTACAAGTGTGAGCTTCCATGCCCAGCCCAGCCAGGATATTATATTAAAGAATTGTTGAATACTTTTTTTTTTTTTTGAGGCAGAGTTTCGCTCTTGTTACCCAGGCTGGAGTGCAATGGCGCGATCTCGGCTCACCGCAACCTCCGCCTCCTGGATTCAGGCAATTCTCCTGCCTCAGCCTCCTGAGTAGCTGGGATTACAGACACGTGCCACCATGCCCAGCTAATTTTTTGTATTTTTAATAGATACGGGGTTTCACCATGTTGCCTAGGATGGTCTCGATCTCTTGACCTCGTGAGCCACTGCGCCTGGCCTTTTTTTTTTTTTTTTTTTTTTTTGAGACAGGGTCTTGCTGTGCCAGCCTGGCTGGAGTGCAGTGGTGCAATCATGGCTCACTGAAGCCTCAACCTAATGGGCTCAAGCAATACTCCCTTCTTGGCCTCCCAAGTAGATGGGACTACAGGTGCTACCACACCAGGCTAATTTTCTTTTTTCTCTTTTTTTTTTTTTTTTTGGTAGAGATGAGGTCTCACTGTGTTGCCCAAGCTGGTCTCAAAACTCCTGGTCTCCAGCCATCCTCGTGCCTCAGCTTTCCAAAGTGTTGGGATTACAGGTGTGAACCATCATGCCTGGCCTGTTCTATACATTATTTCACCTGTATATTTTTATTTATTTATTTGAGACAGAGTTTTGTTCTTGTTGCCCAGTCTGGAGTGCAGTGGTACAGTCTTGGGTCACTGCAACATCCACCTCCCAGGTCCAAGGGATTCTCTCGCCTCAGCCTCCTGAGAGCTGGGATTACAGGCATGCACCATAACACCTGGCTAATTTTGTATTTTTAGTAGAGATGAGTTGATCAAGCTGGTCTTGAACTCCTAACCTCAGATGATCCACCCATCTTGGCTTCCCAAAGTGTTGGGATTACAGACATAAGCCACCGCGCCCAGCCTGTTTCACCTGTTTAAATGACAAGGATAGAAGGAAGAAGAGTCAGTTATATATATTCATTTATTCAACAATTATTTATGTCCGGGTGCGGTGACTAGCATCTATAATCTCAGCACTTTGGGAGGCTAAGGTGGCAGGATCACTTAAGCTCAGAAATTCTAGACCTACTTAGACAACATAGTGAGACCCCATCACTACCAAAATATACAAAAATTAGCCAAGTGTGGTGATGTGCGCCTATTGCCCCAGCTACAAGGGAGGCCAAGGTGGGAGGATTGCCTGAATCTGGAGGGTCAAGGCTGTAGTGAACTCTGATCACACTGCTGTACTCCAACCTAGGCGACAGAGTAAGACTCTGTCTCAAAACAAAACAAAACAAAATAAAAACCCATTATTTATGAAAGGCCATCTTGCCTCAGAGTCTGGGGATACAGTGATGAGCAACAGACATTCCTTACCCTCATGAAGCCAATATTCTAGTTGGAAAAATAAGCAGGGCAGGAAAATTAAATACTTCTTTTTTAAAAAATTATTTTTATTTATTTATTTATTTGTTTTTATTTATTTTTTTGAGACGGAGTTTCGCTCTTGTTACCCAGCCTGGAGTGCAATGGTGCGATCTCGGCTCACCGCAACCTCCGCCTCCTGGGTTCAGGCAATTCTCCTGCCTCAGCCTCCCGAGTAGCTGGGACTACAGGCGTGCACCATCATGCCCAGCTAATTTTTGTACTTTTAGTAGAGACGGGGTTTCACCATGTTGACCAGGATGGTCTCGATCTCTTGACCTCGTGATCCACCCATCTTGGCCTCCCAAAGTGCTGGGATTACAGTATTTATTTATTTTTTAAAGATAGAGACAAGCTCTTACTATGTTGCCCAGGCTGGTCTTGAACTCCTGGACTTAAGTGATCTGCCCACCTCCCAAAGTGCTGGGATTACAGGTGTGAGCCACTGCACCTGGCCTAAAATTAAGTAATTCTAAAACATGATAATGCCCTGAAAAAAATTAACTGTTGAAAAAAAAAAATTTAGGTGTTGAGATAGAGAATAATAGGAAAGGAAGAAAGTGAGGGGAGGCCTAGCCAAGAAACTAATACTTAAACTGAATGTGAAGGTGTGAGGGCATCTCCATGGAAAGAGGTGTAAAAAGAATATTCCAGGTATTCAGAGTTGTGAAATAAAATTTTAAAAAATTCTAAGGCCAGGCACGGTGGCTCACACCTGTAATTCCAGCACTTTGAGAGGCTGAGGCAGGAGGATCATTTGAGCCCAGGAGTTCAAGGCCAGCCTGGGCAACATAGGGAGACACTATCTCTACAAAAAAAGAGAATATTCCTGGTATAGAAATATCATGTACAAAGTCCCCAAGGTGGGAAATCCTGTCCCTTTTGGGTTGTCAGAATGCTGATGGGTTTAAGTAGTAAGCAATAAGAAAGCAGTTCTTAGAATATGTGATGAAGAGATAAGCCAGGTGCTGCAGGGCTTCTTTGGCCCTGCTGAAGATTTTCATTTTGTTCCAAGAGCAGAAGGAAGCTATTGAAATGTTTTAGGAAAGGAAGTGACATCCAAAGTAATGCCAAAAGTCATAGTTTATGCTGCTGTAGCGTTTTCACTAAATAGGATTGGTTCTTTGCCTTAACTGGGTTTCTTCTTCATTGTTTCTCAATCATTATTTTTACTCTCTTCAGAATTTCTTGGCTCTTTGTGCCAGTAACTACTACAATGGCTGTATATTTCATAGAAATATCAAGGGTTTCATGGTTCAAACAGGAGATCCAACAGGTAAGTTACTCCATTAACTAAGATCCAAGGAACTGAATATGTAGTATAAAGCAGTGGGTAAAAGAAGAATTTAAAATGTGGAGGGGTGTATGTGTGTGTGTATGTGTGTGTGTTTCAGTTCTGTTCTACAAGTGCAGAACATGTAGGTTTGTTACATAGGTATACCTATGCCATGGGGGTTTGCTGCACCTATCAACCTGTCAACTAGGTTTTAAGCCCCGTATGCATTAGCTGTTTGTCTTAATGTTCTCCCTTCCCTTGTTCCCCATCCCCCTACTATCCCTGCTGTGTGTTGGTCCTCTCCCTGTGTCCATGTGATCTCGTTGTTCAACTCCCACTTAAGAGTGAGAACATACGGTGTTTGGTTTTCTGTTCCTGTGTTAGTTTGCCAAGAATGATGGCCTCCAGTTGCATCCATGTCCCTGCAAAGGATGTGATCTCATTCCTTTACACAGCTACATAGTATTCCATGGTATAATTTTAAAGCAGAAATGATTAACACCTACCCCTAAAATATAAACAATATTTTGCTCACTTTGACAGCACATATACTAAAATTTGAATGATACAGGGAAGATTAGCGTGGCCCCTGCACAAAGATAAGGTGCAAATTTGTGAAGATTTTCATACTAAAAAATATATATGAACAGTATTTATAAGGAGGGTTATTCTTTTTTGTTTTTTGTAGGTCTATTTTTATCTTCATATCTGTGAAGTTAAATTTGGGGAATTAGGAAAGGCCGTATCAAATTTTGTGTGTGTGTGTGTGTGTGTGTGTGTGTGTGTATTTTTTTTTTTTTTGGAAACCGAGTCTTGCTCTGTTGCCCAGGCTAGAGTGCAGTGGCACAATCTCAGCTCACTGCAACCTCCGCCTCCTGTGTTCAAGCAATTCTCCTGCCTCAGCCTCCCGAGTAGTTGGGACTACAGGTGCACGCCTCCACACCCAGCTAATTTTTTTGTATTTAGTAGAAACGGAGTTTCACCATGTTGCCCAGGCTGGTCTCGAACTCCTGAGCTCAGGCAGTCCACCCACCTCAGCCTCCCAAAGTGCTAGGATTATAGGCGTGAGCCACCATGCTTGGCCAAATTTTATTTATATTTAAGCAGTTATACTATAAAGTATTTCTTAAGTTTTGGGAAATGAGCTTGTTTTCTATTTTAATTAAATACTTCTTTTGATTTTCTTGCCTTGTAATATAGGTACTGGAAGAGGAGGTAACAGTATCTGGGGCAAGAAGTTTGAGGATGAATACAGTGAATATCTTAAGGTAAATCCTCAATTCTTTAAAAATCTATGTTCTTATGACTTGCTTATTCTTGGAAACTTTGATACATGTGTTATAGTAATACAAGTTAACATAATTGCAAAATGAATACACTTTTTTATAGTTTTTGTACATCTGACAAATAATGTCAGGGAGACTTGATAAATGGTGGTCCTATCCTAACGTGTACTAGAATCTCACCACCACATGACTCTTGATATTGAGTTCATCTTTGAATCTAACCTGAAATGTTTAACTAGTAATGTGCTAAAGGGGCTTAATATCTCACCATAAAATTCAGGTTGAATGACATGAATCAGTGGCCTTTTTTGACAGCAGGGAGGAAAGACTATCAAACTTCCTGGTTGCAATGTTACCCATTATCAGTGCCCAGCTTTTATCATCTTCTGTTGGATGTTTGAACATTCCTGTATTAACTTGACTTGATACCTGTGGTAGATTGCAACTAGGTTAAAGAGAAGTGCATATAGTCTTCACCATGGTAAAAATTAGGGATTTTTAATTTTCTTTGTTATATTTTTCTGTATTTTTCAAATCTCTGTGGAGTCATTTTTTTTTCTTTTGTCTAAAATTTAAAAACTAGTGCATGTCTATTTTTAAAAATCAATTCCACTTCCTAGAGATAACTTCAGTTAATGATTTATTTTGTGGTCTTTCATACTTTGTATCTGCATAGAATCATAACTTTATGATTAGAAAAAGAGTGATAAAGTATCCTCAGTCAGACCTGGGTACAGTAATCCCAGCACTTTGAGAGGCCCAGTCAGGAGGATTGCTTGAGGCCAAAAATTTGAAACCAGCCTGGGCAACATACTGAGACCCCTATCTCTACAAAAAAAAAAAAAAAAAAAAAAAAAAAATACAAATCTTAGCCTGTTGTAGTGGTGTATGCCTGTAGTCCCAGCTACTCAAAGAGTCTGAGGCAGGAGGATTGCTTGAGCCCAGGAGATCAAGGCTGTAGTGAGCCAAGATCATGCTCAGAACAAGACCTTGTCTCAAAAAAAAAGTGTACTCAATTTAATACGCAGTTTAAGTGTATTATATTTCCATTATATCAAAATATACAAAATTTCTGAAAAAAATTTATTGCAGTGTTTATCTCTGGATGATGAGACTAGGAGTAATTTCTTTTCTTTTTGTGTTTTTTTTTAAACTTTTTTTAGAGGCAGGATCTTGCTCTGTCCCCAGGCTGGAGTGCAGTGATGCAGTCTTGACTCACTGCAGTCTAAATTTTCTGGGCTCAACTGATCCTCCCACCTCAGCCTCCAGAGTAGCTGGGACGACGGGTGCATGCCACCATGCCCAGGTGATGTTTGTATTTTTTGTACAGATGGTGTCTCACTATGCTGCCCAAACTGGTTCCTTTCACTCTTCTATTATAGGGAAATATATTAGTTTTGTTACAGGAGTTGAGGCTGGGAGGTGATAAACTTTTTGAAAAGTCAACTTTTTCCTAAATGAATAACTAAACAATTGTTTAGGTATTAATTACTACATTAATGACTGCTTCCATATTCCAATTGAAAACCAGAGATTGGCTGTGACAGAATCTCCTGTGGAAGTTTTTTGTTTGTTTTTGAGACTGGGTCTCACTCTGTTGCCTAAGCTGAGTGCAGTGGTCTGATCACGGTTTACTTCAGCCTTGACCACCTGATCTCAAGCAGTTTCTCCTGCCTCAGCCTCCCAAGTAGCTGGACTACAGGAGTGCACCACCATGCCTAGCTAATTTCTGATTTTTCTTAGAGATGAAGTCTCACTCTGTTGCTCAGTCTGGTCTGAAACTCTTGGACTCAGATGATCCTCTTGTCTTGACCTCCCAAAATGTTGAGATTATAGGAGTGAGTCACTGCACTTGGCTGGAAGTTTTAAAACTATAGCAGATCACAGCCTTACCCTAAAAATAAACAGTAGGGCTGATTAGGACTTTGACTATATTTTAAGGTTCCTAGATGATTCTTCTGCAGCCAGAGTTGAAAACCATTATATATTATACACCTTATACACCAAGGTTATAGATATGTGTTGTCTGTTCATATATTCTGACCCAGGAATTCCATTCCCAAATGTTTACTAAAGAGAAACATGTAAGTATGCACCAAGAGACATGTACAGGAGTGTTCAGATGTACTGTTTGTAACAGCAAGTTTAAAAACAACTGAAATGTCCATTGATTATACAATGCATATTTTGTGTATTCAGTAGTGAAATATCGCATAGTAGTAAAAAAAAAAATTAGCTATATATACATGCACGACCTTAGAAATGTAACGGTGTTATTTGTAAAAAGTATTTCCCAGAAGACTAAAATGTTATAATACCATTATATGCAGAAAGAAAAGGAAAAATGTGTTGTTCAGGCATGTATAAATGTGTTAGGGCTAGGCGTAGTGGCTCATTCTTAAAATCCCAACATTTTAGGGGGCCAAGGTGAGAGGACCACTTGAAGCCAGGAGTTTGAGATCAGTCTGGGAAACATTGAGCCCTCGCCTCTACTAAAGTTAAAAAATTAGCCAGGTATGGTGGTGTATATCTGTAGTCCCAGCCAATCAGGAGGCTAAAGTGGGAGGATTGCTTGAGCCTAGAAGGTCAAGGCTACAGTGAGTTATGATTGTATCACTGCACTCCAACCTGGGTGACAGAGTGATACCCTGTCTCTAAAAAAAAAAAAAAAAAAAAAAATGAAAAAATGGCTGGGCTCGGTGGCTCACACCTGTAATCCCAGCACTTTGGGAGGCTGAGGTGGGTGGATCAAAGGAATTCAAGACCAGCCTGACCAACATGGTGAAACCTCGTCTCCAAAAAAAAAAAAGAAAAAGAAAAGAAAAAAAAATGTATTAGAATATGGTTTACCGGTTACCTCTTGTAGAGGCTGAGGTAATAGATGGAGAGGAGCACATAGATATATATAATTAATTGATAACTTTTATTTTTTTTGAACTCCCATTATTATTATTATTTATTTATTTGTTTATTTTTTGAGATGAAGTTTCACTCTTGTTGCCCAGGCTGGAGTGCAATGGCACGATCTCGGCTCACCGCAACCTCCGTCTCCCAGGTTCAAGTGTTTCTCCTGCCTCAGCCTCTTAAGTAGCTGGAATTACAGGCACCCACTACCACGCCCAGCTAATTTTGTATTTTTTTAGTAAGATGGGGTTTCACCATGTTGGTCAGGCTGGTCTCAATCTCCTGACCTCAGGTGATCTACCCACCTCAGCCTCCCAAAGTATGAGATTACAGGCGTGAGTCACCACACCCGGCCAGAGCTCCCATTATTTAATGAATTGGTAAATTTTAACTCTGAAAGCTGGGAAATATGTTAATGGATGCTTATTTTATTAACTTTTTTTTTATTAACTATATTTTTGTGTAGGTATTAAATGTTGTATATGTATTAAATATTACATTGTATATGTATTAAATATCACATTGTGTATATATTTGATATATATCAAACGTAATATTATATTTGATTGGTAAACACATTTTAGAGAGACAGGCATTAGTATTTTAATATAGCTGCATCTCGGTGGGGTGCAGTGACTCATGCCTGTAATCCCAGCACTTTGGGAGGCTGAGGCAGGTGAATCACCTGAGGTTGGGAGTGTGAGACCAGCCTGTCCAACATTGTGAAACCCCATCTTTACTAAAATTACTAAAATTAGCCAGGTATGGTAGCAGGCACCTGTAATCCCAGTTACTCAGGAGGCTGAAGCAGGAGAATCACTTGAACCCAAGAGGCAGAGGATGTAGTGAGCAAAGATCACAGCATTGTACTCCAGCCTGGGCAACAAGAGCAAAGCTCAGTCTCAGAAAAAAAACACAGAGCTGCATCTCTATAGCTTGTTAGTGTCACCTAATGAATAGCTAAAGCTAGGTTGTAGTGAGCAAAGATCACAGCACTGTACTTCAGCCTGGGCAACAAGAGCAAAGCTCAGTTTCAGAAAAAAAACAGAGCTGCGCCGGGCGCGGTGGCTCAAGCCTGTAATCCCAGCACTTTGGGAGGCCGAGGCGGGTGGATCACAAGGTCGAGAGATCGAGACCATCCTGGTCAACATGGTGAAACCCCGTCTCTACTAAAAATACAAAAAATTAGCTGGGCATGGTGGCTCGTGCCTGTAATCCCAGCTACTCAGGAGGCTGAGGCAGGAGAATTCCCTGAACCCAGGAGGCGGAGGTTGCCGTGAGCCGAGATCGCGCCATTGCACTCCAGCCTGGGTAACAAGAGCAAAAAAAACTCCGTCTCAAAAAAAAAAAAAAAAAAAAAAAAAAATTTAGCCGGGCGCGGTGGCTCAAGCCTGTAATCCCAGCACTTTGGGAGGCCGAGGCGGGTGGATCACAAGGTCAAGAGATCGAGACCAGCCTGGTCAACATGGTGAAACCCCGTCTCTACTAAAAATACAAAAAATTAGCTGGGCATGGTGGCGTGTGCCTGTAATCCAAGCTACTCAGGAGGCTGAGGCAGGAGAATTGCCTGAACCCAGGAGGCGGAGGTTGCGGTGAGCCGAGATCGTGCCATTGCACTCCAGCCTGGGTTAACAAGAGCGAAACTCCGTCTCAAAAAAAAAAAAAAAAAAACAGAGCTGCATCTCTATAGCTTGTTAGTGTCACCTAATGAATAGCTAAAGCTAGAGTAATTGGTGGAGTTATTTGTAGTGTGTTACCGGCACCTCCTTGTAACATAGTTCACAGTTATATCTTCATTCTTGTCAGTAAAGTCCTTTTAATTTTATACACAGTCTCTTGTAAACAAATATTATCATAATAGAGATAGGTGAGACCTTTCTTAGATCATTCAGTCCTGGGGTTATAAACTAACTGCCCATGAGTGGGCAGTTGCATTATCCATAGCCGTTAGTTAAAAGAAAAAATGTTTAATGCCATTAGTCAAGAGAGAGCCTTTATGGCTCAAACACTCATGGATCTCATTTTGCCAGACTTCATTTCTCTTTAATGTTTACACTCTGCCCAATTCTCAGTTTATCTGCTTGACCCTTGTGAGCATCTAAATTGTAAATAGACCCTTGAACTAGTCCAACCTCCCTTGTTTTACAGATAAAGAAAGTAGTGAGAGTCCATTGTGTGTGAGACGAGATTGTGGGCATTTTGGTTTTGTTGTCTTCGTGACTGTTTCATTCCAGCACATTATTCCTTAATATAAATGTAAGGATTAATTTTATTATTTGTTGGCATTGAAAAAAGTGTCTGTGGCTATATTTCTTCAAAGTGAAAATGAAATGAATTGAGAAATATGATTTGATATATTAACTTTTTACATACAAGTTTTCAAGGATAAAGAAAAGGTAGAAACTGAACGTTTAGGACAGGCACAGTGGCTCATGCCTGTAATCCCAGCACTTTGGAGACTAAGGTGGGTGGATCATTTGAGGTCAGGAGTTTGAGATTAGCCTGACCAACAGGGTGAAACCCAGTCTCTATTAAAAGTACAAAAAGATTAGCCAGGCATGGTGGTGCATGCCTGTAGTCCCAGCTACTTGGGAGGCTGAGGCAGGAGAATCACTTGAACCCAGGAGGTAAAGGTTGCAGTGAGCTTAGATCGCACCACTGCATTCCAGGCTGGGTGACAGAATGAGACTCTGTCTCAAAAAAAAAAAAAAAAAAAAAAAAAAGAGCCGGGCATTGTAGCTCAAACCTGTAATCCCAGCTCTTAGGGAGGCAGAGGCGGGAGGATAGCTTGAGCCCAGGAGTTCGAGACCTGCCTGGGCAATATAGTGAGACCCCATTCTCCACTAAAAGGAAAAAAACAAAAAGACAAAGAAAAAAAAAAAAAAGAAAGAAACTGAACATTTAGATTAGCCCTAATAGAGAGAAGTTGGTTAAATGTTTTCTTGCTCCCTTAAATATTGTGAAGGTAATGAGTGAATGTCTTGGCTAGGTGTAGTGATACACAGCTGTAATCCCAATGCTCTGGAGGCCAAGGCAGGAAGATCACCAGAGCCCAGGAGTTAGAGACCCATCTGAGCAACATAGTGAGACCCCCCGTCTCAAAATACTTCTAAAAAAGAAAGCAAAGGTGTGCCTGTCTTGTTTCAATCCTATATTTGGGATGGTTATATAAAAGGCTGGGCGCGGTGGCTCACGCCTATAATCCCAGCACTTTGGGAGGCCGAGGCGGGTGGATCACGAGGTCAAGAGATCGAGACCATCCTGGTCAACATGGTGAAACCCCGTCTCTACTAAAAATACAAAAAATTAGCTGGGCATGGTGGCGCGTGCCTGTAATCCCAGCTACTCAGGAGGCTGAGTCAGGAGAATTGCCTGAACCCAGGAGGTGGAGGTTGCGGTGAGCCGAGATCGCGCCATTGCACTCCAGCCTGGGTAACAAGAGCGAAACTCTGTCTCAAAAAAAAATAAAATAAAATAAAATAAAAAAATAAAAAAAAATAAAAAATAAATAAATAAAAATAAATAAATACATTTAGTTTAAAAAAAAAAAAAAAAAAAAAAAAGAAAAGGTAGAAACTGAACGTTTAGGACAGGCACAGTGGCTCATGCCTGTAATCCCAGCACTTTGGAGACTAAGGTGGGTGGATCATTTGAGGTCAGGAGTTTGAGATTAGCCTGACCAACAGGGTGAAACCCAGTCTCTATTAAAAGTACAAAAAGATTAGCCAGGCATGGTGGTGCATGCCTGTAGTCCCAGCTACTTGGGAGGCTGAGGCAGGAGAATCACTTGAACCCAGGAGGTAAAGGTTGCAGTGAGCTTAGATCGCACCACTGCATTCCAGGCTGGGTGACAGAATGAGACTCTGTCTCAAAAAAAAAAAAAAAAAAAAAAAAAAAGAGCCGGGCATTGTAGCTCAAACCTGTAATCCCAGCTCTTAGGGAGGCAGAGGCGGGAGGATAGCTTGAGCCCAGGAGTTCGAGACCTGCCTGGGCAATATAGTGAGACCCCATTCTCCACTAAAAGGAAAAAAACAAAAAGACAAAGAAAAAAAAAAAAAAGAAAGAAACTGAACATTTAGATTAGCCCTAATAGAGAGAAGTTGGTTAAATGTTTTCTTGCTCCCTTAAATATTGTGAAGGTAATGAGTGAATGTCTTGGCTAGGTGTAGTGATACACAGCTGTAATCCCAATGCTCTGGAGGCCAAGGCAGGAAGATCACCAGAGCCCAGGAGTTAGAGACCCATCTGAGCAACATAGTGAGACCCCCCGTCTCAAAATACTTCTAAAAAAGAAAGCAAAGGTGTGCCTGTCTTGTTTCAATCCTATATTTGGGATGGTTATATAAAAGGCTGGGCGCGGTGGCTCACGCCTATAATCCCAGCACTTTGGGAGGCTGAGGCAGGCAGATCACAAGGTGAGGAATTTGAGACCAGCATGGCCAACATGGTGAAACTCCATCTCTACTAAAAAATATATTTAAAAAAATTAGTTGGGCATGATGATACACACCATTTGTCCTAGCTACTTGGGAGGCTGAGGCAGGAGAATCAGTGGAACCCAGAATGTGGAGGTTGCAGTGAGCCAAGCCGAGATTATGCTGCTGTACTCCAGCCTGGGTGACAGAGTGAGACTTAATCTCAAAAACAAACAAACAAACAAACAAAACACAGTTAAATTAATACTTTGGTGTGTCTTTTTTCAGCACAGTGTTAGAGGTGTTGTATCTATGGCTAATAATGGCCCAAACACTAATGGATCTCAATTCTTCATCACCTATGGCAAACAGCCACATTTGGACATGAAATACACCGTATTTGGGAAGTGAGTATTCTGGTTATGGTTTTCTTTTGGCATTTCAATGCAAGTGGTGCATGTGCTCGGCTGTAATAGTAGCATAACTAATATTGAAAAGAGTGACACTAGGTGTGGTGCCTCACACCTGTAATCCCAGCACTTTGGGAAGCCAAGGTGGGTGGATCATCTGAGGTCAAGAGTTCTACACCAGCCTGGCCAACGTGGTGGAACGCTGTCTTTACTGAAAATATTTTTAAAAAATTAGCCAGGTATGGTGGCACACACCTGTAGTCCCAGCTACTTGGGAGTGTGAGGCAGGAGAATTGCTTGAACCTGGGAGGCGGAGGTTGCAGTGAGCCGTTGTACTCCAGCCTGGCAACAGAGCAAGACCCCATCTCAAAAAAAGACTCTGCCTCAAAAAAAAAAAAAAAAAAAAGAAAAGAGTGGTGTGAGAGCTAAATGTACCTGGAGTTTAAGTCTACCACTTAGCAACCCTATGACCCTGGGAAAATTATAATTTCCCTGAGCCTTATTTTCCTTATTTTGTAGAACAGAGGCCAGTAATTTTTAAAATATTATTATGCAAATTAACATAGTTTATCAATTTTTTTTTTCCCCAGAGATGGGATCTTGCTATGCTGCCTAGGTTGGAGTTCAGTGGCTATTCACAGGCATGATCCCACTACTGATCAGCACAGGAGTTTTGACCTGCTCCATTTCTGACCTGGGCTAGTTCACCCCTCCTTAGGCAACCTGGTGGTCCTCCGCTCCCAGGAGGTCACCATATTGATGCCAGATTTAGTGTGGACACCCGATTGGCATAGGACACTATAGCCCAGAACTCCTGGGCTCAAGCGATCCTCCCACCTCAGCTTCCTGAGTAGCCGGGACTACAGGCATGTGCCACTGTGCCTGGCCTTTGTTTTTTTGAGACACAAGGCTTTGTTGCCAGGCTGGAGTGCAGTAGTGCAATCACAGCTCGCTGCAGCCTCAACCTCTCAGGCTCAAGTGATCCTCCCACCTCAACCTCCTGAGTAACTGGAACCATGTGCACCATCATGGGCAACTAATTAAAAAAAAAAAACACTTTTTTTTGTAGAGACAGGGTCTCACTTTGTTGCCCAGGCTGATCTGTTTTCATTAATAATAGCATTTCACAGCAACTAACAGATCTGAAAAATAGTGGCTTAAACAAGATAGACTGGCATGGTGGTTCCATTATGTTACCAGTGTTCTGGGCACTTCTGTTATATTGGCAGCACAGCTCTTGTCAAAACTGCTGTGTATCTGGCAGTAAGGAGGAGGAAAGACAAAAGGTATTTGCCAGCTGACTCAGCTTTTTTTTTTTTTTTTTTTTTAAGAGACAGGGTTTCTCCACGTTGGTCAGGTTGGTCTCAAACTCCCAACCTCAGGTGATCCGCCTGCCTCGGCCTCCCAAAGTGCTGGAATTACAGGCATGAGCCACGGTGTACAGCCCAGCTTTTTTAATTAACAGAACTTTCCCAGGCCTGTAATCCCAGTGCTTTGGGAGGCTGAGATAGGAGGATCACTTGAAACCAGGAGTACAAAACAGACCAGCCTGTACAACATAGCAAGAACCCATCTCTACAAAAAAAATTTAAAAATTAGCCAGGTGTGGTGACACACACCTGTAATCCCAGCTACTCAGGAGGCTGAGGTGAGAGAATCACTTGATCCCAGAAGTTCAAGGCTGCATGAGCTGTGATCACACCACTGTACTCCAGCCTGGGCAACAGAATGATAATGATACCCTATCTCTAAATAAATAAATAAATAAATAAATAAATAAATCCAGACCTGGTATCTCATGCCATAATCCCAGCACTCTGGGAGGCCAAGAAGGGCAGATCACAAGGTCAGGAGATCAAGACCATCCCGGCCAACATGGTGAAACTCCAGCTCTACTAGAAATAGATAAATTAGCTGGGTGTGGTGGCACGTGCCTGTAATCCCACCTACTTGGGAGGCTGAGGCAGGAAAATGGCTTGAACCCGGGAGGTGACTGCAGTGAGCTGAGATCACACCGCTGAACTCCAGCCTAACAGACAGAGGGGAGACCATGTCTCAAACAACAACAAAAACAACTTTCCCAAAGGACCCAGAACTTGGTAATGTGACCACTTTTTACCTACAGGGTAAAAAGGTACTCCTGGAAGGTAGAAATGTATTTCAGCCAGACACATTGCCACCCTTACTAAAATTAGATTTCTCTGAGTAAGAAGAATGGCTCTTAGGAAGGTGTTTGGCAGTTTATGCCAGGGTATTTGTTAAAAGTACTCTATCTGGGAGTTGCTTTTGTAAATCAGTGAGAAGTAAATTTGTTTATTCAACAAATAATTACCATGCTTAATAAACTGAGGCAGAATTCTAGAGTTCATTCTATTTAATAGTTTGGATGCCAAGTTAGGTTAATTAAAAATACAGGACTCCCGGCCTAGGCAACATAGTGAAACCCTGTCTTAAAAATTAGACAGGTGTGGTGGCTCATGCCTATGGTCCCAGCTACTTGGGAGGCTGAAGTTGGAAGATTGCTTGAGCTCAGGGGGTCAAAGCTGCTGAGTTTGATTGCACTACTGGACTCTATAGCCAGGATGACAGAGCAAGACTCTATTTCAAAAAAAAAAAAAGAGGACTCTACATCTTTTCATTTTCATTCCATATACATGTGTCTAATTTACACATTATAATGATTAAGGAAAAAAGAAATATTACAACATCTAGTAGTTTTTTGTGTGTTTATAAATAACCCAGTTTCCCTTTTATTTTCTCCTCTAACCCATCATTCAAAATTATTGTTCAATTATTACAAGACTTATTTTACTGGATTTGTGACAAAACTATAGAGTTTAGAACAAAGATTAACCCTAGGTTTATTAATTCCTTACAGTTGTGTGTTGTATACATATGCATGCACATTTTTCTGGGAAAATGGTCCAGTAGCTTTCCTCTAGTTCTCCAAGGGGTCCGTGTCCAGACACTTGACACTACTTAAACTGCCTGAGTTCTTCCTGCCAGGTTTTTTTTTTTAACTTTTTACCTGAGACCTATGTTTTCTATATTATCTGTTTCTCTTACTGATCCAGAAGGTGGGGCAGCCTTTAAGACTTACAATTTAAAGACTTAAATGTCTACATTTAGGGGTAAAATCAAAATGTTTTGGTCGAAGTACCCTTTTTGTGAAAATGCAAAATAAAATTCAAATCTGTTAATTTTTTAAAGTACATACCACTGCTTGAGAATCCCTAATCTGAAAATTCAAAATTAGTAACTTACTAAGCACTGACAGGATACCACAAGTAGAATATTCCACATCTGACCTCATGTAACAGGTTGCAGTCAAAATGCAGTCAGATGGCCAAGTGCGGTGGCTCACGCCTTTAATCTCAGCACTTTGGGAGGCCGAGGGGGTGGATTGCTTGAGGTCAGGAGTTCAAGACCAGCCTGGCCAACATGGTGAAACCTGTCTCTACTAAAAATATTAAAAAAATTAGCCGGGCATGGTGCAGCTACTTGGGAGGCAGGAGAATCACTTGAACCTGGGAGGCAGACGTTGCAGTGAGCCAAGATTGCACCATTGCACTCCAGCCTGACAGAGCGAGACTCTGCCTCAAAAAAAAAAAAAAAAAAAAAAAAAAAAAAAAAAAAAAAAATCCCAAATGCAGTCAGACCTTTGTTTCATACACAAATTTTTAAAAAATATTGTATAAAATTACCTTCAGCCTATGCATATAAGATATATATGAAATATAAGTGAATTTTGTGTATAAATTTGGGTCCTATCCCTAAGATATATAATTAGGTTTATGTAGATATTTTCAAACGTGAAAATATTCAAAATCCAAAATAAATCTGGTCCCAATAAGGGCTATTCAACCTATATAAATATTGGGAATTGATTTGAATTATACTTGGAGTTATAATCTAGAAAGCCACTCTTAGCAAATGTTTTAGACTGAAATTTCCAAAACTTGTATTTGAAGAATAGCTCTCAAGATATTTTTTCTTGGTGGTAATATGACGTGGGCTTGCTGAAGGCTGAGTTAACTGTCAGCCTTCTCTTTTCCTATTTTATTACTTCTTGTTTTCCAAAAACAAAAAGTAGAAATACTAAAATTAGGCCGGGCGCGGTGGCTCAAGCCTGTAATCCCAGCACTTTGGGAGGCCGAGGCGGGTGGATCACAAGGTCAAGAGATCGAGACCATCCTGGTCAACATGGTGAAACCCTGTCTCTACTAAAAATACGAAAAAAATAGCTGGGCGTGTTGGCGCGTGCCTGTAATCCCAGCTACTCAGGAGGCTGAGGCAGGAGAATTGCCTGAACCCAGGAGGCGGAGGTTGCGGTGAGCCGAGATCGCGCCATTGCACTCCAGCCTGGGTAACGAGCGAAACTCCGTCTCAAAAAAAAAGAAATACTAAAATTAGGCCAGGCGCGGTGGCTCATGCCTAATAACGCCAGCACTTTGGGAGCTGAGGTGGGCAAATGATTTGAGGTCAGGAGTTTGAGACCAGCCTGGCCAACATGGTGAAATCCCTTCTCTACTAAAAATATAAAAATTAGCTGGCTCTGATGGCATATGCCTGTAGTCCCAGCTGCTTGGGAGGCTGAAGCAGAATTTTGTGAACCTGAAGGCAGAGGCTGCAGTGAGTTGAGATCGTGGAATCTCCAGCCTGGGCAATGAGAGTGAGACTCCATCTCAAAAAAAAGAAAGAAAGAAAGACCATAATTAAACAATTAAGTAGAAAGTATAGTGGTCACCTACTTCAGGACTCTCATTGTGGGGCAATATTGCTAATCATGTAATTACATACTTTTTTGTTTATTTGTTTTGTTTTGAGATGGAGTCTTGTTCTGTCATCAGGCTAGAGTGCAGTGATACAATCTCGGCTCACTGCAACCTCCACTTCCTGGATTCAAGCGATTCCCCTGCCTTAGCCTCCTAAGTAGCTGGAACTACAGGTGTGTGCCACCACCCCCAGCTAGTTTTTGTATTTTAATAGAGATGGGGTTTCACCATGTTGGCTAGGATGATCTCGATCTCCTGACCTCATGAGCCACTGCCCTCAGTCAGTGCCATCTACTACTTTCTCCAGGTATTTCCTATAGCAAAAAATCCTGATGACTAGTGTGTTGTAATAAAAAATACATATTTAGACTTCATTCTTGGTTTCTAGCATAGTTCCTTTTTTTTCTAAAACATTATTTTGTTACACATTAATGATACTATATTGTTATGTATATAAGTCATAAAGTAATTGGAATATTTAGAGGAGCAAAATCAAGAAAACTCCAGCAATCCTATCACCCAGTGTCTAGCATAGTCCTTTTTTTTTTTTTTTTTTTTTTTTTTTTTTTTTTTTGAGACAGAGTCTTGCTCTATTGCCAGGCTGGAGTGCAGTGGCGTGATCCCAACTCACTGCAACTTCTGTTTTCGGCTTTCAAGCAATTCTCCTGCCTCAGCCTCCTGAGTAGCTGGGACAACAGGCACACACTACCACACCCGGCTAACTTTTTTGTACTTTTAGTAAAGATGAGGTTTCTCTACCATGTTGGCCAGGGTGGTCTTGATCTCTTGAGCTCGTGATCCACCCACCTCGGCCTCCCAAAGTGTTGGGATTACAGGCGTGAGCCACCACGCCCGCCTAGCATAGTTCTTTTGAAAAACCTTGCAATTTCCTGAGTGACAGAAATGAAAGGAATATTTTGTTGTTTGTAGCAAGCTCCATTCAACCATACCTGAGTTTATGCTAATGAGGTGAATCTTGGTGGGGCCTCTAGATAGCTTCAGAATGGGAGGTGGGGCTGGTCACTAGAGGAATCGGCCATGTATTTTTAGAGGACTGGAACATTCACTGACCTCCTACTCTTGACCTCTGGGAAGGAGAGAAGGGCCGGAGATTTTGTTCCAGTCACCAGTGGCCAGTGATTTAATTAATCATGCCTACCTAATGTGCTCTCCATAAAAACCCTGAAGGGTTTGAGAGCTTGCAGGTGGGTGAACGAACACATGTAGATACTGAGAGGGTAACACACCCCAAGAAAGCATGGAAGTGCTATGCCCCTTCTCAAACTTTGCCCTATGCATCTTTTCCATTTGGTTGTTCCTGAGTTGTAACCTTTATAAAAGCCCATAATAATAAAGTGCTTTCCTAAGTTCTGTGAGCCACTTTAGAAAATTATTGAACAGAGCTAGGGGGCATGAAAAATCCCAGATTGTATCTGGTTGGTCAAATCACAACCGGGACTTCAACTGGCATCCAAAGTAGTAGGGGCAGCCTTGTGGGACTTGTAGTTAGTGTCAGAATTAAATTGTCGGCCAGGTGTGGTGGCATGCACTTGTAGTCCCAGTGAGACCCTGTCTTAAAAATAATAATAAAATTTTGAAAAGATAATTAAGTTGTCAGACACCCAGATAATTGGAGAATTAGGAAAACCTACCCATTTGGTGTTGGAAGTGTGAAAGTGTAGAAAAACAGTTTGTTTTCCCCTTTAGCTGGTTATATTAGAGCCATTTATAGCTGTTCTGTGTCACATTCTGTATGAATGAGTGGAATATAATTTAAGTGGAACTTTGGTGGAAGTATTCCTACCCTTTGTATTGTTGACTAAGAGCATAAAAATAAATTTTTATTTCTGAATTTTGATCCATATTTATGACGGTAAATCAAGTGAATATTTTATTGTACATTCAGCTAGAGAATTCAGAGATTTCTAAGACTTATTTTTTTAAGAGGACTGTAATTTTCATAGGTATGGATATTATGTTTCAATGTAAGGAATTCATATGTTACATTGTTTCTCTTTCAGGGTAATAGATGGTCTGGAAACTCTAGATGAGTTGGAGAAGTTGCCAGTAAATGAGAAGACATATCGACCTCTTAATGATGTACACATTAAGGACATAACTATTCATGCCAACCCATTTGCTCAGTAGCTGTAATAGACCTGGACACGTAACTTGACAAACTGTTGGAACACACTTATTGTGGTTTACCTGGTTTTAATTATGTCGGAGATTGCATCATTCTTCTGCTTGTTCACAACTATGATCTATGAAATGGTGGTACCAACGGGCTCCCAACAGCTTTTATCCCCATTCTTAGAGAATATTCTTAACTATGATTATCCAAAATATTTTAGTTTTAATACAGAAAATATATTGTTTAATTTTTGTTACATATATTCATTTTTAAATGCTGAGCCTTAAGTGCAGGCATTTTTGAACAGCCTGATACATAGCATAGTTCTTTTGAAAAACCTTGCAATTTCCTGAGTGACAGGAGTGAAAGGAATATTTTGTTGTTCATAACAAGCTCCTTTCCATGATACCTGAGTTTACGCTAATGAGGTGAACCTTGCTGGGGCCTCTAGATAGCTTCAGAATGGGAGGTGGGGACTGGTTGCTAGAGGAATCAGCCACGTATTTTTAGAGGACTGGAACATTCACTGAACTTCTCACTGACCTCCTATTCTTGACCTCTGGGAAGGAGAGAAGGGCCGAAGATTTTGTTTCTAATGATCCTGTCACCTAGATAGTTAACATAGTACATAAAAGGAAGTTTTTCAGCCTTTGCCCCCATCCCTTCCTCCTCCTTTTTGGAGTCCCCAGTGTCCACTGTTCCCATCTTTTTGTCCATGTGAACCCAAGATTTAGCTCCCATTTATTTTAACTGAATGCAGCCTGGGCTGCACACCACTTGCAAAGTCAATAACGGGGAGATGCAGTGAAAGGAAGGTGGCTTTATTCCAGAGCTAGCAGTGGGGAAATGGCCAAAGCTACTCCCTTAAAACATCATTTCAAACTTTAGGCTGGGGAGAGGGGCTTAAAAAGGGAACTTAAAATGGTAGGCATGCGGGAGTGGTGTAGGGTTTCAGGTTTCCGTGGCTTGCTCTGGTGGCTGTCCTTGAGTTGTGTTCACCTGGAGTGGGGGCTGGCACCATCTCAACAATGGCTGGATTGTTGACTAACCACCTTAAGGTAATCTCTGGAATTTTGCAGCTGGGTCTCCAAGGCTGGTCTCTCTCACAATTAACCCTTGATGGGCCAGGTGCAGTGGTTCACACCTATAATCCCAGCATTTTGGGAGGCCAAGGTGGGAGGATCACCTGAGTCCAGGAGTTTGAACCAAGCCTGGGCAACATAGTGAGACCTTGTCTCTACTAAAAATAGGAAAAAGAAAAAAAAAAGCTAGGTGTGGTAGCACACACCTGTAGCCCCAGCTACTTAGAAGGCTGAGATGGGAGGATTGCTTAAGCCAGGGAAGTAGAGGCTACAGTGATCCATGGTCATGCCACTGGACTCCAGCCTGGGCAACAGAGTGAAGACCCTGTAGATAAGTGCGTATAGTGTAAGTTTAACAGGCATACAGTTAGATAAATGTGCATAGTGTAAGGGAGTGTGAGGTGGGAAAGGGAGGGAATCAGGGTTTTAACAAGATTACATCCTGAAATTAAGAATAAAAAGGCCGGGCGCGGTGGCTCAAGCCTGTAATCCCAGCACTTTGGGAGGCCGAGGTGGGCGGATCACGAGGTCAAGAGATCGAGACCATCCTGGTCAATATGGTGAAACCCCGTCTCTACTGAAAATACAAAAAATTAGCTGGGCATGGTGGCACATGCCTGTAATCCGAGCTACTCAGGAGGCTGAGGCAGGAGAATTGCCTGAACCCAGGAGGCGGAGGTTGCGGTGAGCTGAGATCGCGCCATTGCACTCCAGCCTGGGTAACAAGGTAACAAGAGCGAAACTCCGTCTCCAAAAAAAAAAAAAAGAATAAAAAAAAAATTTAAAATGTATTTCAAGGCTAGGATACTTGGTTACAAGTGAGAACATAAGGCATATCTTTGAAAATATTGAAGAGTAGAGCTTTACAGAAGATCCATTTGAGAAATGCAATGGCCGGGTGTGGCGGCTCACGCCTGTAATCCTAGCACTTTGGGAGGCGGTTTCACCGTGATGGCCAGGCTGGTCTTGAATTCCTGACCTCAGGTGAGGTAGGTGGATCACCTGAGGTCAGGAATTCAAGACCAGCCTGGCCATCACGGTGAAACCCCATCTTTAAAAAAAAAAAAAAAAAAAAAAAAAAAAAGAAGGCCGGGCGCGGTGGCTCAAGCCTGTAATCCCAGCACTTTGGGAGGCCGAGGCGGGTGGATCACGAGGTCGAGAGATCGAGACCATCCTGGTCAACATGGTGAAACCCCGTCTCTACTAAAAACACAAAAGTTAGCTGGGCATGGTGGCACATGCCTGTAATCCCAGCTACTCAGGAGGCTGAGGCAGGAGAATTGCCTGAACCCAGGAGGCGGAGGTTGCGGTGAGCCGAGATCGCGCCATTGCACTCCAGCCTGGGTAACAAGGGCGAAACTCCGTCTCAAAAAAAAAAAAAAAAAAAAAAAAAAAAGAAAGGAAAGAAAAGAAAAATGCAATGAATTAGTTAAAGGCAGTGGTTGTGGAGTCCCGGTCTGTGTTCGAATCACAGCTGTGCCCCTTACTGTTAACTTTAGGCAAGTTAACATCTCCAAGCTTTAGTATTTTCATCCATAAATAATACATCATAAGACAATTGTGAGAGTGAAATGAAATGTGTGTAAAGCTGGCATGTATGTAGTAAGTAGATGGAAGCCACTCTCCTAACATTCATGTCCACCACAGGGCTCTCACCTCATCAAGCCATTTATTGGGCTCTGCCATTAATTTCATCAAGACTATATTCTGCTCACTGCCTAGATCAAAGTGGTTGGATTGGTGTGGCATCAGTTTTTGGTTTGTCTCATGTCTTCCATGGCTGATCTAATTAATGTTTTGATTCTTTCTTGACTAGTTCAGAGTTAGCTTATAGCTATTCTCTTGTTACCGTTTATGCTTTCCACTAAACTGAGGTGCTTTTACTAGCAGAGAATCTGTATCTGTACAGGTCTGCAGCAACCTCAATTCTTGCCTCCTCAGAAGAAATAATTCGACTAAGGGGCACAAGGCAGGAGAGACTGAGTCCTGTTTTAAAGCAAGAGTGAAAGTTTGTTAAAAAGCTTTAGAGGGGGCCGGGCACGGTGGCTCATGCCTGTAATCCCAGCACTTTGGGAGGCCGAGGTGGGTGGATTACGAGGTCAAAAGATCAAGACCATCCTGGTCAACATAGTGAAACCCCGTCTCTACTAAAAATACAAAAAATTAGCTGGGCATGGTGGTGCGTGCCTGTAATCCCAGCTACTCAGGAGGCTGAGGCAGGAGAATTGCCTGAACCCGGGAGGCAGAGGTTGCGGTGAGCTGAGACCACGCCATTACACTCCAGCCTGGGTAACAAGAGCAAAACTCCAGCTCTAAAAAAACAAAAGCTTTAGAGGAGGAATGCAAGGACGGAAAGTACACACTTGGAAGAGGACTAACTGGGCGACTTGAAAGACAAGTGTGTGGCTTGAGCTTTTGACTTGGGTTTTTATACATTGGAATGTATAAAGAAGTAATGGAGCCCTGAGATACTTCTCCCCACTCGCACTCCTGATATCTTATTGGGAAGCTGCTGATCATCAGTTTCAGTTGTTTTCCATTAGGAGACTGATTTTTCCCTGGTGCCAGCTGTTACCAATTATTACTTTAGCAAGACAGTTATAACCACCTGACCATCTCACCTGATGGTTTCGCAACATTCCTAGTATGTGTTTGCGGGGAGCCATCTCCTGGCCTGCTCATACCTGACTAGCTAGCTACCTACTGTAACAGTGCCAGTTATACTAATGACTTTACATTGTGTTTCATCTTTTAAATTTAATCACTTAGGTTTCTAGAAGTAGTATTAAGGCCTTTCTTTGGCCAGACCTTGTTTTGCCACTTTTTATTTATTTATTTATTTTTTGAGATGGAGTCTCACTCTGTAGTCCAGGTTGGAGTGCAGTGGCGTGATCTTGGCTCACTGCAACCTCTGCCTCCCAGGTCCCAGTTCAAGCAATTCTTCGGCCTCAGCTCCAGAGTAGCTGGGATCTACAGGCACACACCACCATGCCCAGCTAATTTTTTTGTATTTTTAGTACAGACAAGGTTTCACCATGTTGGCCAGGCTGATCTTGAACTCCTGACCTTGTGATCCACCTGCCTTGGCCTCCCAAAATGCTGGGATTACAGGTGTGAGGCACTTTTCTGGCCTTGCCACTTCTTATACCTTGTACGTTTCTTCCCCAAACATGTCATTTAAAGTTTTGTGGTTACTTTTAAGTAACATGACTGTTAGGATGTTTTGTACTTAGTGATATTCCTCCAAGTTTTATTCTAAACTCTGCCACTTTTTTTTTTTTTTTTTTTTTTTTTTTTTGAGATAGTTTTGCTCTTGTCACCCAGGCTAGAGTGCAATGGCACAATTTTGGCTCATTGCAACCTCTGCCTCCCGGGTTCAAGTGATTCTCCTGCCTCCGCCTCCCGAGTAGCTGGGATTACAGGGGCCAGCCACCACACCTGGCTAATTTTTGTATTTTTAGTAGAGATGGGGTTTCATCGTGTTGGCCAGGCTTGGTCTCGAATTCCTGACCTCGTGATCCACCTGCCTCAGCCTCCCGAAGTGCTGGGATTACAGGCATCAGCCACTGCGCCTGGCCAACTCTGCCACTTTAAATTAATGGTGCCAATATGGTGATTTTTTGGTTTTGGGAGTGTTAGTCCAAACTGCAGCATTTTGTAACCCCCTGACCGCCCCCCCCCCGCCCCATTTTTGCAGACCTTGGTCAAAGTGAAACATTCCACGGGGGTTCGGGCTGTGAGAAACAGCCTGCCCAACCACCTGACCACAAAACGGACAAAGGCCCAACTAAAGAAACAACCCAATCATATTCTGCTGGAAGAAAGCGCAAAGAACACCACATTCCTGCGGGGGCATGGCGGCTCACGCCTGTAATTCCAACACTTTGGGAGGCGAGGCTGGTGGATCACCTGAGGTCAGGAGTTCCAGACCAGTATGGTCAACATGGCGAAACTCCTCTGTCTCTACTAAAGGTACAAAAATTAGCCGGGCGTGGTGGCGCCTGCCTGCAGTGCCAGCTACCAGGGAAGCTGAGGCAGGAAAATGACTTGAACTCAGGAAGCAGAAGTTGCAGTGAGCCCAAATCGTGCCACTGCATTCCAACCTGGGTGACAGCAAGACTCCATCTCAAAAAAAAAAAAAAAAAAAAGAAAAGGTTGCGGGAGGGGGGGGGCGGGCAGACGCAGCGGCTTAGCCTGTAATCCCAGCACTTTCGGAGGCCGAGGTGGGCGGATCACGAACTTGAACTCCTGACCTTGTGATCCACCTGCCTTGAGACCATCCTGGTGAAACGCCGTCTCTACTAAACATACAAAAATTAGCTGGGCGTGGTGGGGGGACTCCTGTAATCCCAGCTACTCCGGAGGCTAAGGCAGGAGAATCCCTTGAACCTGGGAGGCGAAGGTTGTAGTGAGCCGAGATCGCGCCACTGCACTCCAGCCTGGTGGCAGAGTAAGACTCCGTGTCAAAAAAAACAAACAAAAAACCACCACCACATTCCTCGGGAACAAGGGCCAAAAACGACCTTATCATGGGAACATCTTATCAACATCGTGCAGGGCAGCAAGCCATATGGCCCAGACCCCTCCCACCCATACGTGTTAAGTACCCCAGCGGTGGACACTGGCATTCCGCTGGTTCCCCACTTCTGTTGGTCTTAGGCTGGACCTAAAGCCTGCATTTGCTGTACAGCCGCCAGTCTTTGTCTAATTTAACGCTCACTTTCCCTTCAGAATTTAACAAGGAGCTTATTCTTAAAATGTGTGCCCAGTTACGGCCATAAAGGTATCATAGACAGGGAAATATGCTGCCCACGTTGGGCGTAATGCAGGTACCATGAGGTGCAGAACGTTGATTTCTGTTGGCTCACAGAGGTGACACGCTCACACTGATCCCATTAGTAATTTGAAGCCATCTGATGCTAGTGGTGCAATATTTTTTTACTTATTTCTAGAGACAGGGGTCTCGCTATGCTGCCCAGGCTGGTCTCGAAATCCTGGGCTCAAGCGATCTGCCCGCCTCGGCCTCCGAAAGTGCTGGGGTTACAGGCGTGACCCACCGCTCCGTTAAGCATTATTTTTATTTTTTTTTATTTTTATTTTTTTTAATTTATTTTTTTTTTTTTTGAGACGGAGTTTCGCTATTGTTACCCAGGCTGGAGTGCAATGGCGCGATCTCGGCTCACCGCAACCTCCGCCTCCTGGGCTCAGGCAATTCTCCTGCCTCAGCCTCCTGAAGCATTATTTTTAAAGCAATTGTTGGAGTGGTCACAATCAGGGAACAGGCTATTGTGTGTCGTGATTCCCTCACTTTTCGTTGTTCACATGTTGTTTCTTGCTTTATCGTTGAGAAACAATTTTCAGTAAGTGGGGACAACACTCTCCTCCCCAAACACTTCCAGTGTTTTCTTGGGATCGCGAGACTAGAGAAAACAGGGCGGCCACCAGCAGCTTGTTTTTCTCCGCCACAGTTGGCTCCGGCCCCGGCACCTAAGCCAATGGTGGCCGCGCGCGCGCCACGCCCGCCCTCCCCCCGCCCGCGCGCACGCACGCCCCGCCCTGCCCCGCCCCGCGACGGAGACGCGCCCGCTGCGTCATCAGTGTTTAAAAGGCGAGTCCCGACGCTGCGGCTGTCAGTTCCATTTTGTCGTCGTTGCTCGTCTTGGTCAGTTGGGTGATTCCCGTGCTAGCGTTACAAGCTTTGTCTCCTTCGGCTTGGAGTCTCCGTCCAGGACGGTAAGACGCAGGAGGGAGCGGACTAGGTGACAGGGCCGTTCCTCCGAGCTTCGCGGGCGTCCGGCGCTGCCCCTTTTTCCCGCTTGTTTGCTGCCCTCAGTACGCGGTGCGACGACTGCCTGCTGCCTTCTCTCCCGGGCTGCACAACGGCGGCGCGCCCCTCTTTTCCTGTGCGGCTGAGCCCGTCGCCGCCGGGTCTAGCCTGCGGGGGTAGGGACGGTGTTTGCTAGGCCGGCCGCCCCCTAGGAGCGTACCCCCTCCGCAGAGGGAGCGGCGCGGCCTGACGCGGGCTGGCCCGGCGGGCGCCATGTTGTCGGCCGCCTTGGTGGAGCTGTAAGATGGCGGCTGGGCGGAGGCCGGCGTCGGTCACCCGGCGGAAAGGCGAGGCTCTCTGTTGGGGGTGGGGTGTGTTGGGATTCCAGAAAAACGCCGCTGTGGGGGAATGTCTGCAGCTAGGGGAGAGAGAGACAGAACCCGTAGGGGTTGTACTTAATGTCTAATGATTAAGGGGTCGGCGTAAACATCGCGAGTGGCTTTGTCCTCAGTGGGGTTAACAAAAACCAGATGTAGGGACCGGAAGAAAGAGAAATTACTGGGTGTATTTGAAGGAGCGTTGTGACAGAAGTCCAGTGACCGAGCATTTTATGCGATGGCGTTGCCCACTCCCACTGGGTTAACAGTTGGAGCTTGCTTGCTTTTTTTTTTGGAGACCGATTCTCTCTGTCGCCCAGGCTGGAGTGCCGTGGCGCGGTCTTAGGTCACTGCATCATCTGCCTCTCAGGTTCAAGCGATTCTCCTGCCTCAGCCTCCCGAGTAGCTGGGATTACAGGCGTCCGCCACCACGCCCGGCTAATTTTTTGTATTTTTAGTAGAGACGGGGGTTTCACCGTATTGGTCAGGCTGGTCTCGAACTCCTGACTTCAGGTGGTCCATCCGCCTCGGCCTCCCAAAGTGCTGGGATTACAGGAGTGAGCAACTGCGCTCAGCCTGCTTTTTTATTTTTTGACACAAGGCCTCGCCCTGTCCGGAGTGCGCAATGATGGCTCACTGCAGCTTCGACTTCCGGGCTCAGGTGACCGCCCACTTGAGCGTCCTGAGTAGCTGGGACTACAGACGCGCACCACCACTCCCGGTTTTTGTTTTTGTTTTTTTCCTATGTTGCTCTGGCTGGTCTCGAATTCCTGGGCTCAAGCAACCCTCTTGCTTCGGCCTTCAGAGTGCTGGGATTCTGCGCCCGACCCAGTTTGAGTGCTTCAAAAGTTGAACCGAGGCTGGTCCAGTGGTAGTGGGTTGTCAGAACTTAAAAATGTTAGTGTAACGAAAGTTGGTATACAATCCCCACCGCTGAATTTGACTGGCTTAAAAAAAAAAAAAATCCTACACGAAGACGTGGAGAGGTCCCGCCACTAAGAAAGATACCGGCAGTTTATGAAGTCGTTCTATGTAATGTCTTTTTCAAGTTGTTAGGTTAGAGATTTTCGATTGTTGGAAGCATTTCTGAAAAGAAGGTAGCTCCTACCATTCTCAAATTGATTGTGTTAACATTGCGTTTACGATAAACTATATCGTACGTGCTTGGGAGTGGTACTGGAAACATGGTGTTTTGTCGTTTTTTCTATTCTGATGCCACCGTTGCCTTTGTGTGTAATTAAAGTTGTTGGTAGTTCACCCATTTACAGAAATAGTCTATAATGATTTTGTGTGATTCTATCTGCAACTCACGTACAAGTCTGATTACGTTTGCAGTAATCAGAGTAATGCAGTGTTGGTGAAGAACATCTATGATTGCATTTGAGTTGGAGACTAGTTTCTGATACCCGTTTAAACTAGGAGAATGACATGTGTGGACTCTTAACAGTGCATTTGTGCTACTGGCAGGGCAGAGGTAAAATTTACCAAAGTTAGTAAATTGTGATTGCTCCACTTAACTTTTTTACATTCTTCCAATAAATCTGGGCATGACATGGCTAATGCAGAGAGCCTGTGAATAAAGTTCAAACTCCAGAATATGGGACAACACAATTGGATTTATCAGTGATTTCAGACTGGGTGACAATGATTTTTGAATTTTGATTTAAAAAAAATTTAAGAGGTAATAAGGGGACCTTTGTAAATAAGAGTTTTAAACAGCTCGGTGTGGGATACAATTTAACTAGTAAAAACTTGCCTTTTGTGTAGATGAGACACTCAAAGAGAACTTACTGTCCTGATTGGGATGACAAGGATTGGGATTATGGAAAATGGAGGAGCAGCAGCAGTCATAAAAGAAGGAAGAGATCACATAGCAGTGCCCGGGAGAACAAGCGCTGCAAATACAATCACTCGAAAATGTGTGATAGGTAAGAAGAGTACTTAAAATGTCTGAATATAAAAATACATTTTTATGATAAAGTTAGTATCACTTAAATACATGGTTACTGTTCCTTTGTGTTTCCAATGAGAGATTTTGGTGGTTTGTAATGTTTGTAAAATTGTGCTGGTCGTGGGGGAGTCTTAAGTGCTATCTGGAAAGATTTACCGAGAACGTGAGGATATTTGGTCTTAGCATAAAACATTGAAAATAATTTTTATTTCTCTAGCCATTATTTGGAAAGCAGGTCTATAAATGAGAAAGATTATCATAGTCGACGCTACATTGATGAATACAGAAATGACTACAATCAAGGATGTGAACCTGGGTATCGCCATAGAGACCATGAAAGCCGATATCAGAACCATAGTAGCAAGTCTTCTGGTAGAAGTGGAAGAAGTAGTTATAAAAGCAAACACAGGATTCACCACAGTACTTCACATCGTCGTTCACATGGGGTATGAACATTTTTAAAACATTTTGGAAATTTTATATCCCATGTGGAACAGGAAAACTTGAATTTTTGTGTTTGAGAAAGTTTTAAGATGAAGCATCTCAGTTTTAATCTGCAGGTTTTTTTTTTTTTTTTTTTTTTTAGTGTTTGTGCATTGGATAGGAAGTTCCTGAAATAAAGTACACATTTAGTGTTATAATTTAATTATTGTCTCCTAATTGGCATTCTAGTGAAATGGTGGAAGTTAATTTAGATTAGTTGAAACTGATTACTAATATTCTAAAAGGTTTTTTATGATACTTCAAGAAATCTGATTGGTTTTGATATATTGAAACCTTATCAGAAAAGTAGAACAGGCATTTTTGTGTAATTTAGGATTAGGTATGCTTCTTTGTTCTAACAAGGCATGTTTTCTAACCCTTCTTTCACTAAGCAAACCAGAACAGATTTGAACTGTTTCAGGTTATATATTAATTTGGAGATCAGCTCAGATGACACTAAAAATGCCATAATGTTGTTCTTGTATGCCAAATCATTTTCCCCCCAAAATTAGTACTTTAATTTTATTTATTGTTACAGTATTTGTTTTCTTAGATTAGGTAGGAGTCTTAATTTGGCCACAGTCTACTTTAACAAGTAAATATTACATCCTACAATTTTGCAACATTAAATTAGAACACTAGAAACTAAAAAATTATGTTTCAATGAATGCTACAAATAAGCATTTTTTTTTTTAAGAAAAACAATTGTATTATGTTTTGTTGCCTTGCCACTTTGAGTATCTTATCTGAAAATCTGTTCCTTGCCATGTTTTTCTCCTGTTAACATAAACTATGTGCCCTGTGAATTTCTGGGGACTGAATTTGAAATTGCTCCTGCCAACCGTTTGTGGCCTGGCGTGTATCTGAATGCCTGAATATCTCCCCGCTGAATGAATTTCGTATTCTGCCCTGAATTCACTCGGGTATATTGATTGGCTGGATGATCTTGGTGCCGCCCACTTGACGTTTCCAGAAGAGTCACCGAAGGAAAAGAACCAGGAGTGTAGAGGATGATGAGGAGGGTCACCTGATCTGTCAGAGTGGAGACGTACTAAGTGCAAGATGTATAGAATATTTTTCAACACTTATTAACTTTTCAGATAACATAATCTATATATAGATTAAGCTTTCAGGGATTTGGAAATCTTTTTTTCTTTCTCTTTTTTTTTTTTATTTTTTTTATTTTTCCATTTCTTTTGGTGGGGGGGATTGTAATTTTGCTTTCTTTAGAAATATAATGTTTGTTATACAGAACTTCCGGAACAGTAATCAAAATTAATGAAATTAGACTTAATTGTTTTTGATGGTGTTGACCAAAATAAAATAAATATCTAGTGATAAGGAAATTTGTAGCATCAATAGAATAATCTACATTGATAGTATTGTGATAAGTACATTGTTTGCACTTCTTGGTATGACTGAGATTTATTGCTCTCTTTTAGATGAAATTGTTGATACTTTAGGTGAAGGAGCTTTTGGAAAAGTTGTGGAGTGCATCGATCATAAAGCGTAAGTTTTCTATGTTAGAATTACATTTAGGGAGGTTGGCAATATGGGTAATTAATTTAGCTTTAGAAAATGATCTTACGGCAGGGTGTGGTGGCTCACGCCTATAATCCAAGCACTTTGGAGGCCAAGGCAGGCGGATCACCTGAGGTCAAGAGTTCAAGACCAGCCTGACCAACTTGATGAAACCCCGTCTTTTTTAAAAAAAAAAAAAAAAAAAAAAAAAAAAAGGCCGGGCACGGTGGCTGACGCCTGTAATTCAAGCACTTTGGAGGCCAAGGCGGGCAGATCACCTGAGGTTGGGAGTTCAAGGCCAGCCTGACCAACATGGTGAAACCCCGTCTTTTAAAAAAAAAAAAAAAAATGATCTGACCATAAGTTACATACATACACCTTTTTTACTTGGCTGTAAGAAATTTCAAGTAAGAAATACTTGTCCTTCATGGTTTTTTTTTTTTCCTTTTTCTAACTTTGCAAATAGCCCTTCATATTTTTTAAATACCTATTAAAAGTATGTATAGCTTCTAATTTTAGGCTGAGAACATACTTTATGTTGTTTTGAAAGTGCTGGGATTACAGGCATGAGCCACTAGAGCTCTGCTTTGTCCCTGCTGTATCTTAACACTTCTGGCAACCAGGACTAAAAGAACATTTGAGATAATGTATGACTGTGACAGGTACCATATAGGAAGATGATGTTTAGCTGAAGGACCAAAAATAACTCATGTCAGTGCATGGTTTGATGAAATTTGTGGCTGGGTACAGTGGCTCACACCTGTTGTTCCAGCACCTTGGGAGGCTGAGGTGGGTAGATAGCCTGAGGTCAGGAGTTCAAGACCAGCCTGACCAACATGGAGAAACCCCATCTCTAATAAAAATAAAAAAATTAGCTGGATGCAGTGGTGCCTGCCTGTAATCCCAGCTACTCAGGAGGCTGAGGCAGGAGAATCACTTGAACCCAGGAGGCAGAGGTTGCAGTGAGCAGAGATGACGGCATTGCACTTCAGCCTGGGCAAAAGAGCAAGACTCCATCTCAAAAAAAAAAAAAAAAAAAATTAGCGTCATTTAGCATGTAATACAATCAGTCAAAAACTGAACACTAAGCCATAAATTCAAGAAAGCAAATCCAGTGGGTTAGAGTAGAGATAAGAGTTTGAAGACTGGGATAACCGGAATTGAGCATCCTGTCTGTCATTCTTAAATTTACATGCATTCTTTCTAACAGGGGAGGTAGACATGTAGCAGTAAAAATAGTTAAAAATGTGGATAGATATTGTGAAGCTGCTCGCTCAGAAATACAAGTTCTGGAACACCTGAATACAACAGATCCCAGCAGTACATTGTAAGTATAAGATTGGAACCTAGGAAGTGGTCTCATGTATATTTAAATTTGGAGCAACTGTACTTAGTTACTATTTAATGTGTTTGTAGCCGCTGTGTCCAGATGTTGGAATGGTTTGAGCATCATGGTCACATTTGCATTGTTTTTGAACTACTGGGACTTAGTACTTATGACTTCATCAAAGAAAATGGTTTTCTACCATTTCGACTGGATCATATCAGAAAGATGGCATATCAGATATGCAAGTCTGTGAATTGTAAGTTCTTGGTATCGCTTTGTTAATTTGCTAGTTTTACTTATTTTGCAAAATACATCAAAAGGTACACCATAAGTATGTACAATTTTTATTTGATTAAAAATAGAGGAGGAAGAAAAGTAGGTATGAAGGGACTTGATTACAGGCTGTTGACCAGCAGTGTGTATTTCATTCAGTAGATAGGATATCCAGCATATAACCACATACTGTGTTGCAGACTATGATTTAGACTTTCTGATGTATAAAAGTAGTAATTTCAAATGCTGGGTAAAAGTTAAGGTGTGGTATTTCATAAAAGAAAGCTTCGTGGCCCCGTGTGTTGGCTCAGGCTGGTCATCTCAGCACTTTGGAAGGCTGAGGTGGGCGGATCATGAGGTCAGGAGATAGAGAACATCCTGGCTAACATGGTGAAACCTCATCTTTAGTAAAAATACGAAAAATTAGCTGGGTGTGGTGGCACATTTCTTTAATCCCAGCTACTCAGGAGGCTGAGCCACGAGAATTGTTTGAACCCAGGAAGCGAGTTTGCAGTTGAACCAAGATTGTGCCACTGCACTGCAGCCCGGGTGACAGTGAGAGACTCCCATCTCAAAAGAAAAAGAATCACCAGTAACTAAAACTCACTACCCTCTTTAAAAAATCCACCAACAGCAAAACACTTAAAAAGCCAAGAAGGAAAAAAATTTCCTTCTGCGAAACTTTTTTGGATGGATTCTCGCTCTGTTACCCAGGCTGGAGTGCCGTGGCGCAATCACTGCTCCTTGCAACATCCACTTACAGGGTTCAAGCGGTTCTTCTGCCTCAGCCTGCTGAGTAGCTGGGACTACAGGCACGTGCCACCATGCCCGGCTAATTTTTTGTATTTTTAGTAGAGATGGAGTTTCACTGTATTAGCCAGAATGGTCTCGATTTCCTGACCTCATGATCCGCCCGGCTCGGTCTTCCAAAATGCTGGGATTACAGGCATGAGCCATCGCACCCAGCCAAGTTACTGGTGATTTTCTACCATACAGGAATGTTGTTGACCACTCTTAGGGCATATGAGAAAGCAATCAAGTTTTTGTGGTGGGGTTTTGTGGTTTGGCATTTTTGTTAACAGCAACTTTCTCTTTATTCTCAGTTTTGCACAGTAATAAGTTGACTCACACAGACTTAAAGCCAGAAAACATCTTATTTGTGCAGTCTGACTACACAGAGGCATATAATCCCAAAATAGTAAGTCTTCCAATATATTCATAAAGTATCTTATGCTTTAATTAATAGCTATGTCTTCTTAACCATCATTTACGATTTTCAGAAACGTGATGAACGTACCTTAATAAATCCAGATATTAAAGTCGTAGACTTTGGAAGTGCAACATATGATGATGAACATCACAGTACATTGGTATCTACAAGACATTATAGAGCACCTGAAGTTATTTTAGGTGAGTGTTGCTCTTTGAGAACCTTTGTATTTCCTTATTGAGACTTTTTTTTTTTTTTTTTTTTTTTTTGCAGTTTTAGGTCTTAGTTGTGGGGCTTTATCATTTTCTTTTTTTTTTTTTGGAGACAGAGTTTCGCTCTTGTTACCCAGGCTGGAGTGCAATGGTGCGATCTCGGCTCACCGCAACTTCCGCCTCCTGGGCTCAGGCAATTCTCCTGCCTCAGCCTCCTAAGTAGCTGGGATTACAGGCACGCGCCACCACGCCCAGCTAGTTTTTTGTATTTTTAGTAGAGACGGGGTTTCACCATGTTGACCAGGATGGTCTCGATTTCTCGACTTCGTGATCCACCTGCCTCGGCCTCCCAAAGTGCTGGGATTACAGGCTTGAGCCACCGCGCCCGGCTATCATTTTCTTTTTAAGAGATGAGTACCAAGGGGAGGAAGGCAGCAAATCACACTGCCATGTGTGTACCTGTGCAACAATCTTGCATGTTCTTCACATGTACCCCAAAACCTAAAATGAGATTTAAAAAAGAGATAAGTACCATAGGCCGGGTGTGGTGGCTCACACCTGTAATCCCTACACTTTGGGAGGCTGAGGTGGACGGATAATGAGGTCAGGCGTTCAAGACCACCCTGGCCAACATGATGAAATCCCATCTCTAAATACAAAAAATTAGCTGGGTATGGTGGTGTGTTTCTGTAATCCCAGCTACTCGCAAGGCTGAGGCAGGAGAATTGCTTAAACCAGGATCCGGAAGGTGGAGGTTGCAGTGAGCCTAAATCGTGCCACTGCACTCCAGCCTGGGCTAGAGTGAGACTGTCTCAAAAAGAAAAAAACGGTAAGTATGACGTGCATTAAGGATTTTAAGTTCTCAATTTTGCCAGATAGCTCTGGGAATTTGAGCAAGTGGCTTAACCTTTCTGAAATTGTTTTCACATTTGTAATGTGGTAGGGTTTTTAAATGTAATTATTTAACACCTATTAGATTTCACACACTGTAACACTAATATTGCATTCATTTATTTTTATTTATTTTTTAGACAGACTTGCTCTGTCACCCAGTCTGGAGTACAGTGGTGCGGTCTTGGCTCACTGCATCTTCCGCCTCCTGGGTTCAAGCACTTCTGCTTCAGGCACCCACCACCATGCCCAGCTAATTTTCATTTTTTTTTTTAATAGAGATGGGTTCTCACTATGTTGCCCAAGCTGGTCTTGAATTCTTGAGCTCAAGCAGTTCTCCTATCTTGGCCTCCCAGAGTGCTGGGATGACAGGTGAGAGCCACTGTGCCCACCCTACATCATGTTTTTTTTTTTTTAAAGTATTATTAGGGGCCAGGCATGGTGACTTAACACCTGTAATCCCAGCACTGGGAGGCTGAAGCTGGTGGATCACGAGGTCAAGAGAACAAGACCATTCTGGCCAAGATGGTGAAACCCCTGTCTCTACTAAAAATAGAAAAATTAGCTGGGTGTCGTGGCACATGCCTATAGTCCCAGCTCCTGGGGCAGCTTAGGCAGTAGAATCGCATGAACCCGGGAGGTTGCAGTGAGCCAAGATTGCGCCACTGCTGCACTCTAGCTTGGTGACAGAGTGAGACTCCGTCTCAAAAAAAAGTATTGTTAACTTAATATCTTAAACAAATGTTGAGGATTTTTTTCCCTTATATTTTGTTTTGCTTTCCAGCTCTAGGGTGGTCCCAACCTTGTGATGTCTGGAGTATAGGATGCATTCTTATTGAATACTATCTTGGGTTTACCGTATTTCCAGTAAGTAACAGTGATCTATTTGTCTTGCTTTGCACAAGAAAGGTGCCTGTTTATATGAATAAATACTTTAACTCAAAGTATACGTAAACATTTAGATAGCTTCCTCCCCTAAGCATAAATAAAAATGAAACTAATTTATATTCTTTCATAATTGTTTTATTTGAAACATCTTTAGGTATATAAGCAATTATCCTTGTCCTTGTAGAGAAATGATTAGTAAGTTTGTTCTGCAAGCCCCAGTACGAGTTTTTTCCTGTCTGTCTTGGTGGTCATCTTCCCCAAGTTTGTTTTTATTTTATTTCTAGACACATGATAGTAAGGAGCACTTAGCAATGATGGAAAGGATTCTTGGACCTCTACCAAAACATATGATACAGAAAACCAGGTACGTTTTAAGAGTTAGTGACATCCTTAGTATCGTTGGGTCATAACTTCTGATTAGAACTTAATTTAAAAAAAAAAAAATTTCAAGTCTCAAGAGCTGATTAGGACTTTATAAATAATGAAGTCAAACTAATACTTGTAGTTAAATAGCAGATTATCTTGGTGCAAAAGCAGGTAACAATTCTTATCCTATGGCTGCCATTTAAATCTCTAGAAAAGTAATCTGGGAAGGCATAGTAATTGATACCTTTGCTTAGCTGTTTTTAGTGTTTATAAACATGAATGGATATTGATTTATTTTTAGGAAACGTAAATATTTTCACCATGATCAGTTAGACTGGGATGAACACAGTTCTGCTGGCAGATACGTTTCAAGGCGCTGTAAACCTTTGAAGGTAAGCCTCTGAGACATTGCTGAAATAGTCAAAACTTTTAGTTTGTTTTTTGAGACAGTCTCACTTCGTTGCCTAGGCTGGAGTAGAGTAGGACTATTGTGGCTCAGCTCACTACAGCCTCTGCATCCCAGGTTCAAGAGAGTCTGTCTCCTGAGTAGCCGAGATTACAGATGCAGGCCACTGGGCCCAGCTAAAAATTTTTTTTTTTTTTGAGACGGAGTTTCACTCTTATTACCTAGGCCTGGAGTGCAATGGCACAATCTTGGCTCACCGCAACCTCCGCCTCCTGGGTCAGGCAGTTCTCCTGCCTCAGCCTCCTGAGTAGCTGGGATTACAGGCACGCGCCACCATGCCCAGCTAATTTTTTTGTATTTTTAGTAGAGACGGGGTTTCACCATGTTGACCAGGATGGTCTCGATCTCTCGACCTCGTGATCCACCCGCCTCAGCCTCCCAAAGTGCTGGGATTACAGGCTTGAGCCACTGCGCCGGCCTTTTTTTTTTTTTTTTTTAAAGTAAAGATGGGCTATGTTGCCGGGCGCGGTGGCTCAAGCCTGTAATCCCAGCACTTTGGGAGGCTGAGGCGGGTGGATCACGAGGTCGAGAGATCGAGACCATCCTGGTCAACATGGTGAAACCCCGTCTCTACTAAAACCGCAAAAAATTAGCTGGGCATGGTGGCACGTGCCTGTAATCCCAGCTACTCAGGAGGCTGAGGCAGGAGAATTGCCTGACCCCAGGAGGCGGAGGTTGCAGTGAGCCGAGATCGCGCCATTGCACTCCAGCCTGGGTAACAAGGGCGAAACTCCGTGTCAAAAACAAAAAAAAAAAAGATGGGCTGTGTCTTTAGTAGACAGGCTGTGTTGGCCAGGCTGGTCTTCAACTCCTGCCCTCAAGTGATCCGCCCAGAGTGCTGGGATTGTAGATGTGAGCCACCATGCCTGGCCTCTTTTCTGGTGGAGAAATACAATATATTAAATGGTAGTGGAAAGGGCTATTGAATTTTTTTTTTTTTTCCAGGAATTTATGCTTTCTCAGGACATTGAACATGAGCATCTCTTTGACCTCATTCAGAAAATGTTGGAGTATGATCCAGTCAAAAGAATCACTCTCAAAGAAGCCTTAAAGCATCCTTTCTTTGACCTCCTGAAGAAAACTGTATAGATATATAATTGTACAGCCCTCTTGAGATCTTGGACTGTATCAGTCTAATTTTTAAATACTAAGTTATTTTGTACAACTTTGTAAATTCTTAACATTTTTATATTACCATGTTTATTTTGTTTGGGTAATTTGATTCATTATGTAGCTAAGTAATTCAGTAATTGTAAAGTGATTTATTGAGAATAAATTTTTTGTGCTTAGGAAGTTGGTAACGTATCTGAACAGTTTGTTCTAAGTACTGTTTTTCTTTCTACCTCTATTACATTAAAGACTGGACATAGTTTTTTTTTTTTTGAGATTTCCTCAAGTCTTTAGGAAAATATCGCGTCATTTCCATTTTAGGGATTGTCAAAATTGAGAATTACTGCTCTCAAGTTTAATGAAACCAGATTATGGGACACACAAAACTAAAGATAAGCCAAGAAGAGTTCTGTCTTTATTCCTACTCAAACTTATCAAGTGAGTGTGTGTAATGTGGCAAATTTTTGTCTGTGGTTTCATCTATGCTTGATCCATTTGGAATCCTGAGGCTTAGATCTTTCCACAGTTTGTTATTTGGTTTGGAGAATTTTGGGGGGGTGGTGGCAGCGGCGGCTTCTTTTTAGTCATTTTAAAATGCTGGCCAGGTGCAGCCTATAATTCCATCACTTTGGTAGGCTGGGGTGGGCAGATTGAGGCCAGGAGTTTGAGACCAACTTGGCCAACATGGTGAAACCCCATTGCCACTAAAAACAAAAAGCTGGCTGTGGGATGTGCCTGTAAACCTAGCTACTTGGGGTGCTGAAGCTTGAGAATAGCTTGAACCCGGGAGGCAGACTGCAGTGAGCCAAGATGGCGCCACTGTACACCAACCTAAGTGACAGAATGAGACTGTCTTTAAAAAATGCAGTTAGGTCTGAGAGATGATTATTTTTTTAATAAAGATGGGGTTTCACCATGTTGGTCAGGCTGGTCTTAAAACTTTCGACCTCAGGTGATACTGCCCGCCTTGGCCTCCAAAGTGCTTGGATTACAGGCGTGAGTGACCACGCCCAGCCAGGCCTGAGAGTTTTTTTTTTTTTTAAGACAGAGTTTTGCTCTTGCTACCCAGGCTGGAGTGATTTTTTAAGCAGATAGTCTCCCTCAGTTGCTCAGGCTGGAGTGCAGTGGTGTGATCACAGCTCACTGCAACTTCCGCCTCCTGGGTTAAAGTGATTCTTGAGCCTCAGCCTCCCGAGTAGCTGGGATTACAGGTGTGCGCCATCATGCCTGATTAATTTTTGTGTTTTTAGTAGAGATGGGGTTTCACCATGTTAGCCAGGCCAGTCTTGGAACTCCTGATCCCAGGTGATGCACCTGCCTTGTCCTCCCAAAGTGCTGGGATTTACAAGCCTCAGCCATGGCTCCTGGCCTGAATCTTGCTTTGTGTTATGTAAATTGCCATTGTTAAGTGGTGGTATGGATAATCATTTGTACCAATGAGAGTCAAAAGTACATTAGTTACATGTTTGACTAAAATGTATTAGATTGGATTGACTTAAACCTTAAGGGCCTATATTTTCTCAGGTTTAAAAGGCAAGCAGTTCCAGTCCTTAAGGCTTGTTTCTCAGAAATGGTGTCCAGAGCAAATCTGCGAACATTTGTCAAGTCACATGGCTTGACCCAGAATCATCGGAGGGTACTGCAAGGTTGTAGGGAAAAAGATGTGGAGAATTTGGGCCATCAAGGCAATCAATTTACCCACCCTACCTATCCCCAATCTATTAACATAGGAGCCAGAGTGAGCCTGTTTATCACTCATCTAAAAATCTCCAATCATTTGATCCAGCAACCTTACTACTGTGTATACCCAGAGGCTACTTCTTTACCCAGAGGAAAAGTCATATGAAAGATAGGTACGTGCATTTTTACAGCAGCATGATTTGCGATAGCAAAAATATTGAACCAGCCTAAATGCCCATCAACCAATGAGTGGATAAAGAAAATGTGGTATATCAGGCACATGTTCTCGGGACATCCTGAGGGCTGTGTCACAAAAGTATATATACAACAGGGAATACTAGTCAGCCATAAAAAGAAACAAAATAATGGTATTCACAGCAATCTGGATGGACTGGAAACCATTATTCTAAGTGAAGTAACTCGAATGGGGAACCAAATGTATGTTCTCCCGGGTGGAAGCTAAGCTATGAGGATAGAAAGGCATTAGAATAATATATGGACTTTCAGGACTTGGGGAAGGGTGGGAGGGAGGTGAGGGATAAAAGACTACACATTGTGTACAGCAGGTGTCCCCAAACCACGGGCCGCATGCGGCCCCTTGAGGCCATTTATCCGGCCCCCGCCACACTTCAGGAAGGGGCACCTCTTTCATTGGTGGTCAGTGAGGAGCACAGTATGTGGCAGCCCTCCAACGGTCTGAGGGACAGTGAACTGGCCCCCTGTGTAAAAAGTTTGGGGACGCCTGGTGTACAGTGTACACTGCTTGGATGACGGGGTGCACCAAATCTCAGAAATTACCACTAAATAACATCCATGTAACCAAAAACCACCTGTCCTCTAAAACTATTGAAGGAAAAAAAGAAAGGGAAAAAATCTTCAATAGCTTCAGATCCTCCTTTTGTAGAGAAAATGGAAAAAAAAAAATCCTCCAATGGCTTCCATGTCAGTTTTACCAAAGTATTTACAGTGACCTTTAAAAAGGTCTACAATATCGGCTGTGCCACTCCACTTTTCTGACCACGTGGCTAGTTCTTCCCCACATGCAGCAATAGCCACACCAAGTATATAGTCAATCCTCAGATACCCACATCTCCCTCCCCCTCCCATCATTCAAGAGCTTACTCATTTCAGTGAACTATCCTCTGACTGCATTACTTAAAATTGCAATACTCTTCCTTGTCAACTCTATTTGCATCCTCTTCTCTGCTTCCCTTCACCCCCATTCATAAGAATTTTTACTGGGGCAGGGCGAGGTGGCTCTTTCCTGTAATCCCAGCACTTTGGGAGGCTGAGATGGACCGATTGCTTAAGTCCAGGAGTTCAAGACCAGCCTGGGCAACATGGCAAAATCCCATCTCTACAAAAAATAGAAAAATTAGCCAGTTACGGTGGCATGCACCTGTAGTCTCAGCTACTTGGGGGTGCTGAGGTGGGAGGATCGCTTGAGCCTAGTAAAGTGGTGGTTGCAGTGAGTTGAGACCATGCCACTGCATTCCAGCCTGGGTGACACAGTAAGAACCCGTCTCCACCCCACCCCCCGAAAAAAAAGTTTACCGGCCAGATGCAGTGGCTCATGCCTATAACCCCAACACTTTGGGAGGTTCAAGCATTGCCTGAGCCTAGGAATTCGAGACCAGCTTGGGCAATATAGGGAGATCCTGTCTCTGAAAAAAATTTAAAAATAGTCAACCAAAAGAGAGCCCGCATAGCCAAGTCAATTCTAAGCAGAAAGAACAAAGCAGGAGGCATCACACTACTGGACTTCAAACTATACTACAAGGCTACAGTAATCAAAACAGCATGGTACTGGTACCAAAACAGAGATATAGAGCAATGGAACAGAACAGAGGCCTTGGAGGCAACACAACACATCTACAACCATCTGATCTTTGACAAACCTGACAAAAGCAATGAGGAAAGTTGTCCCTGTTTAATAAATGGTGTTGAGAAAACTGGCTAGCCATGTGCAGAAAGCAGAAACTGGACCCCTTCCTGACACCTTACACTAAAATTAACTCCAGATGGATAAAAGACTTAAACATAAGACCTAACACCATCAAAACCTTAGAAGAAAATCTTGGCAAAACCATTCAGGACATAGGCATTGGCAAGGACTTCATGACCAAAACACCAAAAGCATTGGCAACAAAAGCCAAAATTGACAAATGGGACCTAATCAAACTCCACAGCTTCTGCACAGCAAAAGAAACAGTCACTAGAGTGAATCAGCAACCAACAGAATGGGAAAAAATTTTTGCAGTCTACCCATCTGACAAAGGGCTGATATCCAGAATCTACAAAGAACTAAAACAGATTTACAAGAAAAAAACAAGCCCATTCAAAAGTGGGTGAAGGATATGAACAGACACTTTACAAAAGAAGACATACGTGAGGCCAACAAACATATGAAAAAATGCTCATCATCACTAGTCATTAGAGAAATGCAAATCAAAACTACATTGAGATAAGACCTCACGCCATTAGAATGGCAATCATTAAAAAATCTGGAGACAACAGATGCTGGAGAGGATGTGGAGAAATAGCAACACTTTTACACTTTTTGGGAGTGTAAATTAGTTCAACCATTGTGGAAGACAGTGTGGCGATTCCTCAAGGACCTAGAAATGGAAATTCCATTTGACCCAGCAATCTCATTACTGGGTATATATCCAAAGGATTATAAATCATTCTACTATAGGGACACATCCACACGAATGTTCACTGCAGCACTGTTTACATTAGCAAAGACCTGGAACCAACCCAAATGCCCGTCGATGATAGACTGGACAGGGAAAATGTGGCACATATACACCATGGAATATTATGCAGCCATCAAAAACGATGAGCTCGTGTCCTTTGTAGGGACATGGATGAACCTGGAAACCATCATTCTCAGCAAACTGACACAAGAACAGAAAATCAAACACCAAATGTTCTCACTCATAGGCAGGTGTTGAACACTGACAACACATGGACACAGGGAGGGGAGTATCACACACTGGGGTCTGTCGGGGGGAAATAGGGGAGGGACAGTGGGGGGTGGGGAGGTGGGGAGAGATAGCATGGGGAGAAATGCCAGATATAGGTGAAGGGGAGGAAGGCAGCAAATCACACTGCCATGTATATACCTATGCAACAGTCTTGCATGTTCTTCACATGTACCCCAAAACCTAAAATGCAATTTTAAAAATTAAAAAAAAAAAATAGTCAAATGTGTTGGCATGTTTCTGTAGTCTCAGCTGCTTGAGACTTGAATTCATGGGCTCAAGCAATTCACCGGGGGGTGGTGGCCCACGCCTGTAATCCCAATACTTTCGGATGCTGATGCAGGCAGATCACTTGAGTTCAGGAGTTTAAGACCTGACTGAGCAATATAGTGAAACCTCACATCTACTAAAAACACAAAAGTTAGCCAGGCATAGTGACACTCACCTGTAGTCCCAGCTACTTGGGAGGCTACAGTGGGAAGATAGCTTGAGCCCAGGGAGGCAGAGGTTGCAGT